AAAGGAAGAGCATTAGAAGTTAACCTGCGTATACCGCAAGGTATGGAGGTCCTTTACAAGGCGTAAGAAAGTTTAGTGCCGATACGCGGAGCAAAATAGCGTTGCATTTGAAGAAAGTGTTAAACGGACTCAAGCAGGCGGGAAGACAGCTACTACACGGCAAGCTGAAGGATGCTGGATTAATACGCTGCACTTCATGCATGTGTTTATACTACAATCGATCGGGTAACGGGGATGATCGTCGTGGAGGTTTACGCCGATGATTTCCTGGTTAGGAACATCGCTACCAACGCTGGTTGAAGACTTATTTGCTACAATGGGTACCCTCTTATTAAAGGACCAAATTAACGTAAGGAATTTTGGGAATGATCGCTGAGCTAAAAGACGAACATGGCTACCCGTTTGATCAGCAGCCGACTATTGCAGAACTCTTGGAGTAGCATGGATTGGATCAGGCGAGTGGGTTTCACATTCTAGCAGGCGAAGATAGATGTGAAGTTGAAGCAGGTGAGGTGAAGTGTCTAATGAAGGAAGACATATTAGGTGAGCCAAGCATTCGGGATTGCTAGCCCATTGTTGAAAATTTGTGAGAATCACGCTATACACGGCCCGATATAAGTTTCGCTGTATACAAGGCGACACGACGCAGCAATTAGCCGACCCTAGACGACTGGAAGTTATTCACAGGTTGCTCGCCAGCTCATGGGTACAAAGGAATTAAATCTTTACATGAAGGTAAGCGCGTCAAATGCAGATTAGCGGTTCCTGGAGCGCTGGAGCGACGCCGATTTGACAAGCAATATCGAAAAGTAGTTACGGGTGGAGCGATCAAGATGCAAGGAGCGATTTGAACAATGGATCTGCAAGAAGCAAGTTGGTGTATCGCTTTCTACTATGGAAGCGGAATTTACTTCAGCGTCTCACGTTCGACGTAAGCTTTGATGATTACGTGAGCTGGTGCGAGAGATGTGATTCATGATATGCTAGCCGATGACCATGAATATGGACAACCAGGCGGCCATAAAGTATGCGAGCCGATGACTTTGAATATGTACAGCTAAAAGGCCATAAAGTAGTTGAAATTTGAAGATAATATGACGAACGCCAAACACGTATACATACGAGTGAGATTTATTCGCAACTTTGCTAATCGTGGAATTGTCACACCATTTTACGTCAAGTCAAGAATGATAATGGTGAACCTTCCCACTAAGCACTACCAGCACCGACACCAGGAGGCCGGTGGAACTGCGAGAGTTTTTTGGGCTTCGCTAATAGGGTGATCACTGTCGCAAGGCGGCTGAGGAGGAGAGTAAGAATTCATGTAGGTTTTCGCCGGTGCGGTAGATAGTTCAACGTGCACAACACCGATTTTAACCCCCGTTCTTGAGATGTATGTATGGTGCAGGATCATGGATGTATGGATGGTTTAGAATGCACTAGACGTAATGGATAGGTAAGCACGACTTTTAAGTTAATAACTCACTTCTTCTTTCCACAAAAAATTCCTATCCAACTAAAACCACTCGCCAGGAGGACTTTGGTGCGCTTACTGGTCATGGCTGGTGAAGGTGTTGTTGCGACAAGAAGGCTTTGCTGTGGCTGTTATCTTATAAAGTGAGAACAAAACTAGAGTCAATACATCTGTTGGTCCTTAGTTTGCGTTCGCGAAGCCTCAAAGGCTTCTACATTGAACCGGAGCTATCTAGACCAATTTACGACTGTCTACACGTTTATAAACAATGTCCGCTACTATGATACTTGCCGTAACATGATCTTACCCCCGTGATGTCATCGGCACTTTAGAACATGTATTAAGCGGCGTCATCTCAACGCTGCTCTTCAGGAGAACCTGAATGAAGTTATGCCTAGGCTTAAAAGAAGAAACATTATGTTTTTGGCGTGGCATTGATTTAAACGCCTGATAAATAGCAGGCACACATGATTGATTTGGGTCCGATTGCATCGTCGGCGACGCTGTCTTTTCCATCGGACGATGCCATGTCTGTCCGCACGCGGATGCATGTGCCAGTGTCGTTTTTTGGATTAAGTTTCGTGATCGGGCATAGAGGCGCATGTGCATAGGTTATCTCACGATATTTTATTTTTGACGGAGGCTTCGCAGCTTAATTGGTCTATGATAGAGAAAGAGTCGTATGCTATAGTATTAGGCATGTACTAATAGATAAACAAGAACACTTGCTACAAGACGCCTGCTCAATAAAAAGTAAAAGGGGAGTTGTTTATTTCATACAATTTACAGTCTTTAATACAATTAGCTGAGCCTTGCTATAACTATATGTAACTGATAATATGTATGCCGACTTAGGTGCTCACCAACTCATGGCACGCGTCGATTTTTCATGTTAATAGATATTGTTTTCTGACAGGTCATGGAAGCTCGGAGTGAAGAGTGCAAGACCCATCACAGGTAAAGGGTAACCTCACCTGAGTGGCTAACATGTTAACAGGTGGGATCAAAGCATACGGACTTCATATGGGACCAGGGACACCTAGTGATGGGCACGCTGGATGTGTGCCAGGTGTAGCTTGACTTGGTCAAGTTGCAGTGCTGGTCATCAAACTGCATGTGGTAGGGTAAACAACGAAGGGTAGTTAACACTCAGTATATTTACTTCTCTACTGCACAAGTGCATCTACGTCTAACATTTCACTGGCTGATATCGTGGTTTATATCAGCCAATTGGCGGAGGTAGCCAGCTTTGAGCGAATCTAACCTCTTGCGATCAACAGTATCCCTTTAGATACTATTGTCAATGTTATTTGCTAACATAATATTTACATTGACGTTCAATTATACTGTCAATATGATGTAACGGACTCGCTGTTACACAAAAAAATTAACACTAAATATGTAGTAACGGTACACAAGCCGAAAAGTTTCATACTACGCTGTGAACGACGTGAATCGTTGACACTCATTACCTAGTGATTGGTACTATTAGTTTGTATGAAACCTACTTATCGCAAATGATGATAATTTTGGAAATCTATCAGGTGGTCAATCGCAATGATTTGATCGAAATCTGCTGTCTAGTGTAGCATCTGTCTGACGATGCGTCGGTCAGTCGACCATGTCGTCAATCGTGATACAGTCGCGGCGCTTGTCCCCAGCAACAGATCAACGGCACCAAGAATTAGGAGGTTGCGATGAAGATTGACTGGCCACCGTCGGCAACATGCTGCCCTGATCTTGACCACGGGAAAGGCGATCAACACGCACCAAACAGAGCGTCTTCGGCAAACCTAACGGACTGGTGCAAGTTTACGTGGACAGGGTTAATGGCTAGACCTTGCAAAAGCCATATGCTCAATTAACTCATACCTCGTTAGGCGGAATGTAGTAGGTAAGCCGCTATCGACACTGGCGTGGCCATGACGGTTCAACATGATGTTTCGTAAACCGCACCTTAACTCAGACTACGACAGCTCCTGCAACCTCCAGTGCAAAATCATCGGGCAAACGGACTCCTTCTACAGGCTCGTCAAGTGAACTGATCCTTGCACATTGCTAAGTACAGGTGACCGAGCAAGCAGACACTGGCTACTTCTAGTACCGATTTTACGACGGATTTATTCAGCTTCAGGCAATAGACCATGATTCCGTTCTGGAATGAGAAAACGCCTCCTTTTACGTCTTGGATGGGATCGTTTTTGGTCAACAGGAGGTTGCGTAAAATAAATTAGTAACAATAGTTACCGCCTAGCCTTGCTTCGTTAATAAACAAGAGGCCCCTTTTGCATCGATCACGGGATCTTGTGACTAGTGGTAAGCTCCCGGATAAACTTCCAAGCGCATCCTTCGTCATGACAATGTGTTTTTATTTTGTGGGCACAAAGATACTCGACGGATGGTGACGAGGAATGAAGTGCCGGTCTACTCATTTATCTACCTTCGAATCTGTCATCATTACACATGCCTACTCATTCCAATATTTCTTTGTACGGGTCCTAGGGTGATCACTTTTAAGAAAGACCAGTCGGTAATCTATCCTAATGCAATGTTTTGCACAAAAACACGAACAGGAGCTTCCTTGATTTTGTACAAGGCAACAATCAGACATAACGCACTCTCTCCATAGCGATGAAATGCAAACAGTTTCGGTAGCTACACATTGAATCCTAAAAATTGCTTTTGATGAGGACGCACCTGTGGCGTACTTACTTGGTACAGCTCAATCAAGATTCACTCCTCAGTTGACTGGTCCTGTAGCTCTGTGGCTGCTGTGAGGTTACACACGCTGACTCGACTGGATCTTGGCTCTGCTAGCACCACTCTCCTGATCGAGCACGAGTTTCTTCACGGCCCGCTGTTTTTTCACAACGACGAGGATCTCGACAATTGGCTTGGTCAAGACTCGGTTTGGGATGGGGCGACCAGATGGGGGTAACCCGAACACTAGAAGATTTTATTGGTATGTACTACTCGCTTTTACATGTGGAAAGTGCAACGTTTGTACACTAAACAGTAATTACTTACTTACTGCCTTGTGTATTATCTCTACTAATCCAAAGGTATTCAAAACTACTAACTAACAAGGAAGTATATACTAACTCTCTCGTGTTACCAATCATATACTGATCACTCGAGTGTAAATCTCAATACAAATTCGGTGCGATATCGATTTGAAAAAAAATGGGGGGTAGGGTAAAAGAAGTCCCAAACGCGACATTTTGCGTGGAAGTGCCTGATGGCAAAGAGGTTTTTTCTCTCAACGCGCGAGTGTAAGTAGAAGGAGACGTTTGCTACGCAAACGGCTACTAGTGAGCGCATTACGGGGGGAAGGCGTTCAGGCCGTACCAGCTTTCGTCAAGTGAATAAAAGCACAAAGTGTGGTACGAGTGTGAGCGAAACCAAAGAAAAAACGAGAATATATTTGACGATATTTTTCACACTTTTTTCTGTATTTTTCTGACAAACATTCTTGAAATATATTATCGTGAGAGAATAAAACCCATTTTTGGATTAAATAAAATCAATGAACAGCGTCGCGTCGCCTCTTCGGATGAACATGACGACGACATCAGGTCGTCCTCAATCGACCACAGGGACTTCTACTCATCCACACCATCGTCATCATCAACATCATCGAGTTCGAGGAGGTTCAAGTACTTCTGGTAGTAACCAGGATGACATTAGGAGACAAACACATGGTGAAATGCACATGGGTTACATGGGTTATACAGGAGTACACCCTAGTAAACAGGGAATAATGAAGCAGGTTCAGCCACAAGTACGTCATGGATCGTCGACGTCTTTTTCTCACGCACAGAGACATCATCAACAAGTCCCGAATCAGATTCAGACACGTCCGTCAAGACATCATCGAGTTGAGACGTACGAGAAGCAGGAGAAACGTCGTGTTGGTATGGAGAGAGAAGAGGATTTAGCAGGACGTCCAGCGATGATTGCCATGAATCAGGACGATTTGCCTTTTGACGTGATGCATGAACGTCGCAGTGGAGACAGGAATATGGAAAACCGGAGCAGACAACGCAGTCATCATCGACAGGTGGAAGAACAACGTGGAAATAGCAAAATGGGAGTATATCATGGTAACTGTCGAGGTAGTAGACCGTTCAATAAAGGCAGCAGCAATCCAAGCCGCAGTGCTAGTCGAGGGCGCTCGGTTACAATGGCTGCTACTACTACTAGTAACAATAGTGTAGCGCGAGTTGATCGAAATGTGGGATCCGGGCCTCTTCATGTTGCCCATTTGCGTACATCAACCCCTACTGTTTTTAATGAGGCGTCTGCTCCCACCTCGGCTATAGGCCGAATGTCGGCACCAGTTTGTAATTCGCTGCCTGCTCCAAAAAAGCCGACCCGCGAGCCGACGGCTTGGCGTGTGGCCATTGACCCCAAATCCAAGAGACCATACTACTACCATCCAGTTACTCGCGAGACGACGTGGAAGAAGCCGGCGGAACTGGTGGCTGCTGAAACGCGCGAGAAGCGGCAGTTTTTTTCGGTCATGGAGGACAACATACGACTAAAACTGCGTGATGGCTATTACACTCGTGATAGTGAGACATCGAACCCGGATCACAACACGCCCGATGCGGTGCACAAGCCTCACGATCTGTCCTCTTGCCGCTCTTCTGCAAGTACTGCTAGCACACGCAGCAGCTTGAGTTCGTATACGAGTGGATCTGGGAGGTCATTACCTGGATCGGCCCGCCAGCTTATCTTGAATGCCACAAGGTCGTTGCCGACGACTCCGGAAGGTATGGGTGTGCCATACTTAGGTCCTGATGAAGCAAGCCAGTCTCAGGAAGAGCTTGAGTCAATAGATCGTGACTCGGAAGACAACCAGGATGGCAAGAAGCGTCCGTTGCTGTTTAGAACGTTATCGTCTTACGAGACGCCTGTGATGAATACGTTGCGCAAAGGGAGTGGTGGTCTGGACGTGGATGAGGTCGGCCGCAGTGCTTCTACCTCTCTCGCAGTACCGTCACCTATTCAGAAGCGTGTACGCCTGGCTTCCCTAGTGCCTCGGGCCTCAGATTTGGAAGCTCATGCCCGTGCTGTTAGAGCGGCGGATGAAAGTGGTAGACCGTCAATGCAGGCGATGCAACTTATCGCCGGACGAGGAAGCTTGGCGTCAGCGCTTGTGAATCGAAAAGCCCCTGGAAGTAACGGCAGTGTTTTTGCTGACAAGCCACGCGCACTGCGACGTCGTTCCAACAGCACTAACTCCATTTATTTGCGTATGGGCACGATGGATGTACCCGATCAAGATGCGACAGTTCAGTGTGTGGCAACTGTCTTGCGTGCACATATGATGGAGGCGCTTGAGGACCCTATTCGCCCGGAATCGCGCTTTGATATATTTGTGACGGCCCGCGACCGCCAGCGCCTGCCGTCTACAAATGGTGCATTGGATGCTGAAGCATCTACTCTCGTGGATGCGGAAGACGTTGATGTCATGTTGGATGTGGTCCCAACGTTGTTGGAAATCGAGACTTTTATTAAGCACGTATTTTCTCGTGCTCAGATGGAGTCAGAGTGCATTATTATGAGTCTCGTGTATGTGGAGCGCCTTTTGAAGGCAACTAGCGGCTTTTTGCAGCTACGCGGAGAGAATTGGCGTCGGTTGGTATTTTGTTCTATGGTGATGGCTTCAAAGGTGTGGGATGACTTGAGCATGACTAACGCCGATTTTTCTAAGATCTGGCCTGAGCTCTCGCTAAAGCAGATTAATGAGTTGGAGCTTGTGTACTTGAGTGCTGTGGAGTACAATGTCCGTGTGTCGGCTGCATCGTACGCGAAGTACTACTTCCATTTGAGGTCTATGTGCGCCACGATGGGTTTGCTCGAAGCTTTTGATGAGAGTGCACCACTGAACTTGGATGGCGCACGCAAGATGCAAGTGCTGTCGGAGGAGTATCAGGAGCGCTCAAAGTTGATGCCAGTTCCACGTCGTCGCAGCGTGACGATTACAACCACGTCAGCTGCCGAAAGTATGCACGTTGGTGGTAACGCGGGGCGCTCTGCAGTTGGCGGAGCGACGGCAAAGCCTATCAAAGCGTCGCCTGCCGCTAGTCTTGAACAGCTTGTTCGAATGCAGGTGCGCGTCGCTGGTGGTAGCTCACTGCAATCGTCAATGCACCGGTTATCTACGAGCAGTATGACAAAATAGTGAGCGAGATGTGGATGAAGCTTTGCCAGCACCAGCGCGACCGATGAAGGTGGAGCTGAGGCAGCGGTGAAGGGAAGAGTGGTGATGTTATGTTTTTATTTTGATGAGTGAGTGTAGTGATTCGTGCAGTGCCTAGTAGCTGTTGAAGAACTTTTTGGAGGAGGCTTTGCATGTGCGGCGTCGGCATCTCTTGCTGTTGTTAGCATGCAGATGGTGGATGCAAAGCAAGCAGTCTTAGACAGACAGAAAGAGAAGCATGTAAATGTGATGAGTGACAAAGCTGGATGCTTTTGTAAGTAGCAGGAAAGCAAATGAGAAAAAATTGTCATTGCAAATTGATCGATGTAAGTTTGTTTCATGTAACACTTCTTCCTGCTACAATAGCGATGCAATTTGCGTATGCATCCTAGTCCGTGAGCTTGTGATCTAGATTTCCAGCTAATTGATCGGCACCGTTCATAATCATCTGCTTGATGGTAGTAAGCTCGACAGCACTATTCAACTTGACGCTGAAAAAGTTGTATTGCTGCAGAATGAACGAGATGATGTAACTTGGACGATTGATAACGTTACTTCATCTGGCGCTTTGGCGGCGAAGAGGCAAAGAAGCGGCATTGAAATGATGTTTATCGATGAGTCATTGACGATCGTAGCTGTGACCAGAAGACAATGGCCGATACAGCGCATGATACAAGAAACAACCAAGTCACGAGCTTGAAGATGTGGCTGAAAACATATCTGTGCCAAAGACAAGCATAAGTCAGCACATATACGCTCTAAGCCTGACCTTATGAACAACAGAAAATGATCATGCATTGTAAAGACTGTCTGTCGATGCATTTACACTCCTTTCAAGATACAGTTTCTACCTTGTCATGTCATCCGTCTACTACACTTGACGCTACAGTTTTGTTGTAAAGTTAATTGGCCTTCTTGAGTATGTCTGTCGTATTGCCTGCTCGATGCTATTCTCACATGTACTGGTGGCTGTTGCCAATAGTGAAAAGCTGGCATGCAATCGTGTTGGTCGCTCGCTGCACACGCTTAGCAGCAACTTGGTTGGTATGTTTTAGTTGATGACGACGGGCTTTGTTTCCACGGTGCACGCATCGAAACACCATCAATTACTGGATACCGCTCTGCAAATGAAGGTGTGCGTGGTGTCTTCAGTAAAGTCTGCAACACTGCGTCACGCTGACCTGGATTTTCATGTAGATAACGAAACCTTTTGAACACTTTCATGGCATACCTAGCATCAATGACAGGATCATGATCCGCCTCCTGGATACTTGTGTCCAAGCAAGTATTTTGCCACGTGCCGTAGAGAAAAATAGCGATAGCGCACCACGCCGTTAGTTGATTGCATGGGTAGTCGAAACAAATCAGCCACATCAAATTCCCCCTTGTAATCCGTTGGCTTCTCAAGCATGAGCCATTTCAAGTCTTTCTTGATAGATTGGCCCACAATAACGCTTTCCACGGGCAGAATCTCCTTTAACTGGACAAGCGCCTCTTCCAAAGCAGGTGCATCTACTAGGTTGCTATCGTCCACAGCGAAAAAGTGACACAGGGTCGTCAACAATGTTCACATCATACCATCTCTTCGCTTGTAAACAACTGACTCACCGCTCTGTGATACCCGTAAGCTGTGTAAGGTAACTTACGATAGGCTTTGTTGGCTTAACATATTGGTCAAACACCACTCTTTCGTCCTCATCAACCACAGCAATCCGTGCAACATCTCGATCACTACCAGATAAAACATTACAAAAAAATACCCAGTAAGTCAGAACAATTGCCAGATTCATTTACCACAACAAACCGACCCATAACTCACTTGGTGCCGTTCCCCGTGGCAACACACTCGACGTCCACAGCAAAGAACTGTCTCCAAAAGGCCATAGAATAACATGATACCAAGACAATATGTTGGTCAGTTGTCGACTATTCAACTCGTACTAGTCAAAAACACAAGAAGAAAACGACGTCTTGGTAACAAACCGGTCCTTCAATGTCCCTCGTAAGCACTGGAAAAATCTCACTAATCGTCTCTTGTTCTTGTCCATTGGCTTGAATCGGTGCTTTTTGTCGAGAAGTGGACGAATCAATACAAGAGGCAACAGAACTTGTCGTTTTATTCCTATTATCTTGCTTCATGTCCATCGTGAGCCTCATCCTCGATGGTGGAAGACCTCTTGGATGGTTATTGAGAAAGACTGGTCCGCTATTGGTCATACCCATGGAATAATCCAGTGGTAAAGGAGGTTGCAATTCGTGATAGACGGACATCTTAGAAAATTCATTCGTAGTGACGTGGACAAAGGGACAATTCGTGCCATTACGACAGCCATTTCCTGATCGAAAGTAACGACAAGTGCGAAGTGGAGTAGAAAACGTGGAAATGAAGTTACGAGTGTATAAATTGGTAGCATTCAATAGGTACATATTACTTGAGGGTACAGGGCATTGTGTTTCATGGCGAAAGGTACAGGAAGCACCACGATAACAGCCTTGAGGTGATTGGAAGAAGCGACAGGCGCTGAACATACTACCTTTTGAAACGAATTCACTCTATAGCGATGTATGTATGTATGGATGTACCAATGAATTAAACAATATATAAATACTGGATACATTTGTATTCGTACTTTTGAGAAAGTCTATCTGATTCTATCCAAGAACCTAAGACGACGTATCTTTTTGTACAGTCTGATCTCTTACTAGAAACGAGATGTATCGTAAGGACCTTTTCAAAAAAAGCTACTTTTCTTTTACTCTTGACAAAAAAATGGATGGAAATGGACTTGCAAGCAATCATTGCATTGCAAATGATATCATGTAGAAAACGCTATCTAGTTCTTGATCTTGACTAACGTTAGAGAGAGACGAGAATGGCGGATCGTATGTATGTTGCAAGTAAAGCACTGGAATAGTGTCAACGCCTTATGGACATCACAACTAACTTGACGGCACCAGTTTCTTGCACTTGCACTTGCACTCTAGCAACTTGGCACGTAACGAGACGTGTTTGGTCTCGGATTTGGAATTCTCAGTTGCCCGATTTGACGATCAATGAGGTACTAACCAGTCTCAAGATTACAAGTACATTTGATGACTTTCCTTATCTAGGACAAGGTCAACGAGTCAACAAGCCAGCACATTCATGGTCGGTCAAGCTGTTACTGCCATTGCAACGAGCGGGTTCGTCGGTTTAAACTGACTTTGAAAGCCGGAGCACTGGGACTAATAAAAGGCCATCGTGCTTTTTTTTGCTTCCTTCCGTAGTAAAATAGGACGTCCTATTCCCACCTGGATAAACTAATCCTAAATATTGGGAATCAATTAGAGACCAGTGCCTGACGTTCTCTGCAAGCACATCCACTCTAAAGCAAACTGGCTGCAATGCCAAAGATTGCTGTTGCAATATTGATGATATATAGCAAGGCTTATGACTTCTATCTTCACTTGGGTTGCATAGTACTAGGTATCATTCACCCAGCCAGATTTATACCTCCTGTTTAAGTACTGCTTCTCATAATCCTTATGCGGGCCCGTTGTCTGCTTACGATTTCTTCGTCAGTGGCAATTTTTACGGGTAACCTCCGTATTAGGTTACTAACCAAATAAACATCCTGTAAACTTCAGTACGAGGTGTGCTTTTATTGGCTGAACAAAACTGTCGTCCATTCGATGTAATTTAGCCTAGAGCAATTATTGAATTTCCAAATGCATTTATCCAATAACAAAGCGTTTTTACCATTGGATGCTTTTTCTATCCGTTCTACTCGAAAGATGTGCTTTTTTCTCTCTCGCTTTGCGTTCTCTACGCTATCTACTGGTCATTTTGAAATCTTCTACCAAACAAGAACCCCTTGACAAGTCTACTGATTACTTGCAGTGGACAAGTAGCTGCTACGTGAATTGTAGTTCGACGATTGCTTGATCTTTTACCTGTCTACTCTTTGTCAATAATTGCCTTGCTATCTTACTACTGCATTGCAATTCGTATTGTCACAAAATAAACCAATTCTAGTAAGCACTACGTTCGACTTGTTTTCGAACAAGAGACCTCCTATCTCTGAACAAATACAGAGGAACGCCTTGGTGTTGGACCAAAGGTGATTGATTAGTCACCTATTGACTATACTTCTTCTACTTCACTTTTTCTTCTTCTTGGGTGACCAGTCGTTTTTGTTGTCTTTTTGTGGATCGTTTAAGTGCACGTACGGCTATAAAGTATCACGAACTGAGAACAAGAGAATTGGTATTGTGGGATCATATGATGAATCCACTCAGCCCTATGGAGGAAAATAAAATGAGTATGTGCCTCTCACCACAGGAGAAAATTAAGAGCGCAAGTTCACAGCGTAACAAGCGTTCCCATGCTGTAGCGGGCACGTTGGTTAGTGCTAGCGACTCGAAAAAAGCACGGCTGGACGATATGTTCACAAAGGAATTTGAGCGGGATCTAGATGGATGGATCAGCGATGATTACTTGCGTGCAATGGACTTTGACGATAGCTTGAGTCAAGATATCGACTGGGTGGCGCACGACGAGATGGATCTAGCACTGAGCATGGACGCGCTTGTGCAGGACAATCCGACAAACGACGAGGTGAATGACTTTGGCTTCAGTCCGTCGTCATTCCTGCGAGGCAGCTTTGCATTTGAAGATTCCGCGGAGATGGCTTCGACCTTCGGTTAGTTTTTTGCTGTTTGCTATTTCTGTTTGGTATTGCGTTGTGCAATACAAACCAAAATCGACACGTGATCATATCGTGCCTAGTGGCTGAACGAACGCTTACTCATCCTTTGCGTTTGATGCATTTGATTACGCTTATAGTTGATCCGGTCTACATTCGCCTGAATTCAAGCAAGGACGCGGAGAAGCTCCTCATGAGCTTTGACACGATGAAGTTCAAAATCCCGTCGCCGACAAGCACTTCGAGTAAAAAGCGTAAAAGCGTCTTTATGGAGAAGAACACGGAAGTAAATCAAGGAGAGGACAAATCAGTGCTAGCAACGTCAACAGCGGACGCTGGAGCTTTTGTTTCTAGCTTCCAGTCAACCACTTCAGCTGCTGTTGAGGAGCTTCGCGTGGAGCCGGCTCGTGTGTCCGCAACTAGCCGTTTCGGTTCATTGCTGTCGGTCAGTGCGCCTGTGGATTCGCTACCTAGTGTTTTAAAAGTCGAAGCACCAACCACGTCGTCTAGTTCGAAGAAGATCGGCTCATACAGCCCAGCAGCACGCAAGCTGCGCCTTCAGAAGTTTCACAAGAAGCGCAAAAATCGTACGTGGAAGAGAAGCATCAAGTACGACTGCAGGAAGAAGCTGGCAGATGACCGTCCGCGGATCAAAGGTCGATTCGTACGTGTGCTCGAGAACGCTGGCGATACGAAGAATGAGGTGGCACCATCTCCGTCCAACTCAGTGTCGACTGGGTATGCTTCTTCTACTGGTGCAATGGCTGCGCACTCTGTCAAGGCTGAAGTCGCGGTATCGTGTTTATCAACAATGGCCTCGACAGCAAAGCAGACGGCTTCAGTGACCAAGTCAACGGCGCCCTTAGCAACACCGGCAACAAGTTCAGCAACACTGCCATTTGCGCGTATGATTGCGAGTGTGTGACATAATAATGAGAAAAGATCTATGTGAGTTTATGACAAGCTTTGCAATTTTATGGAGACGAGAGACTAAGTATATGATTAGATGTGATAGCGTAGACAAAGCGCTTGTGTTTTGGCGTAATGTGACCGAAGCTTAAGACATTGCAACGTGGACAAAAAGATAATATCATACCATACATTGGACACAAGACGTGGTGGAAACACCGAGCAAAACTCGGAACATACCTGTATGTATTCAGAACCGGTATAAAGTAGGCAAAGATTAGTTTAACAACCGAGACAAGTGCTTTCTGGATGGACGGACAGCCAGCTAGCAGTATAAAGCTGGTCAAGCTAGATAGTACGTTCAGAAACAATCCAGATCAGTGGATGCAAAGGTCAGAGCTTCGAGTACAATGAAAAGCAGTTCTTGTATAAGCACGAATCTGAAACGTATATCAGACGCAAGAAGTAGATCCTACAACATCACTGAGTTGATTCGATTACTCACACGGGAAACTTACCGCCATGCCTTTGTCCAGCATGTCAAGTAGATTATATTATCGTATGGGAACTTCGACATCATTAATCCCAGTGGTCCTTTTGTACCATCTGTTACATACCAATACCTCTTATTAAAAAAATACAACGTAGTCTTCCATTTTGCTAGTCAGTCAGCCCAGAAAGAAAGAAGCCTAATTCTTAATTTGCTAGAATCTGAAACATTTAAATTTGATTCGTTTCAGCTCGATTACCGGTATCCAGTGTACATGTCTTTTTTTTGTACTCAGTGGCTTCCTTTCTCCAGCTCTGTCCAATCCGACCTTGTTACCGGTAAATGTCCGAAATAACATGTTGTCATCCTCGGATGATTATTTATTGATCATACGACGTGTCGCGGCGAAATCAAAACTTCCAAATACTGAAAATTTCAAGCTAAAGAGGAAAAACAAAGCAGTAATCGCCGTGTCCTTTGAACAGCCGGTGTGACAGCGATACAATCCAGCCGTTGGAAAGCATCTGGTAAAACGTGGCGACACACACCATCTGAATCATTAGTAGTCTCCAGTCTATTTCCAATCGCATGTCGCTCTTTGCACTCGTTTGCTTCTTGTTTCTTACTAGAAATTCCAAAGTCTCATTTACTAGTTCATTGATTGTCTTTCAGTACTACTACATATAGTGCATGTTTCTCCAATATAACTTGCTCATTTACTTCCATTCAGTTCGTTCTTCCTCTCGTTTCTAAAGACACAGTAAGGCCACACAAGAATACCTTTTTGTTTTCAGTCTTCTGCTTTCTCTCCTCCCCCATTCTGTGCAACACCAAGAAGAACCTTGGAGCAATGACATCTGCAGTGCATTTATTACGCGATCGAGAACAAACGCGTAGACTACATTATCGCGCTATGAGACAAATTACAGACGTCTTAGAAATATGTCTCAACTCGACACGTTCGAAGGAAGAGTGGTCATGTTTACGTCGTGACAAGCACGAGGAATTATATGCCAAGCGCACGGATCAAATAACCTTTGGATCCTCGGTTCATTATTTAGCTGTGAATGAAGCTTTTTGTGGTTTTGAGGAAGCTTTCGACTTGCTTCATTTCGACACGACGGCTCAATTTCAATTGATGATGAAACTCTTGCATGGTCGAGATTTTAAAGATGGTACTTTGCTCTCCATGCGCACTAAAGAACACTCGCTTGGTGACTGGACCAATGACACACAGCACGCAGCAGTATGGTTCATCTATCAGGACTATATCAGGTCCTTATTGCTTGGTGAACAGCACCTAACGTTTTTCCAGACGCTCAAGATGTTTCTACCTGACAATCGGCATCGCCACCACAAGCACGACAACCACAGCGCCGCTGCACCCAAGTCGATGGGCTCCTCATCAACGGCTGGACTGAATGCGCGTCCGAATGACGGAGTGCACAAGCGAACCATTGCACTAAATTGGTTGCCGTTTCCTCTCTCGCAAGATGCGGCACTAGAAACAGCACAACAGATTAATTTGCAGTACACCTTGGTCGTGGAGGAGATTTCTCATAATCGGCTGCGCCTTTCATGCGTCACTAGCTCCTTTCATGACAAAAACAATGGCTCATTCACTGGATCGACTTGGGCAGCTCGAGCCATTGCGCGGCGAATGGCTTTGCAATCGGTTGGAAAATTGGAGGCGGCAGTGACAGCATCTAGAATCAGCAATTGCCAATTGTTTGCACCACATCAGTGGGTCAAGAATGAAGACCGTGCATGTTGTGTCATGTGCTGGAAACGCTTTAATGCTCTCTTTCGGCGCCGACATCACTGTCGTCTCTGCGGTGAAGTCATTTGCGGCTCATGCTGCTCACTGCGAAAAATCAACGTTGTCAATGTAAAGACACTGGGTCCTCAAAAGACTCGCATTTGCCATACCTGCAACAACAAAGCTCGACTTCAGCCCAGCACGCAAGTATTTTCCATCAACAACCACAGCAACAACCATGAGAGCAGAATTCCGGTCTCTTACCAACGAGTGTGGGAACCGCTTCCTTTGCTTGAATCGGCGTCAGATTCCGATTTTTCTCTCTCCTCACGATTGCTTCCGGCAAGTTTGAAAGTCGATGTAAGTCAAGACTTTGTGCTGCCGCCACCGTCAGGAGATCTCATGCTATCGCGAAAAACAACGATGGAGAACATCGAACCACCCGAGGTCGCAGAGGCTGACGATGACGGCTATATTGGTGCACTACCGGATCAAATACCAGCTGCTGTCAGTTCCAAGATCATTTCCATCAAGTCTATTGCACGTAGCACCAAGAATCTCTGGCAGGCGATGCCATCCACCTCGTTAAGTATTAAGAATATCTGGTCGCACGAAGCCCCGAAGAGCGTTGACTCAACATGTAGTGTAAGCTCCTCCGGTTGGGTCAGATGCAGAAATAATAGTTGTGGGCATAACTTGTCGAGTTCATTTTTACACCCGGCAGCCATGACTTCTAGGATGCGAATGAAGGTTCAGCCGATCCGCATTACAGCCGAGGAAAGTAGCTACAGCTCTGCTGATCGCTCTTATGTCTACTCGTCATATTACATGGTTGACTTGAAGGAGCGTGAAGAGGGCAAAAGGAGGTTTGATGACCGGCGAACGTCCTTGATGAGCTCCAACATTGGTCTACTTGACCGGGATATGATCGCTGATGAAAGCTACTTCTCGCCACAGCTAGATGAAGAATGCGAAGAACAGCGTCTGAAGCTGCTGGAAGTCATTGTATCACCCGCATGTACGCTAATTGATCGCACTATTATGCAACGAAGCTGTGAGATCGCTGTTGCTGTTGCCTTTGGTCTGACCGCTGCCTTCATTGCACGGGTGGACGAAGAATACGTGCTGATTGAGCACACCATCGGAACTTGTGATCTATCAGCTCAGGATGAACTTTTGCGACGAGAGTCATTGTGCGATTTTGTCATCTGTCAGCCTCAATATCAACCTGTGATAGTGCTGAATTGCCTTACTGATCCACGGACACGAGACATTCCTATGGTGCAGCATCTTCGTATTGGTTTTTTCATTGGTATCAGCGTGTGTGTGCGGAATCTTCCCATCGCGTGCCTGTGTACATTCAGACAAGAAGATGGCACCCAAAGCCAAGAGAACGACGAAGCAATGGGGGCATCATACTACGATTTGGGTAATCTAGAAAATGCGGTGCATCGCATGGAGCATGAGCTAGAAAGTCTTGTCCATGGCTTGGAATTTAGCTAAACATGATGGAGTCACGTGTAGGCAATATCTTTATATGGGTTCATCTCGTGGCTCAACCAGAATCTCGTTCACGGCCACACACGGTGGCTGCGTGACAGCGTACAGCACAGCGCGGCCGATGTCCTCTGGCTTGAGCACCTCACACTCTGTTGCAGAGTGATATGAGCGGGTAAATGCACAATATTAAAAACTGCACAGAAATAATAGATAAGTATGTAGCTTTGAAACTAAGATCATACCAGAAGGCTGTCCGTACAACGCCATCGCCTCTTTGTCAATACCACTGACATCAGTCGCATGCTTTACCAGATCCGTAGCAACGTTACCAGGCTACACGACAAACAATCAGCCGCAACATCTCCAATATCCTTGCAGCAGAAACGCTCACCTGAATAGACGTTACACGCAAGCCACTGCCGACGTTTTCACACCGCAATGCTTGTGAGATACCCTCAATAAACATCTTGGATGCCGAATAAACACCCAACCCAGGAAACACTTTCCGTCCAGCGTCAGAAGAAATATTGACAATGTGACCACTTTTGCGAGCCAACATCTTGGGCAGCACAGCAGCAACACCATTAAGTGTCCCCTTGCAGTTAATATCAATCGTCTGCATAGCATCAAAAAATCCATGCCATGTCAGAATGTCGAAAAAGTGTCACTAGCAATTGTTTCATCTCTCCGACGCACTCGGTCCCAACTGTCTTGGTTCACATTCTTTAGCAGCTCAAAGGGCATGACACCAGCTATTACCAGCATCAAAAGTACATTAACACATTATCTCAATTTCAAGTAAACCTCTCATTAATATCAACTATTGACCATTGTTCACAAGGATATCAACAGCTCCAAAGGTTTCGGTTGCCTTGTCCACAAGATTCTGCACTTCGTGTCGCTTAGTAACATCTGTCTGGACAATCAGGACATCACCTCTAGCTCCAGTTTTCTTCTCAATACTTGTCTTGACAGTCTCGAGAGCTTCCAGACGTCGAGCTCCAAGTGCGACCTTAGCACCTGCTGCGGTTAATTCCAATGCAATGGCTGAGGTAGTATACAAATACAACAAAAATCTCATGTAACAAGATGATACAGGGATATATATATAGATGCAGATAAAGACGCACAATGGATTACATACCAGCTCCAATACCTCCTGAAGCGCCAGTAATGACTACCACTTTACCATTTAATTGTGTCGTGGTACTCATGATTGAGACAAAATGATTCCTGGGATGGTTGTACCGGTATACCGAAATAACGTACCTAGAAATTGAAGTTTGTCCACCACCGTACTTATGACGTACTTAGTGTTAGAAATACCGATACCTACTACCAATACTTATTGCATGTGGGCACCACGGGTGCTAACCACAGCAGGAACGAGATGTACTTCTCCTCTCTTTCGATCTCTTGTATTACGTTCTCTATCAATTAAATCAGGCAATAAGTTACCATCTCATCCATTTGAGATTGATCTGAATCCACTCGTATCATCATCGACCCTTGACACGCTCAATATAATTGATCCAAAACGTCCATTGGCATTAGAAAACGCCGAGACTACTCAGCATGAGCTCAATCTGCTGAATGATGGTACAACACACTTTATACTTTACTTTACTATGGAAATGTCATTTCTAAATGAGATATAATAATTCTTTGATATACAGAAATGTCTGCACTTTTTGGGGAACAAGTGGCAAAATATGGACAAGATGAAACATTGTCGACTGTATTTGAGAACCCAAAGACGACCATACGACGTGAGAAGACGCTGTTGAAGGAGGATCAAACTTGTACTGGTGATGCTGTTGATATTGAGCAGAATGAGCAATGCTCAATGTTACATGGAGAGCTCAAGATGATGAAGAAGATGAAGAGGCAAAGAATTAGTGAGGAGAAAATTACGGGTAGAGATACGATTTTGCCAGTGGATGTGTTACTGCTTCAAGGTCCGTGCAGCTTTGTGCGAGGTGTTTGGACTAGGTGCGTGGTATATGCTGCTGACTGAAGTGTGCAGTGTGAAGTGATGAGACTAAAGGGATTTCTTGCAATTTGTTGATATTTTTTTTGCAGTGGTGATGTTAAGAAGGAGGAGTTGTTGCAACGAGTGCAAGCACATGCTGACCACTTGAAGATTGGTATGAAGAGCTACAATTATGACTCGGAAAAAATGGTCTTGGAGAAAATACTCGAGGCACGTGAAAACCAAGTGATTGTGCTATGCTGGAACAGTAAGTTTGTGCAAAGCAGTCGCTCGTCTTTTTGATTCATTTTTTCTTGAGCTGCCTATCGTTGCCTTGGTGCTGACAGCTATCCTTATGCTGTTGTTTGGTGTATGTTTCAGTTAGTCTGAGCAAGTCACCGTTCATTGTTCACGCACTCGAGCACGTTCAGTCCAACGCTATCATCGTGAGTCCCGGTAACATAGAGCATGGACCTTTACCGGCAAATGTAGTTGGTGTGCTGTCAGGCAAGTATGCGATCTGACGTGATATACTTTTATGGCGAACTGACCCATGCTTATGGTATGTTACCATTTTCTCGCTGCTGCAGGTTTTGGGGACCAATCTTTATCGCTAGCATTGATCGCCGCTGCGAACCTTTGCGGGCTTGATACGAGGAAGGATTAAAAGGCTTGCAAAACTTCAGACATCAATTATATTCGAGGCTTTCTTTTTCGCACTAGCGTGAAGAACAATAATGCCTCAAGTACATACGCAAAGAAGAATGTCCCCACTTGTTATTTATGTGGGAACAAGGGTCATATTCGTAGCAAGTGTTCAGCTCTACCAAAGAACAGGATGTAACTGGTTGTCATGGTAATGACAAGTTCACAGATTGAGCGAACAGGACATCCATCCAAACCGAATCTGCTACCGTTCCGTGTTGAATGTTGACTAAGTAACTTATTCCTTTGTTTATGTTGGTTCCAGTTTGAAAATTACTAACGTTGGAGCGATATGTACATCAACTGCAATCGTCGTATGCCGTCTGTATGAACTACAAGAGTTCAGTTCAACTGTGAGATCGAGAAAGAGAAGAAAGTCAGTGGGTCATTGTTCTCGCTAGTGTTGCACCTGGTGGGAGACCGCAACAGCAGCCATGAGTGGCTGCACGGTCTTAACGAAGCGACCATTGACGCGAGGCCGCGCAGTCGCGAGCGCCTTACGCACACCGTAACGCAATTTATGCTGAGACAACCTGCGCGCACGTTTAGCCATGTACTTCTGCAGCAACATGCACCGCGCAGCGGGCGTGTAGGCACCAATCATCTTGACAGGCGCCGTGTACAGTCTTGCCGCGACGACCTCATGTCGTGCAATGGATTGTTCACTCTCGTGGAGCTCATCTCGTTCTTGAACTTGCTTTTCTTGAGCTGTAGCAGACTAGAAGTTAACGTCGGAGACGCCGCGTGAACGTCCAAGTCCTCAGATCTGGGGGTTGTAAAGCCATGTACGACTGAAGTCATCAACGAGGCCTCTTGCCACTCTCTCACAAACACTCAGGAATAGCTCCTGCGAGCTCGAACGCGCGCGTGATAATGTACCTATCACGTTGATCGTCGACAGCTTTACGAAAGGTGTCACCGAGCAACCACCGATCGTTGTCGCTTGGACGGCGCAGGACCGATAGCGTTGGTTGTTCGATGTCGCGACTACGTTTTCTTGATAGCAACATGTTCATTGTAAGTATCAATGAATCAATGGGCGATTGGTATTCGGCGTCTGGTTACAATGTGTGTGAATGTGCTTTGACGTTGTGGTAGAAATCGGTTTTCGTGGTCCGTTGGCGACGTTTCCACTCTACTTTTGGACGAAGAGCTTTATTTACTACTCATGAATTCTGTTTTCTGTGAGCGGCATGCACCAGTCTGTACTGGGTGACATGCAAAAGAACGCCTAGTAGGATCGTTTATCATGCAATCATACTAAGATAAGATGCACATGTGTTAGCTAGCTACACTGTATTGTGAAGAGAACCAGCTTCCGTCTGCAACGTAGGTTTTGGAACTGTCGTTCATTATCGTTTGTCTACAAGTCCTACATGTATGTACTGTCGCCTTCCTCTGGAACTATACAGTCCCGCTTCTTCCTATACTGGGACTTCACATACCGTTGGCATTTCTCGGGACCCGTTCGGCCCGTTACACAGTATCATTGAATTCATCCTTGATACAACACACTGTAGCTCTTGGCACAGATTGATTGCATATACCTCATACTTTTGAATGCATAGCACACATATGATGTGCAAGCTGCTTGGGCGTGTGTCATGCAGCTCAACAAATACCAAAGGGTCACGCACCACATTAATCCCGTCCAAAGCTTCCGAGGACATATGGTACTTTAATTTCGACTTTGTTTGCTTGATCTGAACAAGAGACGACCATGCTTCTAGTAGCAATATCACCCATATCATACCAATGCAACAACAGACGTGGGTCTACCACAGAGTACGTGGTAAGAGCAAAGTGCCTTTCTAATGGCCTGATATGCAATGGGGTACTAACTATCTGTAGATGGCGTAGCTACATATTCCATAGCATCTTCTACTCGAGTGAGTGTATGACTACTAGCAACGTTTGCCAATTAACTAAAGCTTAGGTCTATAATGATCAGTTGCACAATGCAAAGGCTTGTACGTACTAGTGATAACCCATCACATCTCGTCTATTAGAACAGACACTTGTGTCGTGTGTATTCAATTCAAAAGAAAACTCTCCTGCAACTCATTTATAGTCGCATTGCGACTGTACAAGATCGAGGTATTCTGCTCCAGTCAGAGCTAACTATCGATATACAAACAACGTAGGTGCCGTCCATGGACATTACGGACGCATTTGACGCTATTTGCAACTACGAGGAGACGCTTGTGGCACAGGGAGCGGCAATGGGAATCGAGCATGGTCGTAAGTTGGGTATCGAGGAAGGTCGAGAACTCGGGTGAGTGAAAAGCGTCTGGAATGAATTCAATAGGAACCATGCACGAATCTGATATTCTGTAGAATCGTGAAAGGAGCTGAGATTGGCAGTGAACTAGGTTTCTATCAAGGCTGTTACTTGGTGTGGAACCACATGCTGCAGCACGAGGAGCTTAAGAGCAAATTGTCGTACGTGTGGTGGCGTTAATTAGCGTTGATGGAGCTGCAATTTTGGGATATTCTAACAAATTGATGGTGGTCAGCAGAAGTCGAGCTGCCAAGTCGATAGGTTCTTTCGGTTTATTGCTCGAGGCTTTCAAGCTAAAGGTGCGTGGAATGATGATGAGCACAAGGTATTATTCTTGTCACTGGTAGCTCAAGTGTTCACTGAATTTGCAGAATGTAGTAGACGAAGACATGGTGCAACAATTGCTTCGAATCCGAGCCAAATTTAAGCTCATTACAGTGACCATGGGTCTGCGAGAAAGATTGGTTTACAACGACGAGAACATCAAAGCGCATAAGGATATGTCATTTTGAGAAGAATATATCTGGAGAGCTGCTGCGTTGAAGTGCAAAGTCTTAATGTTGAGAGTTTGTGCTGCTCCGCGAGAGTAATTTTGAGCCTGTTGCATTTGCTTGTTCATTCAGTATGTTTAGATAGATTCCTGCGTGTTGAACGATATAACCTGATAGTGGAGTGAAATACCTTGCTGGAAAACATAGTCCTCATCACCACTTCGCATCAAGATGCAAGTCAACTGATCATCTAACTTCAGTATGCCCGTTTGTTAGGGTGGAGCTGGCAAGCTTGCGACCCACTGACCTTGTCCCCCCTAGCCACTACTCCAGACTTTTCATACGCACGTTGGTCGAGGCTTCAAGCAAGGAGGTTGGCACTCCCGTGACGAGTCGGGATGATAGTGCCAAGCAGAGTCCTACGACTAGTGAGGCCGACATATCCGTGTCGGGCCAGCCGATGGCACGTAGCAAATGATGCAGTAAGAGACTATCTCGGCCGCTACGCACACATCGATCGAGCTCGTAGTCGTTCGTACACGGGCGTGAGCTACGGTGGCCAAAGCTCATGTAACCAAGTAGGCAGACCTTTGGTTGTGCTCAAAGTCGACGGCGACAATTTTGTGCCATATGCCTTCTTGGACAACGGCATCACGCTCATCTTTTGTGTCTGCATGACAAGTCCAGTATTCGATGGCATCAGAGGCGGGCTAAGAAGGTCTTCATACTTATTATCATATATGTCAAGGTCGTTAGGATCGACGCTATCAACCCTGACTTCAGCTGCAGCTCCATCTTGGATAAAATTGTCTTGCAGTCAGTCGGACGCCGCTGGGTGAGCTGAGTTAGTTTTCTCCGTGTATGTCCGCCAACGGTAAGCTGTCGCGTGGATGGCAACGCAGTTTGTAATATCAAAACTTTTCGTATCATTAAGTGTCTTGTAATGTCTTTGTGCCGCGTGATGGCAGTCAGAAAATTAGGAGCAAGCGTCTTTACCGAATAGATGTGAAGTCGATGACGACTTTGGTGCGCTGAAGCTGGTGCTGCGTAAGGTGCACACCAGCCATGTCCAGGAGCCGGCGCGACGCAACGAACTTCCAGCTGCAAAGCGGATCAGCAGACACAATTAGATATAACAACATGATCATATGCTCTTTGTCGCTTCAACGTACTCGTGCTTGTACTTGTCAGAGCAATACACAACGCGAGATATGCCACTCTAAACAAACACCGCCATATCAGCAACAGCGAGAAAGCACGTCAAAAGCAACAGAGTCCACGTTACCTGGATGATGAGCTTGGCACATTCATTACACGGAAAAAGAGCTACATAAATCTGTACAGAAAGACACAAACTTAGACCGGCGACAGCAGAAAAAACCTGCACGCATAAAAAACATGCCCACTCGTACCGTGCATCCTTTTACATCCGTTGAGTTTTTGTTTAATATGGCGTTCATTTCTGCATGACATACATACTAAACAAAAGCAAACACATCAAATGAGTTTTCAGTCAAAGAATAATCCGAAAACAGTCCATTCTTCAAACCGGGTATTTCGTATCCAATGGCGAATTTGTTTCACTCTCACGTGCCCACGGCAATTCATCATCACCACAACGATTTGGAAATCCATTGTATCCAATGCCAACAATCTTCCGGTCAGGATTTACAATGCTACATCACATCAATAGAAAGAGAGAGATTGAGAGAGAGACACAAAAACCATTTTAGGATCAACACGAATGGTTTTTGAGAAAAAAAAGTCAATCGAATCTCATACACAACAACATACAATCTCGTACCACGCTCCAACTTGAGTCGATGGATCTAATTTGTACATCACCATTCATAACAACAACAACAACAACGTTACTTCCGTATCACAAGTATCATTGAACTAACACCTTAAAATAGCTCTTTCTGACCCACCTTTTGAACGCATTGCACTCAAGAATGCCACACTCATAAAATAATCATCCCAGGATAGATAATCACCGCGTTTTTGGACAGTTTTGGACAATCCAGTGGACGGATTAACACTTACGTGGGTATCTGATTCCTTGTCTTTCGTCTGATCCATGTGACGAGGTATTGTTTTATCTCTTGTTAAACGTTTTATTTTTTTATTTTTTATACATTTCGCAGACTTGATAGTATTAAGTATCAAAGAGTTTTTTGACACGGAAATACTCTCTTGTATTGCAGCTGTAACCCAATCGGAATGTTTAACCAGCACATGCTGGACTAAATTTGTGTATCCATGTTTCAGTTTCTGAGCACGTGTTTTACCACATTTGCATTGAAATATTGTAGATACATTTAAATCTGATTCTTCTTCTTCTTCAATTTTAGCTTTAGTAGGTAGCGTTTGATTGATTTGAGTGTAGAATAATTGCATAATTTGCCGTCCACTTAGCTTTGTTCTTTCCATTATTGTTAGTATAGTAAAGAGATTATATGGGTATATGTGATAATTGTTTAGTACATTTCAACCAATCACCGTGTACTAAATGGTAGCCGTCCGTACAATTATTGTATTGAAATGAAGTAATTTCTACTTTTGTTTCTTTATAATTAATTAAAAATACAAGAATAGGTTCATTTTATATAATATTTAGTCCTTCTTGTCAACCCTCAAATTTAGAAATGAGTACAAATCAATATAGAAATGATTACACAACGGTGACATTGATCATAATGCGCTCCATAGCGACCTGAAAAGACTGCATCTCTTCAACACTGTATAACTCACACTTGAAACGAGCCTGTAATATACCCATGAACAAACGAATACCAAGCGGAATGGCCTTGTCATTAAAGTCGTACTGATTCGAATGTAGCGCACGCATTTTATCCAAATCTCCATCTTCTTTCGTGCCAAGAAAGAAATAACAACCTTTGCGCTCCTGCAAAAAATACGAAAAGTCTTCTGCAGCCATGAGCGGCAAACCTTCTTCACTCACGTATAACCCCATGTCCATAGCTACCTGCTGCACTTGACGTGTCTCAACGTGCGGGTTAATCACAGGAGCATATCCATCCAGAAAATGCACATTGGCTGTAGCACCATAAGCGGCACATGTTGAATGCACCAGTGTAGCAACGCGGTCTTGGATTTTTTCAGCAGTTTGTAGATCAAAGTCACGAATGGTTCCAGCAAGATACGCTCGAGATGGAATCACGTTGTTTGTATCACCACCGCGGAATTGAGTCACGGATACGACAGCAGTATCCATGGGAGACAATGACCGACTCACAACGGACTGGAGAGCCAATACTACAGCGGAACCTACAAGAATCGGATCCACACATTGTTGTGGTGCAGAACCGTGTCCTCCAATGCCATGAATATCGATAGAGAACTCTACTTCATGCGCCATAACAGCCCCAGGACGAACGTGGACACTGTAAAGCGGGAAAGGTGCATTATGAAGCCCGTAAATCTCGTCCACGTCCGTCAGTGCCCCATCCTCAATCATCTTCGTGGCTCCACCGGGACCTTCTTCGGCAGGCTGGAACAAGAAGCGCACGAAGGTGTCCTGAGGAAGCAAGTGCGCACTGCGCACCACCATTGCGCACAGACCCAGCACCATTGCCATGTGACCATCATGGCCGCACATATGTGCTGCAGCCGTAGAGATTTGAAACTCCTCATCGTCGTCGCCACCAGCGGTTGGAGCGGGAGGTGCACCGATCGTCGTGGTTGTAATAGTCGATGGAGCAGGTAGCTGGTTGGTCACTGTTGCAGCGTCCATGCTAGCATCACGACTCACACCACAAGTCCTAGTTGACGTAGTAGTAATACCGTCGATCTCAGACTGGTAGTGAAATGGTTCATCTCCCTCTTCATTTTGTTTGGATGCGGAAGTTTGATGCGTTGTGCTCTTTCTTTTCTTGCGTTTACCAAGCTCCTTTCGTCCTTTTTTCTGAGTCGAGCAGTATGGCAAGTGGTCGTTCATTTCTTCAATCGGAAGAGCATCCATATCTGCACGAAAGGCGATCACTGGCAGTTTACGCTTGTCTGATGTCGAAATAGTAGCATTCTCGTAGCAGACATCCACCACAAGCCCTGTATACGCCATTTCTCGAATGTTTTTGCCCGGAATATGCAAAACTTGCTCACAAAATCGTTTGATAAATGCTTGCGTGCTAACTTCCTGGTACCCCGTCTCGGGATATCGATGAAATGCACGTCGAATATCGCGCAGCATGCGAGAAAAACCAACCCAATCCACTTCCTCTGTGCTTGTCGTTTTAGTTTCATCTACAGCCCCGTCTGCTGATTCTTCCCCAGTCATCGTATTTTCCACTCCACACTGCTCCGTAGCAGCATCCGACGTACTTAGCGTCACATCGAGCACGTTCGACGACATGTGTGTGTGCTGTTTTCGGCTTTGTGTAAAGTTCTTGAGAAACGGTGTGACTTTACCAAGCATAGCATGCAATCCGAGCTTCCATGGGTCATCACATGGGTACAAAGTCTTACTGTACGAGTGCACAGTCGATGTTCTTGGTGACCGAATCATCGGCGTTGTGGAGCCCACGTGTGACACTGACCCACCAATGACTCCAGAATCATCCAATTCATGTGATATAATACGTGTACTCTTCCCACGAAGTCTCTGATCACGAATATCCTCAGGTGTATCATAATACCGTCGAAGAAAATCATCCTTCTTGAGTAAGAGCTTACGGATAGCTGCCTCACTGACACCAAACTTATCAGCTAGTTGACGTTTGGAAATCTTACTATTCTCTGCCATTTGAATAATATCAACACGTTGTCGATCATTTAGACGCTTACCAGATCCTTGTTTAGCTTTCTTAGGTTCATTATCACTTATACTACTGAGCTCTTGATCCACATGGTGATCACTCATTAGTATGGAAAAATTAATGGAGAATAAGTGCGCCCAAACAATTATGTCGTATAGAAAACAAATGATACGGTAGTGTATTGATTTGATAGATAGTCAGTGGTCGAAATTGCAGCACAATAGGTTCGGAACTAAACCTGTATGCTCAATATGATTGGTTAAAACTCAATCACAATACAAAACCAAATGCTTAGTCACACAAAGCGACCGTCGGACCTCATGGCGAGCAAGTTAGACGGTAAGACAGCAATAGGCGCTTGGAAAGGCGAGAATATCTTGTCTATTGCTCAGTTTGGAAAGGAGAGTGCGCAGTAAGTGAATTTGAACGATCATAAGGTCCGATAAAAGTCGCTTACTCTGATATCATTACTCTAATAGACGCGTCCTGAGTGTGGCCGATGAAATGAAGCAAATGGTCAAGACGCAGGGTGCAAACGATCTGCTTAAGGGCAAGGTAAGTAGATCAATGTAGTGATATATGGGCAATTATGTGATACTGAATTGTAGTTGCTGTACTTGATAGCTGCTGGCTAATGTGTTCATGGAGCCATCCACGCGTACAAGTAGTTCGTTCCAAGCTGCGATGAAACGTCTTGGTGGACTTGTCGTATGTGTCAATGAGACCTCATGCAGCAGTAAGAAAGGAGAGACACTTTATGATACTATTCGATGTCTTGAGTGCTATGCCGACGTAGTCGTGCTTCGTCATCCTGTCAAAGGCAGCGCTCTCGTAGCTGCTGAAGCTACGAAGAAGCCTGTTCTGAATGCTGGAGACGGTGTGGGTGAGCACCCGACTCAGGCTTTGCTAGATCTGTACACGATCTATACTGAAATGGGTAACTTGGAAAACCTGAAAGGAAAGGTCATTACCATGGTTGGTGACCTCAAGTACGGCCGCACAGTGCACTCTTTGTCTAAGCTGCTGGCAATGTACGGCATGAGGTTCAATTATGTGTCGCCGCAGATCTTGAAGATGCCACGCTACGTGTATGATGAGCTGGCAGGGCAAGGCATTCGACAGAACGAGTTGACCAATCTGGATTCAGTGATTAACCAGACAGACGTGCTCTACGTCACCCGTGTGCAAAAGGTAAGTCAAAATGTTGTATGGACGTGGCAGAATGCATGTGATGATAACTAAGATGTTGCATGCTACTTATTGTAATCAGGAACGATTCGAGTGTGAGGCAGACTACAACGCGGTGAAGGACAGCTTCCGCATTACACTGGACACCATAAAGGATGCAAAGGCTACAATGGTCATCATGCACCCGCTGCCGCGTGTTGGTGAGATTGATGTTGAGATTGATGACGATCCGCGCGCTGCCTACTTTCGTCAGATGGAAAATGGCATGTATGTACGCATGGCACTGCTTGCTCTTGTCTTGGGCAAGGCATAAAACGACTCGGGTTGACGTGGCAACAACAGCTAGCCCATCTTGCCGATAGACACCTGCTATGCAAGTTGCTGCACTATTCATGAAACACATTCTTTACACGTGATTAATTATCGAGACATTAGATCATCTGCCGCAGCACAGTGCATTTGTACACCCGGCAGCATTTTCACAGCGATATTCAACAGCCGCGTCATACGCCTCAATATTCAGCCTAGAGCCCAGAAAGAAAGCCACTTCTCGGACAAAAGGCTCGGCATCCTCGTACAAGAATGGCATGAGCGCGTGCTGCAACTCTTCGTAACATTTCTTGGTTCCACACTGTACGATCTTATTGAGACAGCAGCGGATGATAGCCACAAGTACCGTAAGATCAATATCTCGTCCAATACACGCCTTCAGTTCTCTCTCGAGCCATGCTTCGTACTCTCCTTGCACCTTGTACATCTTTGGGAACGTGTCCACGTTTTTTACTTCCTTTCCAGCCACACGAACAAGTCGCATTTTACGTCGATAAACCAGCGATCGCCGTCGCAATTGCTGACAATCACGCTGACTGCATTCCTCTGGTTTATTTCTCGTTCCCTTGTCCTGTATACATCTTCCTTGAAAGCGTAAAACCTCAAAGTCCGACTCGCTTCGTACGTTGGCATACACTTCTTGAAACGGAGCTTTGCACAATGGACAAGTGGCTAATTCTACACCATGGAGTGCAAGACTGTGTACCCAAATACTGAGACACTCAAAGCAATAGACATGATAGCAAACTGTAACCATCACAGCGTCCTCAAGAGTCTGTAGACAGATAGGACAAGCGTCTCCAAGGACCGCAAGGTCTACGGCTCGAGTGTCTTCATCCTGAGTAGTTCCAGATGTATTCACTTGTCCATTAGAAGAAGCAGGAGGAGATATCGTACTTTGTGTATCTTGTTCAATCATTACATAGACATTATCACGTCGAGCCGTCCACTCATTTTCATCCTGCGCCGTTGCTGCTTCGGCTCGATTTCCAAGCGCCATATGAAAAAAAGTAGTCGGAAAGTAAAAACGTATCACGTCTGAAGTAACACTTTTGTGCTGAACATATCCGATCATCAATGTATTGATTTTCATCCAATCAAAGAAACAACCATGCGGAACCAATGCTTTCTTACACAGCTACTGCCACCGACTGGAATTCCCAGTGGATCAAAGTATCTCGCAATGGCAAGTGATGATGTATTAAAGAAGAGTAAGAAGAAGGGGCTGGGTAATCATACAGATACAGGAACAATACATGGTAAAAGCAATGGAAAAGGTGCAGGTATAGGAGGTTTTCAACATTTAGGTTTAAGTCCACTTGTCTTTCGTGGGATTATGGCAATGGGATATAAAGTACCAACACCCATTCAACGCAAGTCATTACCAATTGTTTTATCTGGCAAAGATTGTGTTGCTATGGCACGGACAGGATCTGGTAAAACAGCTGCTTTTTTAATTCCAATGGTGGAGAAGTTACAACAACATGCCATGAAAATTGGCGTCCGGGCCGTGATTTTATCACCAACACGAGAATTGGCAGTACAGACATTACGTTTTGCCAAGCAATTAGCAAAGTTTACGTCATTGAAATTAGCATTAATTGTTGGTGGTGAAGGTATGGACCAGCAGTTTGAAGCCATTGCGACCAATCCTGATGTACTGGTTGCAACTCCAGGTCGATTGATGCATCTCTTACTGGAAATTTCTGATTTTGATCTAAAGACGGTCGAATACGTCGTGTTTGATGAAGCAGATCGTATATTTGAAATGGGGTTTGCAGAGCAATTGCAAGAGATTCTAAAAAATATGCCAACTACTCGACAAACACTGCTATTCTCAGCTACATTACCAAAAGCTCTCGTACAGTTTGCACGTGCTGGTTTGAGTGATCCTGAATTGATTCGTTTGGATGTAGAAAACAAGATCTCGGAAAATTTAAAACTGGCATTCTTTACAGTGAGGTCGTTGGATAAACCAGCGCTGTTTCTTTATATGGTGCGAGAGTTCTTGCCCAAGGATGACCAAACAATTGTGTTTGCCGCTACTCGTCATCACGTGGAGTTTTTGCATGCACTGTTGGCAGCAAACCATATTGAGGCTTCCTGTGCTTATGGCGATATGGATCAAGCCTCTCGTAAAATTAATCTGGGCAAGTTTCGCGCCAAGAAGACAAGCTTGCTGATTGTGACGGATGTTGCAGCGCGTGGTATTGACATCCCGCTACTAAACAATGTGCTCAACTATTCCTTTCCACCTACAGCCAAGCTATTTGTGCATCGTGTCGGTCGTGCAGCCCGTGCTGGACGCAGCGGTACGGCTTTCAGCTTCGTGGACCCGGACGAAACGCCATTCATGGTCGATTTGCACCTGTACATTGGGCGGCGGCTTGACGACTCGTCACCGGAGGCGAGTGCTGGTACAAAGCCATACTCTCTTCAAACGATGACGGTCGCAGATGTGCACTACGGTGCGTTCCCGAATGAGCTGATTGATCGAGAGAATGAGGCTATCCAGGAGACGATGCGCTCGCATCCGCAGGTGTCACCGCTGGTAAAGGTCTGTGACAACGCTCACAAGGCGTACGCACGTACTCGCGCTGATCCGTCAAAGCTGTCTATTCGTCGGGCTAAGGAACTTGCGGTAAAGAAGATTCACCCTCTTTTCCAGCATGAGTTTGTACTTGACAAGAGCAAGGCCGATAAGGCTGCGTACATTGATTCGCTTCTGACCTTCCGTCCACCGCAGACAATTTTTGAGATTGCGGCAGGTGCACACTCATCGGCAAAGCGATCGTCACCTGGTGTACAAATGATGGTCAAGAAGCGGAAGCTACATGGCAAGATAATCGCTACAGAGACAACAAAGGCTGCAGATAAGGTCAAAGCAAAGGAAGAGGCAGCTTGTATTAACGCAGTGGCCAACAAAGAGGAAGCTGCTGGTGCGGTTGGCGAAGAGTTGACAGCAAAGAAGAAAGAAATTGACGGCGCGGATATAATAGAGGAGGAGGCAGCTGTGGTCCTAAAGAAGAAGGTACATTTTCTGTCCAAGCATGAGCGCAAACAGCTGAAGAAACGTGTAGCAGCTGGTGAAAAGGAAGAGGATGTCATGAAGGAGATGGCTGCAATCAAAGAGCAAGGAGCAAACAGTATTGCAAAGGACAATGACCAGGAAGATGGTGAAGGTGCATCGTTTAAGGATGACGAAAACTACATTGGATACATGAAGGATGGAGACTACACTACGGAGGGTTTCCTGTCTAAGAATGCTGATGGTGGCAAGGTGAACGCCTTTGCCGAGGCACGTCTGGAGGAAGCCATTTTGGATGTGAACCCCGACGAAGCTATTGAAATGAACAAGAAGCGACGTATTTTGCACTGGGATGCACGAAAGAAGAAGTTTGTCAAGACCACTGCAGGTGAATTGACAAGTCAGGGTACGCTTAAGCGCCGCAACGAGAGTGGTGTGAACGTGCGCAAGAAACAACAGGTTGGTGAGGTGTACCGCAGATGGCAACAGAAGCAGCACAAGCGCGTTGCTGGTGGTGGTGTTGAAGTAGACGAGGATGATGATGTTGGAAGTTGCAAGCAAGACTACCGCAATGGTCGAAAGCCTCGTGGTGGTGCTGCCATGGCTAATCGTAGCAACGTAAACAAGTTTGCTAAGGATGAACTGATGACGGAGGGCAAGATTCGCAAAGAGGAGAAGCGCAAGGCTCGTTCACGTGGTGTTAAAGTGACTTCCGGTGTGAAGTCGAAGCGTGGCAAGGGCAACATCAAGGGCAAAAGTCACGGTGCGCCCACCAGAAGCAAAGCTATCATTAAGAAGCAATAAGCATAGGGTATAGCCGGCTTTGGCTGTCGTATGCAAACTCGTTTGATGGATGTGTGCATGGCGACACCAAATAATAATATATAGACAACTTGCTTTTATATGTACCCTACCAAGGAATGGCATCACCGTTTCCAAAGTGGCGCAATTGAAGTGGTTCACCCAGCCTTGACCGTGCAATAACCTGTGCCATACCAGCCACACTCTCCTCGGGACGAACAGAAGCTGCTGGGTGAAGTCCATCTGGCTTGTCATCAACTCCCGAGTGTAGCAACAAACACCCAATTTTGTGCGGCAGAAAATCTGCGACCAAGGTCATAGTGAACATATGAAGTGCACTAAGAGACGCACGAAACCCGTATGAACCTCCCGACGTATTTTCCAAGATACTACCGACACGTGACGAAACATTTACCAAGAACGCCATACCACGATCACGCACTGCAAGCCGCATATTCTGCAATAGTGCACGTGCCACAATAATAGGTCCCAAGGCGTTTACTTCGTACTGTCGGATACAATCTTCAGGGGTCGTCGAATGCATGTATCCCTTGATAAAAAGCCGTGCATTATTGATCAATAGATCAATCGGCACATCCTTTAGTACTTCAGCTGCATGTTCCACGGATGCTTGATTTCCTGGATCCAAGATCACAAGTTTCCACGGTGTCATTTCCTCTAGTTTCCAACGCATTTTTTCATCTGAATACGCAGCAATAACGTTCCATCCTTCTCGTATATAATGAGTTACAAACGCAAGTCCCGTGCTATTCTCTGCTCCAGTAATCAAGACGGTTCGTTTTGGTCCTGTATATACTGAACATGATGTTGACATTGTTTCCAGTGACGTTGATACAAGTCCTAATTGGGTGAATCGAGTACGACGTGAACCATTTAGTCCAGTTTTACGTCCAGTACAACAAGTTAAACTTGTCTTCAATTGAGAATTTTTTTTCACGATACCTGGTATAGCATCAGTATGAATGTCACTATCATTGCCTTCTCCATCTGTTTGTAGCGATCGTGGTCGTAAACCCATTCCATGACGTTTCATAAAACTTGTGAGCCATCCATCTGAGAGATTTAAAATGGGTGCATTGGGGATTTGGGTTAATAGCTCACGTGCTTTATCTACCAATAATCGACGTGTTAGCTGAATCTGATTCTGTACACAATGTTCCACATAAGTTTTCAATGCACTGTCTAATTCTGGGCAAACAACACCGTGACCACCTTTTCGTGTAATGCCATGACGTTGTTTCTCTTCAATTTCAATTGCTGATTTTAATACACGAGAAACAGTTGCAGCAGTAGGACCAGTCGGAAGATTGAATGTTTCATGTGCCCATATAGCCAATTTACGGGTTGATAACGATGGATTCTGACGATGTTTTTGAATCAGCTCAAATTTCTGTGCTATGGTCATCCATTGCACCATCTTATTAACCCACGAATAACGGTGGTCTGAAAGCCAGGAGCTTCGAGTGATGATGGTTCCACGATGAAACGAAATACAAAACACGGGAAGGTTGACAGTATAATACATTTAGATGTATCATAAAGTACGCTATTGAGTTTTATACTGTCCCTATTTTTTACATTTGAGTTGAATCCAGTATCAACCGTATCGACCTTTTTGATTTGTAACAAAACTACCTTAAGGTGTATTTTATTTTATTTTAGTACAAGTTTGCTGTTACTTCCTATTGCATGTGGTACACGTCATCTTCTCCAATACGCTTCCACGCAAGCAAGGAGACACAATTTGTCATTTGTGATTGTTGTAGCTACTGTCTATTGTAATGCGGATGCCTAATTTCTTACTATTAGTACCAACGGTATTATTGAGTGAATTGCCTTTGTATGCGGCTGATCGTACTACCAGTAGTACCACTACCAGTCACTGTGTCAAATGGCGTGCAACATCAAATTGTGACCCTCATGGTCAACGTGAGCCAACGAATGACGCCACGTGTTCCCAGCGCATTTCATCCGGTCTCTCGGGCTTTTGTGAGTGTGAAGGCCGTCGCCATGTACGCGAAGTGAATTGTGATCATCACGAATTTACATGTGAAGAAGCGTGTGCTGAGGATTCATCTGCTGAGCTCAGTTGTAAGGAACAAAATGAACGGATGAGGTGTATTGAGTATTGCGTGAATAGATGTGACTCAATATGACTGAATATTGTTGCCTTGTGTATACGTATTGTCTATAGATTCACAAGGTTTTGAACATGTGACGTGTGGTAGTTCCATTAAACTAGTACATGAGATGACACGCTATCGTCTACACTCGCATGAAGTCGCGTATGGTGGCGGTAGTGAGCAGCAGTCGGTTACAGCGCATGCAGCACGGAATGATGTTAACAGCTACTGGCTTGTGAAGGAAGGAGATGCTGAACCAGTGTGTGAAGTGGGAAAACCCATTGCATGTGGATCTACGATTCGGCTCGAGCACATGCTGACACGACGAAACTTGCACTCGCACATGTATAAGCCGCCCTTGTCGTTGAAAAACCTAGAGGTCAGTGCCTTTGGAGTGGCTGGAGAAGGTGATCGGCTGGACTCTTGGATTGTCGAATGTCAGGAGAATCAGCAGTGCTCGATAGATGGTGAGTGTAAGGACGACGGACTTTGGAAACGTGGAGAGATTGTACGTCTTCGCCACAAGGAGACAAACCACATGCTGTATACTAGCTCCACGGCGCGTTTTGATGACAACAACTGTCCGCATTGCCCCATTAATGGCCAGCAAGAAGTTAGTGGGAGCTCTATGGTTACTCAGGATACACTTTGGTTTGCTGGAGAAGGCGTTTACGTGACGGAATGAGTGAAGAGAGGAGTCTGTGGTGGACTTGTCGAAAGTACATTGGTATCAAAACACGGTCCTTTAACATTAAACACGACCATTCATCTTCCACTTTCTGTCTCACTCGACCATTTCAGATTAGTCCATTTTACTCAACTACTTCGAATCCATCGTCTTCAAGATGAAACTTAGTCGTCTCGTCACATTGAAGGAATACTTGAGGCACGCCCCCCTTGGTTAGTAGGCATCTCGAAGAGAGCTGTCTTCAGCGCCTTGACCTCCTCGAAAACTTTTTGCACGAACTTACATCCATTTGGAGAGCTGATATCTTTTGCTGAAGTGCGCGCGCAGCACGTCATTACATCATGAGTTTCCAACGCAGCATCTAAACATTCAGCTAGCTTCAGCATATAAGACCTGGAAGCTTCCTTGTACCACCGAATGGACTTGCCCTCGAGCCTCATGAGTTCGGAAAGCACTTTACGAAGGTATGATTTTCCATCTACTTGGTCAATCGTAGACTGTAACAACTTTTTCATGCGCGGTGCAGTAGATTCAGTACACACAATGTAAGACTGTAAAACAAAGCAAAAACGTACGGTGAGCCAAGTGGTGAGTAACAAACGTTTCCAAAATCATGGAATACAGATACTCACAGTCGGAAATACGACCATAAACTTTTCGGCGCCGGCGAGCTTTTCCCTCTCCAGCTTTTTTACCCGCTTTTCTTCATCGTGTTTCGATCGTTCAGATTGGATGGATGCGCGGTTGAGATCCTCGTTAAACTGTCGCTCCTCAATCTTTGAAATAATCCAAACCATGCACGCATCCGGATCGTCGCCAATTTCTTTTACACTAGCTTCCGCATCTTCTTTTTTAAAACCCATGTTAACCAACCGAACGATGGTAAGGCTCTGCCGAGTACGGTCCTTAACGCCACGACGGCGAGCCTTTGGCTTACGCCAAGTAGCTTTCTTTGACGGCGGTTCCTCCGAGTCAGAGTCTGAAGTAAACGCACAAGAATCAAATACGTCGTCTGGAGAACCACATCAAAATGATTAGTAGCGCAGTTGCACCGTGCATTTGTACGAAAGAAGCACGTAATACACGCACCATCCCCCCAAAATACTGTCTACCACATCCCTTTCCTGTTGTTGCTTCTTCTTTGTTTTGCCTTTTCCTTTGTTACTTGTAGACCCATTTGACCCAGTCGTTCCGTTTGTCTCATTCATTCCGTTTGTCCCATTTGTCACTTTCGTCGTTTGCTGTCTTGGCCGCTTCTTATCAGTCTTCATGGTTGTTGGTGATGCTGACACTGCCACAGGCGACACTGGAACAGGCGAAGGGACGACAGGGCTTGTTTGGGTCGTACTTTGCAAAGGTGTTGACGTTGTGCTCCTTCCTAGTCCAGCTTTAGACTTTGGCACAACTTTAGTCGAAGGCATCGCTGACACTACTTCTCGTACTTGTGTCGAGCTTTCAGGTGGATCTATCACGGACGCTGTGGACACTTGAAGTCGCGCGTCTGTCGTCTTCACTCGATAAGCTGAAGATGAATATAAAACAGTTGAAGATGACTTCTTTGCTGATAAAGGGAGAGATACGGGATACGGTAAGACATTCCCTACTGGCAATTTGACAACAGCACGTGTGGCCTTAATAGAAAACGGATCTGATGCTGGAACAGGTTGCGTTGCTGTTTTAGAATGAGATGACACTGAGACGGGAGCTGTCGCCTTGGCTGCAGTCAGTTCAGGTACACTTGGTAAAGCTGCAGATACAGGAGAAGCTAATAAGTCTTCTAATTGTGTAGCCGTGACTAGTTTTTCATTTTCTGGACGCAGAATTATATAACAGCGTCAGTGGGTATTCAAATAGCAGAAGCACAATCAACCAACCTTTTCTCACTTGAACACTAGCAACAATTCTGGGAGCCTCGATCACTTTTACAGGACTTTGTGGTATTCTGCTGCTGGTGGCATGTTGTTTTGTTTCACTAGCGTTGCTCGGTTTTCCTAACACACTCTTTGCCATCGAGTCAAGTGTGGGCGTGGTCGTGACTACGGTCCCTTTTTGCGCTGTCGTCAACCGGCGTACTGGAGTTATGCTTTTCAGACGAGAATCACTGACACTAGCTATTTTCTTCCCATTAGCACTCGCTGTGCTAGCGTTTCCACATCTGAAAGCAGTACTTGGTATCCGCTGCTTTGGTGCCGTAACTGTCACACCGGCCAATGCCGATCCTGGAGCTGCAATCACCGTACCAGACGAAACAACAGCTACTCCCGTGACTGATTCTTTCACACGTTGTCCATGACTCACTGATACCGTTACAGCTCCTCCAAACTTCGTTGCCAATGTCTTTGACGGTACTTGATTCTCTACAATTTCTAATGTAATTCTCGCCTTTTCAGGACACATAAATCCATCAGTATCATACCAATAGAGAGTATAAAACAAACCTCTTTCTCCATATAAAACAGTAGTGTACCTGTACTACATTACGAAAATGATTCGCTACTTCTGCAACAGTGAGACCACCCATGGGTTTATCATTGATATATCGTACAATATAACCTATATATACATATAAATACACAACAGAGATCACAGCCATATCATGATCAAATTTAGTGTATTGTACATTAGAATCCACCCTTCACGAGCACCTCAATGCGCACAATCAAGATCCGAGAAAACCTTTGCAAACACCTGCACGATCAGCTGGCGATTTGGCAAAAACACTGGAAACAACGGTATATTTTAGTCCAAAAGTTGGTGTCTTTTGAGCCAATGACATGCCAAAACTTCTTTCTCCATCATAAAGTGTAAGTAACACTTGAATCTCACGGGATGACGTCTTCTTGTGCACTATTACGCTATCCCTCGAACCCATTTGTCTTGTAGTAAATAAGAATATGGAGATATATGTATACCACATCAAATTGATACATGATGTAGTCAACATCAATTCCTTATTATATATCATTATATATGATTTCACATAGGTTGACTATGATGTCGACCACATTGTATTCTTATCAACCAATCAATTCATGTCATTTTATTCTCCCTTGATTCAATCGATTGCTTAGTAGCAACGAAGAAGAAGAGACCGAGAAGCAGATGGGTGTTCCAGCCTTTTATCGTTGGGTATTGGAGAAATATCCTAAATGTGTTGTTGATTGTATTGAAACTCGTGCTGTTGTACTTGAAGGTGAACGTCATTTTGAATTAACTGAGATTACTGGACCAAATCCAAATGGGTTTGAAGTTGATAATTTATATATTGATATGAATGGATTAATTCATCCATGTGCTCATCCAGAGAATGGAGAAGCACCAAAGACAGAAGAAGAAATGTATCGTCGTGTTATGGCCTATGTGGATCGTCTAATGGCTGCTGTACGACCACGTCGTGTCTTGTATTTAGCTATTGATGGAGTTGCACCTCGTGCAAAAATGAATCAACAACGAGCTCGGAGATTTCGATCGGCACAGGAAGCAGAACAACGTATGGAAGTGGAAAAAGAAGCGCTCGAGTATATGAGTGCATTAGGTCATAAAGTACCGAAGAAACAAGAGAAAGCGTGGGATTCAAATGTCATTACACCTGGTACAAAATTTATGGCCAAATTGGCCAAATACTTGCGCTTTTATATTCGAGATCGTGTCAACAATAATGCTGCGTGGAAGTCAATAAAAGTGATTCTATCAGATGCAGGAGTGCCTGGAGAAGGAGAACATAAACTCATGCAGTACATTCGTGTGCAACGCTCCCAGCCTGGATACGATCCGAACCAACACCATGTGCTTCATGGTCTCGACGCTGATCTTATTATGCTGGGACTTGCTACCCATGAAGTCAAGTTCTCCATCTTGCGTGAAGAAGTGCTGTTTGGAAAACAAAAGTACGAGAGGGAACGTCAAAAAGAGCAGCAAATGGTGCTTGATGCTAATGGAACGACATTGAGTAAGAGGAAACGTGGAGAGTTTGGCGAGCATGATTCTGATCTGGTTGCATCGGATTTGAAACCTTTGCAGTACCTGCACATTGCTACTTTGCGTGAGTATCTTCAGATCGAGTTTGAACCATTGTCCCGTGTCCTTCCCTTTGAATATGACTTTGAGCGCGTGATCGACGACTTTGTGTTCCTATGTTTTTTCGTGGGTAACGATTTCTTGCCACACCTGCCGTCGCTAGATATTCGTGATGGCGCATTGGACTTTTTGATCTTAGTCTACGCAAAACTGCTGCCAGCTATGGGAGGATATCTCACGGATGGTGGCCACGTGAATTTGTCCCGCGTTGATGTAATCCTTGCTGAGGTTGGTCAAGTGGAAGACGTGATTTTTCAACGTCGAGCACTCAAACAGGCAGAAAATGAAAGGATGCGCAAGTCGCGCTTGTCCAATGAGAAGAAGGACCAGATTGCCGCTGCAGCGGCGAAGGACTCGGCTGTCGAGATTTTGAAGAAGCGCCGTATCGATAACGATGCTATTGCTGCGGACAAAAAGTATGGTGGTTTAACACCAGAGGAGGCCGTGAAAGCACGCGTGAAGGAGAGCGTAGAAAACAAATTGGAAAAGTATCGCGAGGAGATTGAAGATGTTGTTCGTTTAGGTGAACCGGGCTGGAAGACCCGATATTACAGCGACAAGCTGAAGGCAGATGATATTGAGATTGGTGGGGGACGTGAGCGCGTTTTCCATGCCTATATTGAGGGCCTATGCTGGGTGATGCGATATTATTACACAGGTTGTGCTTCGTGGCAGTGGTTTTACCCATTCCACTACGCTCCTTTTGCGTCAGATTTGCGCAATATTGACCGTTTTGAAATTACGTTTGAAGAGGGTCTTCCGTTCCACCCTTTTGAACAACTAATGGGTGTGTTCCCTGCAAATAGTGGCCACGCCATTCCAAAGCCGTACCGCTGGTTGATGTCCGATCCCGAGTCGCCCATCATCGACTTTTACCCGAAGGATATTCCAGTTGACCCCAACGGCAAAGCAATGCCATGGCTGTGGGTTGTGCTGCTTCCATTTATTGACGAGCATCGGTTACTGGAGGCGATGAAGGAGCCAAACAAGAAGTTAACTGAAGCCGAAAAGAAGCGAAATGCACGATTTGGCAAGGAAGTGATATTTTTCCATTCTAAGTGCCCTGTGACCAAAATTCCACCGACCATAGAACTTGCAGAGACACAAGCCGATCCCAGGTTGTCTCAGTCGTTCAACGGGACGCTCATTTACAGTGATGCTTTCTATTTTGCTATCGGCGGAATAGTGCCGAGCCCAGAAAAGGCTCAAAGGCATTTGATGGACATTCCAAATAATCAGTGCTACAGCTTCCAGTACCGTCTTCCACCCACGCTACCGCATTTCTCAAAGATCCTGGATGCTGCTCAGTCGCCCAGTCCTGTCCTGATCACAGAAAATGACAAAAGAATCACTATCCCGTTCTTTGGCAAGGCCAACATCAACATTGTGGATTTGGCCGGCGATGCATCAAACTGCACTAATGTACGGCAGAACTACATGTCGCGCCATAATGGCGGTGGTAGTGGCGGACACGGAGGTCGTGGTGGATTCGGTGGTCGTGGTGGCGGCGGTCGTGGGGCGGCGGTCGTGGGTACGGTGGTCAGCAGGGATATCATCAACAACAAGGAAACCAGCGTTTTGTGAACAATAACCTGAATGTGGATCGCTACCATGGCCCTCCTCAGCAGCAACAGTACAACCAGTACATGGCGAACGGTTATGGTAATTGGGGCTCCCAGGAACCGCGTAATAAGCGTGGACATTACGGTGACTCCCACAACCAGAACAACGGAAGTCAGTCATATGGCCGCCCAAGCTCGGACTATCGTGGTGGCTACAATGGCAATAGTGGTCGTGGATATCAGGGTGGTTTTGGTGGTCGAGGTGGACGTGGTGCTCCTATTCAGTCAGCATTTGGCGGTAATTTGCAACGAGCTCAGACATACCCTTCGCACCATATTGGATCTGCTCTACCTTCCAATGTTCCAGCACCACAAGGTCTTGAGGCGTTAAAGGCTGGATTACGTAGTATGCATCAACAACGTCAGAATGATCCAAATGGTGCACCCAAGAGTGATACAAGTCGCTACGACCGTAACTGATTTGTATGGACTAGTCTAAACTTACAGTTAGAGAGAGGCTAAGTCATGTAATATTCCGTTAATGGAGTAAATAACACCAAATTTGCAATTGTATTGTTATTTTTGCTAAAGGTTTTTCATAATTGAAATTTCGAGCGATAAATTACCGTAAACTATCACTTTTTCAATTTATATTCGCTTCATGAGTACGAATGCAGTTGCTAGATGAAGAGGAGAAATTGGAGCCCCTGTCGCCGCCACCAGCGCCACACACGCCGCCACACGTACGTTTATTGCAATTCACACGTACAAGACGAAGAGATGACAATATCGTGGATCAAGTTGACGAGGTTTTGACACCGCAGTCTCCTCCTATTCCTCACGCTCATCCGCTACAATCATTAAGCGACGATAGTGCATACAATATTAACTTACGACAGGATAAAGGAGGGATGGCGATTCAAAGTAGCCAGAAGTTACTACGTTATGGATCAGTTTGTAGCAGTGAGCGACCAAATCCGACGTTGAAGAGCCGTGAAGAGAGGAAGGTATTGACAAAGGAATCTCAGGAGAGCGACGAGTCTATTGCAGTTGTGGAGACGGAGCATTCCAATGATGCCATTGCAATGGAACTAGAGCTACAGGATAAAGAGATGGAAAGGATGTCAGTGCTAGTACAGCTGAATGAACGCGAGAGAGCCATTGCTGCGACGAAAGCTAGTGCGAGACGCCACGAATTATTGCAAATTGCTCGCCAAGAGGCGCGTGAGAGCAGGTGGAGAGACCCAAATTATCAAGGACTGAGCAATGGAGTAAATGAAAGTGCATTGGCACGTGCTAGTGAGAGGAAAGTGGGGAAGCAATTAGATACCAAGTGGGTGCAGACGCGACAGGATCCGTCTAATCGTCCTAAGGGACCGCTGGAACGACCAGATGAGCGGGAGTTGAGAGAAAGGTTGTTTTGCACTACAGCAAGTGACCTGATACAATCAGGTGTGCTGTTTGATGAAAGTGACGCAGCACGAAATGCGACATTTGGACCGATGAGTATGACTCGACTGCCTGTAAGATCGAGTGGGATTGTGGGATTGGTGGGATGCTGTTTTGAAAAGTATGACAACGAATTCTGACACGTGCAAGCTATTGATGTGTAAAGTATTGCAAAGTCCTATTTGTGAACCGTTTGTTCCTTAGCTCTCAGTACGATGGCAAAAATGCTACCAGCTTGCAAACATGTCTAAATGCAGAACTGTAAAAGTATCACAGATGCAGCAGCACCGAGTAGAGGTGTCACTGCCTTGTCCGTTATGTAAGTATCCCGATGCGTTCAGTATTATGCACTAATCAATGGCACCAAGAACAGTGACAACATACATCATCTTGAAAAAGACTTCATGATCATTCACGACAGACTGCTGCAGTTTTATCGTAACTGCTTTTGTGACCAGAACGCCACGTCTGTTTGGGCCTCAGCAAACACTTGAGCAGTGCATGCCAATGGAGAGCGAACAGTCATCTCGTATACGCAAGTAGAAGGTTCATCAACATCCAATATCTCATCGTTTTCGCCGCACTCGAGGTGTACCAGCACGGACCTGACGAACACAAGATTATTAGTATAATTAGTGCCTCAACAGATACGTCAAAAACTCACCGCGCTGGGCCTTGGTAGCATTGTTGACCCTTGGAGTACCGCATGCTCGTGTAATCCAGCTTGCCACTTGATGGTGATTTATAGTCCGCTTCGCCGTTCCAGTCATCCCACTTGCCAAGACTTGTTTGATCCTGCTTGACTTCTCCGAAAGCACAGAATTTGTACATGTATTTCTGCTTTTACAAACGTCGTTCGCAAACAGGTTCAGCTATACGGGCATCTTGACGCAAATGACTGACAGCTTAACGCACCTCAATTCGTTTCTCAATGCATTTGCTCTTTAGCGCATAATACGCACGGTCTGGACCGTAGTCCATTCTTGCCGTCTCATGCTTTTCGTTTCGATCTTTCTCCAGCATGGCAATTTCGGACTCGATTTCGCGAAGTACTATCCGCAGTGACTCCGGTAATGGCAATTTCACCTCATCATCCAGCGTGGGACTTCGTAGACGCATCACAGCATCAGAAATTAGAAAACTAGACGAGGCTAAGGGCCAAGATGCAACGTACAACAGATAATGGTAAGCATAAACCGGTGTATCCCAAACAACCTGCGCGCTCCACATAAAAACGTTGTAAATGTTGTAAACACTGCCTTCACCGAGTCGACGGAACCAGAATGAACTTGACGGAGACGGAAAACTCGGCAGCTTGTCGATGACTGGACCAGCAAGTTCAGGTGTCGACAGCACACTCCATAGAACTCTCGGACTGTACAGCAATACTTCTACTAGCACGCGAACAGGTGAAATGATGATACCTTTGCAACACAGTAGCATACTGTCAGTAGCAAATCACAATTGCAAATTACATTCCCAAATATACTTGTACCGATAGCTCGCAGCGCAAGCAACCCAATCTTTTTTCGACCTTTCGATGCCCCATTGAATAGCGGGTCAGCGATTTCCGTTGCGGTGCGTGTAGACTTCCTGAGCACATGCATCATGAGAACAAATCAGCAACACGATTTCATCTACCAAAAAAATAACCAAACGCATACAACTTCGTGGTACGGACTTACTCGTTATGGTTCATGCGTAGATAGTCTGCCAAAGAAATCTTTGTGCCATCTGGCAGCACAATCCGACTCTTTACCGTCTGCCAATTCGATTCCAAAACCTCCAACGCGCGTTCATCGTCCGCTGTGTTGATAGGCACATTGTCATCGGCCACTTGAATGGCATCAAGTGTTTCAAACTCCCACACTTCAGCCGTTTCTTTCTCCTCTGCAACCGAAACATCTTGTGCACTCGGCTCCTGTTTCACCTGATCGTCATCAACATACTTCACCTGTTTTTGTCTCGCAACCTCTAGACGATATTTCCTCTCCTTCAACTCTTCACGATCCTTGTGCACGGTCACGCGGTCTTTCAGCAGCTCCAAGGACGCCAATTTCTTCTCCGTCATCTTCTCTGACTCTTTCATTCCTTCAAAACATTGTGCAATCTCTCCATTAATCATCACTTGACGTTTCTCAAACCCAATTTGCACCATTTTAAGACGCTGTTCTGCTTCCTCTCGAAGCTTCTCTGCAGCTACCACGCACGTATTTGGACATGATACTTGACCATCAATTTCTTCATCTGAACCATCACAACAGTCACATATTCCATCCTGAACACGTGACGTATGAATCTAACAACATGAAAGCCATAGATAGACAAGAGACCACGAACGAATCAGAACAGGAGAATCAGATTTCCATTCAAACGTCTAATGCAATGAATATTTTACTTACATTTTCCGGGAAAAAACCATCATTGTCGCAGTAAAATACACTTGTTAGCAGGTATGAACAGGCAGCAGTGCCTGGTTCGTCAATGCCGTCGTCACAGTCGCAATATTCATCATTGACTCGATCTTGTGACAAATTTGTCTCTTTTCCACTGATTATACATGGAAAAGTAGCACTTGAATATTTGATTTGATCTAATGGAGCAACACCACGTATTTGTGCAGTGGAAGAGACGAGAGAGAGACTCAACACTAGGAAAGAGCATAGGAAGTGTGCCATGGTAGTGATGAGTTGGGACTGAAGTGGGGTGGTAATTTGACAAACTGGGCTAGGAGTATTTGTGAAGTAACACGATGGAATAAATGATCACGTCGAAATGTAGCCACCTGGTGGATAATTTAGACAAATAGACAGATGAGTCGATGACAAATGATCAAATTATAAAAATAGTATTTTTGGTCTAGACTATTTCTGTCAAGAAGCTGCTGGGCCACTCAATTCTTTTGGTCACCGACAACAACTGATTCACTTGAGCTCCCTCTTCTTATCTCTTTACGCAGCTAAACGACATACTTACGTGCTATTACTCTTAACGTCGTTTGCCGAGAAATATGGTGAACAAGAAAATTGCAGCGCAATTGGAGAAACTACAGGGCGATGAGTGGAACTCGGACACGGACAGTGAGACAACGATGGCTCCTGCTGTTGTCTCTAGTACTTTTGATGGCACTCATGATCTTGTGAAGCTTCCTACAGCCGAAGAGGCCTTTGCTAGCATTAAAGAAATTGGTGGCAAGAAGCGCAAGAGTAAGATGCAACGCAAGAAAGAAGTAGCTGCGCTGTCTAAGCAGCAGAAGGCTGAGAAGGCCAAGAACCAGCCGTCTAATGTTATTTATCTTGGTCGTGTCCCTCACGGCTTTTACGAGAAACAAATGATGGGATTTTTCAAGCAATTTGGCGCTGTACGTCGTGTACGGCTTTCACGTAACAAGCGCACAGGAAACTCGAAGCACTATGCTTTTATTCAATTTGATGAACCTGAGGTGGCGCAGATCGTGGCCAATACGATGAACCAGTACCGGCTGTTTGACCACACGCTCTCATGTCACGTTGTACCGGTGCATGCTGTCCATGAGCATATGTTTGTCGGTGCTAACAAAGCTTTCAAGCCGTTGCCGCGACAGGCAATGAACCGCAACCGCCACAATGCTGAGAAAACGTACGAGCAAATGGTGATCAACAACAAGCGTCTTGTGACGAAAGAACGACAGAAACGCAAGGTGTTGAAAGCACTTGGTATTGATTACGAATTTCCTGGATATGAGGCGCAAGTGCCTGCAAAGCAGCAGCACATTGCTTTTACATAAGAAAGGAAGGAAGGATCACTAGCAGTCAGCTAGGTGTTAGATAAGCAGGTTTACTGCTATTTGACTGCTCGCGGGTTTTACAAGCAATCTTTTATATTTTACTTCCCTGTTTTTGGTTCAATTGGTGGTAATAGTTCTGTGCATATGATGCTTGGGCTAAGAGGATTGATCATCAGTCGTTTATTTGTAATATAGTAACTCAGTATGGACATTTACATTTCCTACGTAAACTTAAGGTCGATGCAGTATTATTGTATATTTATACACACGCAAAAAACATACACATGTCAAGATAAACATGCGCACAAGTGTATACTTTTGGTGATGTCGTTTCGTACAAATACGACGTCAAGTATACGTATCATACAAGACCCCCACTCTATTCAGTACAGCCTTAAGGCACAAACATTCAAGACCAGGCTTTCGATCATTGAAGTGCACAGGACGTTTTGATTTACGGTCAATTATACACAATTTCATTGCCCTATTATTATTCCTATTTCTCCAACCCTTAAAATAGGGTTAAAACATATACAAGTTGGATAAAATAAGGACAAAATAAACGTCAATTACTGATGGGCAAGTGGCTAACAATCGAAGAAAAGTATCAGCTTATTGTGAAACACCGTAATCACCCGACACTTTCTCAAGTAAAATTAGCGCAATGGGCCATGGTTGCCTTTAATTTAGAGCGAGCTCCATCCGCAAATACAGTGAAGAAGATTCTCCAGACATCGCATGATATTGAACAGAAACATCATCAAGGAATTACAAAAAGAGGACGTGATGTTGTCAGTCCGGAGCTTGAGATGGCACTTCAGAGCTTTGTACAAGGATGTGAGACAGATGGTGTGTGTCTTTCTCGTAAATTATTGGTACAAAAGGCACAGAAATTACTGCATGAGGTACCACTGGAAAGACGTCCCAAATTAGGCCTCTCCGTGGGCTGGATGACGAATTTTATGGCTCGACACGGTCTTCGGTTTCGACAGTTTCGACGCCGGCGGACAGAGGAAAAGACGTTTGTGGATGGTGCAATTCTAGCGACAAAACCACATCGTACCCTTGTGACAGATGTGACGGATCATTTAGCTCTAGCACGAGACATAGCAGGGAGACAGAGTTGTTTTGTCGAGAAGAAGGTTCATGGTAGTTACTCAAATGTGACGGAAGCTACGTTGAATGGAAAAAGAGAGAAAATTGTCTTGATTACAGGTGCAAGTAGAGGGATTGGATTGGCCTTTGTGAAGTATTATATGAGGCAAGGGTGGCAAGTGATTGCTGCAGTGAGAGATGTGGACAAGGCGCAACAGGTACAGAAGAATAGATGAAGAAGTTTGACATACGTCGGTGGTGGTATTTGGATGAAATATTAAGGTAATGTGTATGGTTTTCTTTCTTGTCTTGTCTGTATAGGTGAAAACTTTGTGTCCGTGGAAACTGGTTACCTTGGAGGTGACGGAGCAACAGTCAATTGAAGAGATGGTAAAGAAGCTTGCCGGAGTGAATGTTGACCTGTTGATCAACAATGCCGGCGCATCTGGACTTTTTGACCTGGATCAGACGACAATGGAGGACTGTGTGCGCCAGTTTCAGGTAAATGCTGTAGGTCCCTTGCTCGTTACACGCGCGCTGTTACCTAACTTGCGACTAGCGGTGAGTGCGAGAGGGTGTGCGTTTGTGGCTCAAGTCACGTCGCGCATTGGTAGCATATCGGACAACAGTTCTGGTAGTGCTTATGCGCATCGTGCATCGAAAGGTGCGCTCAACGTAATCACAAAAAGCTTGGCGATTGACTTGGAATCGCAGAATATCGGATGTTTGCTGCTGCATCCAGGTAATGTGAATACTGCGTACAACAACTACGGCGGCGCTGTGGAGCCTGAGGAAAGCGTGGAGGGTATGGCCCGTCTTATAGCTCGTGCAAAGATTGGAGATCCATTGCAACTTCTTCACTTTGGTAAAGGAGATGTTATTGACTGGTAGAGCACTCTACAGCTCATGTATAGCTACATACTGTACAAGTTCTACCGACATCCTGAGGCAAATCTCGTCCGTGTAGTAGCACTCACGAGTCGATTCGAATTGTTGTGTAGCTTATGACCCATTCTTGCATGGCGTGTGGCATGTCAGCAGCTTTTTGTTTAAGGTCGTCCCAGAGCAGCAGCTTTTTCTTTGCCCGTGCTATTCTCGTCATCTCAAGCATCGTGTCGTATCTGTCCACAAGGTGATCTAAAAATTCTTGCGGTGGCTTTACATGATGGTAGCTCACGTAATGCCAATATCCCTCTGGCCAGCAGTAAACCCCATCAGTCATTGTGCACGCGCCCATAAGTCGAGGTTGCTCCAGTGCTAACGAGCAGGTTGTAAACCGACAAAAACTATAAGCGAGTTCATGGCTTTCTACAAAAACACGAGTAAGGTACCACTCGATCATTTCAAGGAAAGAGCGATCACATTTTGCAAACCACACGTCATCAACGAGTAAAAGTGGATTCAGGCGGTTATGATCCAGAGGTCCATCGCTTAGCACCTCCTTTTCAGAACACCAAAAACCAAGCTCCTTGAGCATTTTGTGCCGAGTTTAAGCATTTTCGCCAAGTAAAAGCGTTTTTTCCCGAGCTGTAGTCTTTTGCATAAAACCAACGTTTATAACCAACCATTTGTACGAACGATTGTTTTTGGTCGTACAATTTTTCCAAATACCTAACAATTCAATAAACATTTTGTGTACGACGACGAAATATTCGTCGGTTATGGTACGATCGAAGAGCTCCGGCGACGACATGCAGTTGCACGTACATGCTGCATCGTGTGTACTTCAAAAGTATCGGATGGTACCACCTTTCTGAAGCCATTTACGCAGAGCGTTATGGCGTATAAGGAGAACACCAGGGTTAGTCGGATGTATTGAAGGCCAAAGTGGTGGTCGACTGGACTTGGTAAGGAGGTCTGTGATTTCTTGCCTTAGCACGGGCTTCATGAACGTACGACTGCGTTTACCAACACCCGTGATAATGCGAACATTTTGCAATGAGGTATAGCCTCCAAACGACGTATCACCGATACCTTGCTGGGAGCGTGCGATCTCATTAAACGCTGATACGACCGCACACTTTGCTACACCGCGAGAGAATGTGTGCAAATCAATTTCATATCCGTCTTTCAGCCTCCATGGAGTCTTTTGCAAAAGACCTTCATCCAGCATACGTTGAAACGTCTGGCACGCTGTTGTGAATAGCATACATTCATCCAGGGTATCAATCAGTGTTGAAGCATGGCTAATGTTTCGAAGATCTATCGTCTGCAGTTGCTTCAGCACGACTGACAAGTCCTGCTTCAGATTTCGCTGCGGACCTCTCGAAGTCGTGCTGGGTTGGGTAGCTCTATGCGGCCCAGCATTCATATCATTGGCAGAATCACTGGTCGCATGAAGCTTGTAAAGAGCTCGGATTACAGCAGCGCAAGAGAGCGCATTAATCACCAGTGTCTGCGATTTGTTGCTTACGCTGCTCTCATTGCGTGTTTGAGTAGCTAGCATACTGTTAAACAGATCGATCAAACGTTCCCATTCACCACGCTTCTCGAGTTCTATCATATAGGTTGCAAATGTAAAGTCATCAGGTGTGGCATTGCGCGCTTGTTGCATGAGATCGAAAATGTCCATCGCTACCTGCATGTCCGACAATGTCCCTTTGTTCATTCGTTTGTCCCTCTTCTTGCCACCCAATTTGGTAATTTTGCTACGGAATGCAGCAAGCAGAAACTGATTGAACAGCATCGTGCTAGCCTTTTCACGAGCCCAATTGCCGTCAAGCTTGCGATAGATATCCAACACGCGCTTGTTCTCGTTAACACCCACAAGTGCCTGACATATGGCTGTCAGCGTGGTCACATCCGTCCAAACCTCAGGAAATTTCTTCTCCACAAATTCTACCGTTGTCAGCAACGTATCCTTTCGACGAGCTTTCGCCAATGTTAACATGAGCACCCGAAACGTACGCAATGTAGGCGTGATGCCTAATTGATGCATTTGTGCAATGGCATCATGCGTGCTGCGCCAATCACCCTGTGACTTGAACACTGACAGCAACGGGTCGTAGACACTTCCACGTGTCTTTGACAGCAATCCAAACTGCTCACTAAACTGTTTGTGTAGCTCTAACATCATGGCTAGTGCCCGTTCTGGCTGGCCCTTTCGAGCCCACGAGCAGCAAATTTGCACCTGCAACTGTAGTGGAGCCACAACACCGCGTTTCTGTGCTTTGTGCACTACGTCCAGTGCTTCTCGTGTACGATCACTTTGCATACAAACGTGGACGACGTTTTCAACATCCGCCGCCAGCAGTGATACACTTGTGTCATTTGCTTTGCGCTGGAAATCGGCCACGACTTGACGCCAGTCCTGTGACGAGGAAGACAATGAAAACGAGACGGATGGCCAATGACTCCCAACAAGCTTCATGTGCGGCTTACCATGCGCTCGTAGAGGCGGCATAAATCGACGCATATGAAACATTCTCGAGTTTCGAGTGCTCACGTGCTCCAACAATGATGAGGCATCGAAATTTAGTCGCTACACACCAACCACTCAATGATGCACGTCAGATGGCTACATAAGAAAGATGGCATGAGATAAACTTATCCGTCTTGATGAAACGCTTGATCTCGAGAGCACAAGGTTATAGAAAAAGGTTGTCAGTAAGACCTTCAGGTCAGATCAAATCCAGTTCAGCTTGCACGAAAAGTGGTTTAAAGAAAATGCTTTCAATCGAAACGGTCATGGGTACGATATCTCCTCGTCGTGCTTTTCAGAGGTCTCGACTGATGTATCGCATTGGTGATCTTGAAGAGATTGACTGCAAGGATGTTACTTATAGGATCAAATGACCCGTCAGTACGAATTCTATGGAGCTGAGAGTTGGGCCGTCATGAAACGTCTTTGTTCGTCAAGAAGTTTGAAAATAGCACTCGTCGTCATTCGAAAGTCCGGCTAAGAAAACAAACGTCATATGTTGCACCTTCAGCCAAATTTCAGTTGACGACAGCCGATCACGTGAACGTTTCGTATTCCCAAGCTCGCAAACAGCTTTCGTCATGTATATTGGCAGGCTATGGAATAAGTTATCGAAAACTTTCAAGATGGTGTTTGACTGACCATGTCAACGTTATTTTCTTCACAATGCACAGGACTTTCAACATTTTGTTGGTCGGTCCCTTGGCATATTATGGGATCCTGTTGCTCTATTCATGTATCTCAATGTGTGAACGAAAGCTTCGAATGTCTACCATATCGATTGCTTGCAAAAAAAGATGCGATAGAACACCCAACAGTCCAGCAAAGCGTTGGAAACGGATACCTACCTGTCTTTCGGAAAAATGCTCACTTCACCTCCAGCACTGGCACTTCTCATTCAACGTTAAACCCTACAATCCCAATCAGTTTTCTTTTGCTATCGCTTCAGACATGAGACTAAGCGACGTAATGTGCACCGTGAATTCACCCGTACGCTCAACTGCGTCGACATGTAGCTCACTGGAAGAAGCAATGAGGCAATCTCTTTTTTCAACTGACCCGCTCGATAGACCAACCTCAAGAAGACACGAAACCCGAGCATCGGTCGTATCCGGACGAACAGGAAAGATTCCTAGACTACTTTGGCGATGCAGCCTGTCGGCACGCAGCTTGTTGTCACGTGATCGAGGCGGTGATTGCTCGACCGAGAACAAAAGCAGAGCCCGGCGGAACACCTTGGGTTCTCTCTTTTCAACATCACCAAGGTCGTCCACATCAACAACCACAGAGACTCGACCTTCACATCAACGCACCACAGCTACGACGACACAATTAAGCACGGTTTTTTTGCACGGCAACAGTGAAGACCTGCAGCTATTTCGTGAAGAAGCAGAGTACTCGGATTATTTATCTGCTCATGTGACTGGGCAGCACTTTGAACGACGTCGGGATGGCATTATATTTTACGAGATTGAAGCACATTTAAGCAAGCAACAGTGGTGCGTCGTGCGTCGTTTCTCTGACTTTCGTGCACTTCGACAGCAACTCATTAAGCACTTTAGTCGAAGCAAACGTCGTCGTGAACCACGTTGTGCAATTTGTGAAAATGAGCTGGCTTCCATTATAGAGACCAGCTTCCCCTCGCGCCATGTCTGGGTCTCACGCCTTTTCTCCAGTACATCGGGAGGTACACTAGAGGATGAAATTGTCGAAGATCGAAAAACGCGTTTTCAAGAGTTTGTTGCCATGTGTCTGCTAACGATTAGAAGTCTTCGCCAACACATGCGTGTACTTCCAGATAGCACCACTTGCGAGATCAGTGTGGCCTTGCAAATGATGGAGGAGTTTTTGGGCTTAAGTTTTACGAGATACTTGGGGTTTCTTGGCGAACGTGGCATTGTCGATCAAATGTCAGAGACTACAAGACAAAGCCTTTCATTACGACGACGTCAAAGTGAAAGAATAGCATCCAGCATTTATTCAACCTGCTAGACACGAGTAGCAAGCAGTACGCTTAGAATAACAAATAACTGAGTACGCTCTATAGGATTTCAATGTACAGTCACAAAGCACAGGCAACGTTAACTGCAGTGTGCCTCTCTTATAGTGTTTGGACGAACACGTTTGCTAAAGTCTATGCCAAACTTGTAAAGAGCTCGCGTAAAGGCGTCAATTCGTCGTACTGAATCTTGTGTAAGGTAAACTTGATCGACTTAGTGTCGTTCACGGTTGCAGGCGGAATCGGATCAAGCTGGAACATCAGAGGCACAGCCTTAAGCTGCAGGTTTTCGTCACGGGTAAATTCATTTTGATCTTTCCAATCCGAGTATGAGTCTGCAACTTCCACACGAATCATCCGGGCATTCTTCGGAGCATACATGTAGAAAGCGTACTCAACAGGTAACTCCGAGAACCGGCAGTATGGACACCACGGTCTGTTGTTGTCGTGGAATCGACCTGAGACCATCATCAAAAATGTAGGGACTGAGTTCTCCTCCTGCTCATACTTGATCATGGCATCCACGTAGTTATCGTACCCTTTCACCGTTAGTATCTGCTTGTTCTTGACGTCTTCTGGATCTAAAAGCACCTCAGCTTGGTCCGTATTCTTGAACAAATACCGCAAAAACGGCTCGTCATACAGCGATCGCTGCACAAGCATACCTTCTGTCCTGCCACTGCGTCCTTCCCACTTCATAATACAAGGCACACCCTTCACTCGCATGTTTTGGTCATTGTGAAAATCATTTTGATATCTCCAGTACTTTTCCGAACCTGCAAACACCGTTACAAGTCGGTTGCGTCCTGGGGACTTTGAAAACACGTCGTACACGTGTTTCTTTCCTTCTACACACTCGTCCGACCAGTCGTTCGCCTTGAATTGCTCGTCACTACACACAAAGAACAGGAACAATGACTCGTCCGGATTGTATTGGTACTTCTCCAAGAACTCTATCGTCGCTACGTATCCATATATCTCCTCATGTCTTTCAGCAAACTCAGGCAACACCATTTCCAAATCATCCTGTTTCGTTACTTCCTCAATCGCACCATTATCCACCATCAATTTCACATCAGCCGCTACCTCATTAGCTTCCGCCTGTTCCGGCATTATGTTCATCTCTTCTACCGCCTCCAATGGCATCTCTGGAGCACGTACTTCAATCTCTTCATCTTTAACCACATGGTACATCTCTCTAGTCTTTTCACTTCCTTCGACGGTAGCAAGTATTGGAGCTACTGGAGCAGCAGTAGATGGCGATATCGTCGGTAGCACTTCTGGAACGGCAAGATGACGCATATGCTCCTCATTTTGTCGCTGTTCTTCAATAAGTGCTGCAATCGTCACATCGAGGACTTCCTTTCTCTGATCTTGCACCGGTTTCATAACTTGACGTAGATTCCTAAACTGTTCCGTAGGCGCAAAACCTTCAAGGTTCAAAACGTCCTCAAAACGCCAATGAGTTAGGAAAACCACATACACGACAAAGAAGCCACTGACAAGTACATAAAGTGGTCGAATGCGTCGAATACCATATGCACCATAGCGACGTCGACGGTGGCGATCGTGTCCGTACCGACGTGACGCCATTTTTGACAGTGTTTGAACTGTGCTACGTTTGACAGAAGTCTCAACGTATCGATTGGTGTAATCGTTGCAGTACATTTATACTTGAATGGATATGTAATTGGACTGAAAGGACGAAGGCCGTGGCTCGGTTTGAAAGTCGTGTATTGAAACTTAGTCGTACATCATTTGAGTGCTTTCAGCCTTGAAATACACCTCGTAGGTCTTCAGGATGGGAAAAACGCGCTTTATACCGCGCATAAGAAAAGGTATGGGTCGTAGAATCGAAAGTTGCATGGTACATCCATGGCACGCCACGAATCATTAACCCTGTGTCATACCTCCACTTGTTGGCAGGGCTTTTCCAAACACTATAGGAATTCACCGTCTCCACCTTCACTAGCCGTGACCCCTGTGGTGCAAACGCGTAGAACGCGTACTCGACTGAGATTTCGGAATAGCGGCAGTATGGACACCAGGGACGATTGTTCGATGCCAATCGGCCAGCAATGAAAAAGAGAAACATCGGTCCTATCGGAGCAGTCACCGATGAATTCTCACCAGCTGCAATGGTATCCATATACAATCTGTAGCTATCGTACCCCTTGAGCAGAACGACATTCTTTGAAGCAATCGTTTCTGGCGCTAATAAAGGGTCTAGTACGTCTTCGTTTTTGAAGAGATAACGCAACAGCGGCTTATATAACAAGCTCTCCTCGATAATCATACCAGAAGTGGCACGCTTTGTCCGACGACCATTTCCATGCCATTGCATAATTGCAGGAATCCTTTTTACCTTCAAATCGCCGTCTGAAAAGAAGGCATTGGATGTAGACCAGTCCTGCTTTAAGCCGGCGTGAATAGTCAACAACTTGTTTCGTGATGGAGATGTTGAAAAAACTTCATACACCACCTTCGATGCATCCACACACAAACTCATCCAATCTGTCTGCTGACCTCGCTCATCACCGCACACAAAAAATAGAAAAAGCTGCTGATCCGAACCTTCAGGTATCATGTAGTTGGCTAAATACTTCATTGCCGCATCGTATCCCGACACAACATCATGGCGATCCACGAGCAATGACATCACATCCGTCGTTGCCATATGAGATTCAACAGGTGCAATCACACTATCATCTGCTATGACAAGTCGGGGTGGCGTTGAAAGAATGGCTGGACCAGGAGCTGACAACGGAGCAACAGCGCGCAGGTTTTGTAGCTCAACGCTACTGCCAGCGTCTACCTCGTTTCTAATCGGCTTTGAAGCTTGTGAACCACTTGAAGGTTGTATTGTATCCTCATCTTCTTGTGTAACACGCTTCCGTTGTCCTTCCTGATGTATGTTCGATCGTGTGATGATTCCAACGCTCCTGTCCGCTTGAACGACATTAGCACGTAAATCTGCACGATTTGCGACTAACCCGAGCCGAATTTGAATCCAAAACATACAGCAAAAGACAAATGAGCCCATTGCAACCATCAAATAGCGCTGCTTTCGTGTCTTCATGCTTCCTTTACCATGGTAATCTCCAGACATTGTCTTCATCACGTTCATTATAGAAATGGTCCCATCATTTTGTTATTGTTGTTGGTTCGAGTACCGGTATGTAAGGTATGTATGGCGGTAAAACAAGTTAGTCACGGATACCGGTCCAATACCGGTTAAACTGACTCTTCAAACACTTGTTGCAAGGGTTCTAATAGATAAAACTTCTTCGTGACTTGCTGGTAGAAAAGAGATTCACGAGACGGACCAGGATAGATTCGATAGAACCATGGCACGCCCTTGATTCTAAGTTGATGATCCTTTTTGAATTCATTCTCTTCTCGATTGCGCCATTCACTAGATTTGTTGTAAGTCTCGACGATAATTAATTTGGCATTTGTCGGTGCATAGGCGTAAAAAGCGTATTCCATTGGCATTTCCGACTGTCGACACCATGGACACCAGAGGCGATTGTTGTGTTGTAATCGACCTGATACCATCATCAGATACATTGGATACGGCGTTTGATCGGAAGCATAACGTGACATGTACTCACGGTATTGAGCATACCCTCTCAATGTGACAATTTCCTTGGTCGCGACCTCTGGTTTGCCAAGCAACTTGTCGTGTATGTCAATATTGCGAAACAAGTAGCGCAGTAATGGCTCGTATAGTATTGATTTGTCAACTAGTACGCCCCATGTTGAGCGCAATGAACCGGAAACACTGCCATCCCATCGCATTAATGTCGGAATCGCCTTTAGACGAAGATCGTCATCGTTCGTAAAAGCATTTCTCCCATTTATCCATTCGTCGCGAGGTCCTGCGCGAATCGTTACGAGACGATTGGTAGAAGGGTGACGTGGCAAATGTATCGTACACTTTCTTGCGTGCTCGTGCACAATTGGGTGTCCAGTCATCTTTACTGTAGCTGCATGTGAAGAAGAGAAAGAGTTCCTCCTGTGAATCTGCTGGCTTTGTGTACACCTGAAGATACTCCATGGTAGCGTTATATCCGACTAGTACATGATGTCGCTTTTCAAATGGAATTGAAATGTTTGACGTCTTCAGTGCCAGTCGTGACTTGTCAAATCGTCTCGACATGAAAACACTCGGCTGGATCTGCGTATTTTGCATCATTGCAGAACCACTAGAAACTGGCAACATTGTATTATGAGCTTGTTCAGCTCCAGGCAATTTGTCCACGCCAGTCCGTAGATGATCGCTGCCATTACCAGTACTTGTTAGCAATGTCGTTAACGGTATGGGTCCTTTGTAATCCATTGTACTCGGTACTTTCACAGCATCGTCTGTTCTTCTATCCCCATCGTTTGTTTGATCAGCAACAGAATTAGTTTTGATCACCGTCCACTTGTCATCCTTCTTGGGCTTCTCGGTATTTACAAGACCCTCCACCGTATTTGCTATAGCTTCATCTACAAGGTTGTGTCCAGAATCATCAAGAGAGAACGTATCGTCATTGGGCAGCACCATATTTTCTGCTTTGTCCATCAGATGAACACGTAAGCCCGTCGTTACTGCAGTGTGTGCATCATGGATGTTTACGCCCGCAACGGTCTCCTGTTCTCCTTCTTTCTTCATCAATTGCTTTCGTCCATTTTCAGCCGTTTCCTCCATCGGCTTTTCCGCTTCTGCTTGCGCGTGTTCGCCCCTTAATGCGTCCAATTCCATCGTCTTCTTCATGGCATTGTTATCTCGAACCATTTGACCTGAATTCGATGCCCTTTCCTCATTCTGCTTAACGCCAAACGTGTGCGCCCACGTGGTCGTACGCACTATAGTGACGCCGTATATCATCACCACAAACGTTGCTATGGCCAATAGCCACGCATTACGGCGTAACCAGAGCTTTTGGTGCCTATCCTTGATACCCATGTTCTATATATAACGACTAACAACCACCTTTCAAACTAGCGACATCACAACAAGAACAAGAACAAGAGCAGTATGAAAGAAGTACATCTCTCTTGCATGTGATACAGGCGTAGATACAAACACAATGACAACTGACCCTATCTACCAGTGCAATGACCAGATAAAGCAAGCAACTGTCTTGTTCTCGACAACCTACTTCGGTCGTACAATTCGAGGCTTGTTCCTGAAAAACGTCTGCAGTTTTCGAGTCTCGGAATAATCTGGCATAAACTGGTACGTGGTAATCTTGTTAGCAGGAACGTCCTTCTTAATAAAAACAAGGAACGGCACAGCTCGTAGAGGCACCTTGTCTTGAAACTCCTCAACGAGCTTAAAGGGGTTATCTGCCTTCTTCCACTGCTTGTATGAGTCAGCGACGATTACCCGTACCATAATGGCACTATCCGGTGCCGTATAGTTGTAGTAATGCATCACTGCTACGTTTGCACGGTCACAGTATGGACACCAAAACCTTCCATTAAAATCATGGTATCCTGACACAAAGAACATGAAAAGCGGATACGTGTTGTCGTAGGTTGCCAAGTAGTTAATCACCTCTCTCGGCGAATACATTGTCAGTACTTTGTTCTTGTTTGGTGCACCAGCCAAAGGTCGATTCACTTTAAAAACATACTCCAACAAGGCTGAATCCATGCAGAAAGATTCCGTGAGCATTGTTGACGAATTCCCACCACCTTCGTATCGCATTAGTGTCGGAATATGATCCAAATAAAAGAGCTGATTCTGACGAAAGTCATTCATATAATCAGACCAATAGGAATGTGATCCAACACGAATTTCCACAAGTCTCGAACCACGTGGAGCACGGTTAAAAGCGTCCATCACGGGCTTCTTGGCTTGTTCACAGTCTGGACACCAATACTTGCCATTCTCATCCACATCACTCATGACAAAGATATATAATGGTCCTTGTACTTCCACTTCATATTCACTGATAAACTTATAACCTGCTTCAAAGCCCTGTAGATGCAGTACAGAGTGACCAAGGACACGATTCCGGACAACGCCATTCTCTTCTTCCTTGTCGGTATTTTCCATGGAACGTAATGAAATACTTACAGATACAAATTGATACATATAACCCAATGAAAATATAACAGTAATAGCCAGTGCTAGCTGCATAAAGCGCATGGCATTAATCCTTCGACCACCCCCTACTGACGTCTCATCCTCAAGCTTTGCCATTGCTTGATTTGATTCGAAGCGGTAATTTATAAAATAAAAAACCTTTTTTTTCGTTGCGTCGGTTATTTATAGAATAAAATTATGTTGCGCAACATAAACACCATCACTAACTTCAACATAACGAAAAATGCGTCTGTTGTTACATGTGGACTAGGAGCTGGATACTAACAATGATACTTGCATAGAGAAAGCATAGAAGCAGCATGATATAGTCTTCTGATTCACGCACTTGCGCAGGTGAGCGAGAAAAACACACGTCTCGAGCGGTCGAATCTTGCAATAGTGTGGTGAGAAAACACTGTCCCCAACGAACCCAAACACGTAATGCCCATGAGCTCAATACGTCCAAAATCGCTGCAAGTGCAAGACACTGCTGTCGAAGAGGTTTGAGTTCATTGCATCTTCGTTTGCGCTGTCGAATAAAATGAGGATATACACCAGGAACGGCCAACCATGTACAAGTACACGTGAAGACAAACTTGAGCGCGCATGCGTGAGGCAAAGGAAGACCTGAAGACATTTTGGCGAAGATAAACAGGATGACATATGGCCAAATGGCAAAGTCGTGGATGTAGTCGTACCAGTGTTTGCTTGGAATTGAAGCAGACGCGACGAAACTTCCTGGACCGTCGATCGACGATGCACTGTTACCGTGACGCTCAAAAGCACGTGTACGTCGCTTTGTTGCGAGTCGCGGACGTTCGAGCCTGGTGCTTAGTTCTTCACGCATGCAAATATCGTCAGTATCTGCGGTCCATTCAACTTGCACATTGGAAATCAAAGAGAGAGGGGCTGGGAGGTTGTTGTTGTGTTGGTCAGCAAAGTACTTGTCGACAATTGGCCTGAGCCATGTGTAAAAACCACTAGGGTCGCTCTTGATACGATGCAGGTGCTCATTCACAGCACTCGCTGCAGGACTTTTGTGGTTGTTTTGAATCTTCTCGGCTTCTTTACGAATAAGGTGCAGCACAACACCAGCCATCTTCTTGATACCAAAGTTTAGCATGGGCTTGGGAATCGCAAACTTGGGATCAATATTGGCCACAATGCAAGTGCGAGCTTGCATGCGGGTGAGAGGTTCAATCAGAGCACGGAAGCCTTTGACTTCAATACGTTTTGCGTTCCACCCTTGCAATGTAGGGACTGGAACGGAGCTTGTCACTGATGATGCGTCAACAGATCCTCCAAGTAACAGCAGACATCGACTCTCGTAGACAGCATTTATGCCGAATGCTCGGACAACAGTATCACGCTGCAAGAACGGAGATGTTATAGCCAGGTACGCTGCGAGTTCCACATGACCGGTTTCCTCAATCAGCAGTGATTGCGAGAAAAACGGCGCCCACACACTGTATAGATCCACCTCGCGGATAACAGATATTGTGTTGAAAATGTCCACGCCGTCGACATGACCTTCCAGCTTGATCCATACCGATCCATCCTCATCAGGTTTCCAGAATGTGGTCACACCCAACATCGTGTGCCCGAATTGCCACTCATCGTCACACTCCTTGTCGCTGAACTCTTTTAGCGCTTTCACACCTTGATCACGTCGTTCTTTGATGTGGTCAACCAACTCTCGCTCATCGTGCATTGCCCTTAAGACCCTAGTCTTCGCCGCTGAGCTGATCTCGTTTGTACTATTGGTTTTGGCCAAAAATGCTTCTAGCCGATCAATGAGAAGTCCAGCTGAGAATATACGTTCAGTAGCTTTCAAAAGCACCACCTGCTGCCACACCCAGTCGATGTTGCTGGACGTGACGATAACAGAAGAATAGTCCGTTAAGCCGCAGTTTTCGAACTTGCTTTCATTCTCAGCGCTTCCAACTCGTCGCTGAGATGACACACCTCTCTTGCTTGTCCACTCTTGCGACGAGGTCGAGCCAATGTTTGCTGTTGTACTAGCATCACCAACGTTGCGCTTTTTTCCAAACACACCTGACAAACGCTTTGGAATTTTGCATTTGTTCTTTAAGGGATGCCGCTTGCTTTCACCCACAATCGCTGCTGCCGCTATGATTGTTACCACGAATGAGTCGCCACTGCAGCGCAGCAAGTGAGTTATCTCATCAAACGGCATATCCAGAACGTACAAATCATTAATCTCGTAAATGAGGTAGCCTGCTGGTACAAGCACACGTTCTGTCCCCAATTGTGAAAAAGATGTAGAAGGGTCTGGCGTGGACGTCATGCCAGGTTTCGAGGACGAAAGCTCTGAAAGTGCCGAGCTGCTGCTAGCAGAGGCAAATTTCGCTTTTGCAGTCACAGATGGAGCACGAAATGCAACAAAGTCGCACTTGAGCATGGCACTTATAGCTCCACCTTCATCGAGCGGACGTAATGCGCCCACCAAATCATTTATGTCTTCCTTGGACACGAGGCACTTTACAACATTCTGTGGTTCCTTGAAGTAATGATACTGAAGCGGTGCTTCCCGGTCGGGACGAGTAAAGCCAAGTTTGAGTGGACGCGGAGCTCTCTGGATCTCGCTTATGATATCACTAAACTTAAAATCACTCACTGAGATACCATTCACTGAAGTCATGAGAAATCCTGGCTCAATGTGCTCACCGCAAGATCCAGCCTCACCGTGTTTCTTGCAGAAAGCTACAAGCACCTTGTTTGAAAAGACGTCAGCCTTCACATGCAGACCAGTTTTTTGCTTTCGGAAATTGACAACAAAGTCATCGTCTAATGGCGTTACTAATCCAAATCCACTGCGTGAAGCTGTATCTACTGATGTTACTGAGCTCGCACAAGAAAATCTCGCCACACATGATGGAGCTTTGAGAAACGATGCAGAGCTGAGACAGTCTGCCGAGGAAGAATGGTTTAAATGAGTGAAGTCCGGACGCTTGACTTCAAGCTCCGTTGAAAGAGAGCGTATTCGTCTGCCTTGCATAGTAGGCGGGTCACTGCGAGGCGCGTCATCGTCATCCCATTCCTCGCTCCTACTATCAGTCACCCGACGAGCCGGTCGTTTATTGTTAAAGAAAACCCTGCCTTGTGGTCGTGGGCTGGCTGTCGCGGTTTTTTGTTCTTCAGTCACAATAGGCCCAATCGCGCTCTTACTGGAAGTAGAGCTCACACTAACTGGTACAAACGCCGCATCAGCAGCGTCGCTTCTATGCCGCACAACTCGAGAAGGAATGCTTTGTATCCCGTCGTCGTCTAACGTTTTGACATAGTCAGCATATCCAGTACAAGCTTTACGCAATTCAGTCATGAATGAAGGCATCCTTGTCCGTAGCAGCAAATTCACCATATAATTTGGAATACTAAAATCCGTGTCGTCCTCATACTCAAGATGAAAGTCACACGAATCGTTCGAACTCGGTAGACTACGAATGGACAAACTCAGCGTACACGTCTCTACTCTCACTCGAGTATCATGGGCTGGAGCATCACCATGATTTGCAGCTTGATAGAGCACGACGAATGCATTCTGGGTCGGGTAAAACTTAATTTGTCGTCGATAGACGTAATCCCGATCAGCCAAAGGCCACGGTAGCTTCAATGCAAAGTACATGACGTCGCTCACGTTTTGACGCTCGATTACATGTAGCTCATGCACAGTCATATCCCAAGATTCTCTGTATCGTGCGTCCATCAGTGCATCAAATAGCGTATCGGCTGAGAATGGCAGCCACCCTTTGGCATAATAAACAGGTAAACTCGAGTCATTTTGGCTTAGACGAAAGATCTCGACGTCTTTTTCAGCATAAATGAGTTCTTCTAGATTCGCCCACACTGCATTTTCACCCATATCAACAGCATCTAGAGGGTATCAAGCAGTATAACGAATCGATTAGCGACAAATGAGTAACGTGGTGTCTTTATCATTACGAAAAAGCTTCTCTCTACGAGTCAATACCGTCAAATTTAGCATCGCTGAATTCAGGATCAGAGCTACGATGCAATAGAGGTGGTCGTTTACCCAACGTAGCAACGCGTGAGCGAGTTTGAGAAAATTTGGAAGCCTCAAAGGAGCTCATAATAATGGTGCACTTCTGCGGTTGCTCGGTGCTTCCTTGGTCTCAGATATTCTCAGATCTGAGCCGTAGGTTGCTCGAAAGTGAAAAAGTCTCACATGAACAGAAAAGGTTGACAGGAAGTTGCTCGAAAGGGACAATTGTGACGAACGGTCCTTTCTGATACCAAAAAGAGGAAAACAATACAAGGAAAATGTCTTGTTTACTGCCATTACAAAGCATACGACTTACCAGTTTCTCATCATGAACCCTTTCTTACGAGAAATTTAAGCATTCGAAACTACTTTTTAGTTGCAACCCTTGATCATTTAAAGAACAAGAAATCAGAGCGTAAACTTTTTTTCCACTCTTTTTAACGAGTGCACGATCGAATAAATAATACCCCAACAAAGAATAAGACGAAAAAGGGTTTAAAGGATAATGAGGATATAACGATGATATGACTTCAGAACGTTGATGTCATTTGTCAGTTGTCGATGATTTCGTACCATTGTAATTAAACCAGATACGTACGCAATAGTACTCGTCTCCATTGCAAAAAGGTAATAGAAATGCCGTATACACGATATGACTGTATATGTATATGTGTATACACAAGGAAATGTACCTCGAGCACGCCACGGTACGAGGATTTGAACATCGCTGTGGTTTGGACTTGTATCTGCACATCGCTGTCGTGCGATATAAGTTTCTTCGATCCATTTCTTTCGATGGAAAGCCTTGCAGCTAGAAGTGACTAACACGAAAATGTCGACATCTCTGACTTGACCTCGTCTGTAAACACCTCCCTTCGAATGACGAAAAATGACGTCTCATCGTCATACGAAACAACTAACGGCTTGGTGACAAGTTTCGTGCTTTGCCATAGCAAAGTTGTGGACTTGAGTGTCATTGGAGTAAACAATCGTGTCTCGAGCTCATTGACACATCACTATAAAGTACAGCACGACGATAGACTTGAAAAGGTGAGTTTAGTAGCTTTCTACTGAAAACAAACAAGGATGAGACCTCTTGAGCGACAAAAGTGAGCCAGAAGTCGCGCCTCATCCGTGTAAAAGCGTGAAGGAATTAATAAAAAAGAATCCCAATCGAAAGGACATTTGAATACAACCTAGTCCAAGTTTATCACTGATCAAGTACCATGCCACCCCCGTTTTCTGATCACTATCTGCAAACAAAGCAAGATCAGTTTGAATAAATTCAAGAAAATGACCCGACTATCACAAGACACCAAGCCACTACGTCAGTCCATGTGTATGTACAGGAGGTATCTATGTCCGTGTTTCGATGAGTCAGTTTCGACCGACACAGAGCGAAAGAACCACGTGTTTTTTGATAGTTACCACAAAGGTCTAGGATTTGCATGAGAAAGTCAGATAGACAAGGATGCATTGAAGATGCATTGATTGGGATCATTACCACAAATCTCATTTGTCATTACTACGTTCGACACTGTTCATAATAAGCCTTATCCACTGTCTTGCGGTTTGGTATCCGTGGGTTCAGGCAGTTTGGTTTGCCGGCTCTAATTGTTCGACCATGTGTCATACAAAAGCTGTGGCATGGCCTAGTCTCTTTCGTGGTGACATGATGCTGTCGCACCATTAGCGGCGCCTGTAAGAAATTATCTCACTTGGTCGTACATTTCCCATTTTCTAACTTCCAAGCTTAAGATCAAAGCTCCTACAATCTTTGTAATGACGTCTTCTAGGTCAATATTTGCACCTCTATCCATGTCACCGTCTCAAGCTATGAAACTTGAGATTATGATGAAACAACAGGTGCAGGACGCAGTCCTTGCTCGGAGTGTACAGCTTTTAAGAGACAATAAACTTGACTCGGACTGGCGCCTTGTTGGTTCTCTCGGTCAGCTCAAGACATTTAAAATCCGAGGGACGGATTCGTTTTGCTCAACTTCTAACTGGGTTACGACATCGGAGAGAAGCAGTCGAGTTATGGCTGGTGTCCATGACCGGATCAGTACACATTCGTGGACGAGACGCAGCCGAAGCTCTTATCGTATCTCCTCTCATCGTACCATGGCCGCAAGTAGTAGGCGTCACGACCCACTACCACTTAAGCCAAGCCCACCGCTCCAGTCCTTTCGCACGTTTGGCCACATTCAAGGAAATTATCGCGACATTGTCGGTGTGCACTACGCGACTAATTCGATTGACTTTGTCCAGCAGCAGAAACTCCTCTCGCCGGTTGTAATTGATGGCGCTGTCCTACACACAATTCGCGCAACTAAAGACAGTTACTTGGGCATCAAGTGGTTGGCTGTAAATACCTTTGCAGGTAAGCGTGATGTTTGCTATGTTGAAATGGTGGGCTACACGACCGATGCCAATGGACACGAGATCGGCTTTGTAGCACTAGCGTCAGTGGATGTACCAGAGTGTCCTGAGCTTACAAGTCCAATCAAGTTAACACGTGTACGGATGAAGCGTACGATGCTAGTCGCCCCGGCAGCAGGTGCAGCAAAAACGACCTCGGAAGTCTTTGTCATGGGTGCCAGCGAGACAAACGAGTCGTCAATCGCCACTCTTGCGCAGTATCGACTCAACATGGCCGTCCTGAATGATTTCTCACTAGTGATTGATTCCCAGAACATTGCGCAGCAAAAGTTAACTGCCCACAAGAATTGGGTTCCGGATAAAAATCGTGCTTCATGCAGCATTTGCAGTCGTCGATTTCGTTTCGTGTTTCGGCGACGACATCACTGCCGTTTGTGTGGGGATGTCGTTTGTAAGACTTGCTATGTTAATCGCGCTGTACCGGGCACAGGCGTGGAAGATGGAAACAATTGCAGGTCTCCAACTATGAATGCCATTTGCCAGACAAAATTTTGCGTACGATGCGTGATGAGCCTTCGTGTCATGGATAAGCGCGTTGGAAAGCTGAATCAGCAAACAGCCGAGACGGAATTGGTTCGTGCGGAAACTTCGGACGTGTCCGAGACCAATGTTGAGCAGCAATCACCTGTAAATGTACGCGACTCCTCCGTCACGTACTTCAAACGCGGTACCAAGCAGAAATACACACTGGATCTGGATCAGCTCTACACGATGTCAGCTTCGCAAAACATCAGCAGCCCTGAAAAGGACAACAGTGTTGAAGTTAGTGGCACCACTGCTCGAGCAATAGTCGCAAGTTTGCTAGCTTCGCACGGTGGTGGTGGGCCAAAGTGTCTTCGGCCCTCACTATCCATCGACCCTGCTCATTCAAACTCGTACACGAAGCTTTGCGCATTGAGCCGCCACAGCTCCGCCACGAGTCTTGGGAGTAAGTCTCTCATCGAAAGGAATTCAAACTATACCAGTTCAGTTGCATGGTCGCAATCTAGTTGCGAGATGCGATGAGTGCAACAATTTTTATTGCGGGTGTCAAGCCAAAGAGGAAATGCAGTAAAGCACTGGTTGCTGTGATCCGACGAGTCGAACGTTTCCTGCTCATAGCAAACAGCGGAGCAGTATCTCAAAGAACTTACCATCGGTAGTAGTTCATGCTATAATTTATCAGTTAGAGCAGGCGCAGACGAAGAAGTTTCGCTAGAATTTGCTTAACGAAATCAAATAATATCTCGTATAATCATCCACAAACTGTCTCGTGCTAGTGATGAATGACCCTGTATTCCTTCATGTGTTATAGCACTTGTTGCATGAACCTGATCGCAATACGCGCACGGGAATAGGGAATTACACCATGTCTCTCAGATGCTCAATTACATGCTGTTGCCGCTGTGGAAACATACGCTGTTAGTTACTCCTCATTTACAGACTCGTAAGACCTTGACTGTATCATGCTTTCGTTCAATCGTCGTCATTACTATCGGTCCATCCATCCGTTGTTGGCAAATTAACAATTCCAACTCGAAGGCCCCTAACGATGCCAGCAACCCTTTCGGTATACCAAGCTTCTTTGCTTTTGTACAGCTCGTCGTCGTTATCGATTTTTGTGATTCCAGCGCATTTCCACACCAAGCTTGTTCGACTTTTATACCGCTGTTACCGTAAGCTTTGACTCATCGCCGTTCGACTCGACTTTGTCGGCAGAGAAAGCATACAAGCTAGGAGATTGCACAGATGAAAGCGTCTAATTGTACAGGGGGCAGAGCTTGCTCGTTCTGCACTCGTCCATGCAGATTACTGTTGCACACTTGTGCAGTGCATACTTCAACCCCTCAAACAAACTTGACCCATGTTTGCTCTTTACTCTGCTCCAATCCTCTCCACAAGCTACGATCGTTTCTAGCTTGCAGATGCAATGACCTGCTTCATTACCACATCGACCGCCACGCGACGATGTATTTTTTGGAAAATATCACGCGTGGTAACAAGCAATTTAACTTAAAAGCCGACGGTAGCTCCAGGAAACTTCGCTAGATCGCGGTCTAGAAGGATGATATCGTGACGATGAGCTTTTGGCACTCGTCACCATTCTTCTAACACTTGCTCCGCACCTTAAGCATCCGAGCCCAGACAGATTACAGTGATTGCGCGTGATCACATGCACAATATGCAATCTTTGTGACACTTGCAAATACTGACTTTTTACATCCAGCCCAAATGATTGCTCTTCTGCTTTTGCTTGAGTTCACCCTAATATCGGCGTGCTCTACGTAGCCTTTTCCAAATTTGTGACTGCACTCTGGTCGTGAGAAGGGCAAAAGTCTCCACCAAGATCGTTACCATAACATCTCACTTCCACCATCGGTCATCACAAACGCTATTCATCCTAAGAGGCATCAGTCAGATGCATGTGTCAGATTTGTGCTGTCTGCTATGTCACCTAATACCGTCTGAGATTCATTTTTCTGCGTAAGTGCATGTGCAATGGCTTCAAATCCCCCGGCATTGGCAACGTCGTAAGGCAATCGCCCGCGTTTGTCGGTTAGTGTCAAGCTCGCACCATTCAGCACAAGATAGTTGCAACAGGCCGCAGCACCTGCGGCAGCGCTTACATGTAAAGCCGTTTCGTTTTGCTCACCAGCACGTACATCAACGTCTACTCCGTGTGCTAAGCACCACATCAACTCTTTCACACTTCCACGTGAAGTTCCAGCAATAAACCGCTTGGCCAAATCTTGCTTTAGTACGCTATCATCATCATTTAATCCATCTTTCAATGTCGCATTGGGTTCGGCAAAACTACGGAAATGATACTTAGCCTTAATAAATTGAGCCCTTTCGTCATAATTCGTCGTTGGTGTCGGCTTGGTCCAGCCATCAGGCACCGTGTGCTCCCAGATTGCATTCACCGCGTTATTCCCGAGCTCGTCACGAAGCAGCGTGAGCAGGGACATATCCCATGAGTCTAAAGTTAGTGATCGTACCTTAGATTCGTGCACACCAAGACTTCGGTGGATTCCCGAGCACTCAATGCACAACAAGCATCCAATATTGATCGATACCCACTCAGCTGGCTCCTGTCCACAGTCTGCACAGTATGGATTTGCCTTAACTAACTCGTCAATGACCGACTGTTGCTCCGGATGCACCTCCTGGCGATGGCTTTGCTTTTCTAAAGCGCTTTCGGTGCTGTGGCGTGCAGCCTCAATCCACTCGATCATATCACGAGCACTGGTTGCCTGCAGTAAGAATTTTGCGCGATTCGCGTCGATAACCTCAAAACAGAAAGGAAGACTTGAACCCTCCAATTCGCGCACCCGAGCGAGTAACAAATCGCATACAAGAGTCAAGCTGGTTTCTGTAGAATGTCTGCTGCTGCCACCACGGGATGTAGTCTGGAACAGCTTGCCTGCATATATCTGAAACCAACGTCGTTTCCAACTTCTAGTCGGAAACATCGAGTTGCGAACAAACAAATAGCCCTGTTTTGCAGCACCACTAGGAGAAGTGGCCACAGTCTCTCGGCTGTTGGAGGTATCAGTTGAGATTACCTCCACAGGCAAGTCAAGCGATGGAAATGATTCATTTAACGCAGCTGTATCAGCACTCATCACACTTGATGCCACCGGCGAAGGTTCACTGGACCCAATGTTAGAGCTGACAATGTCAACATGTTGCGATAACCGTTTGTCGAGTAGCTCCCGCTGTGATGTCCACATCAACTCATCTCGTTCAAAATCCTGGCGTGAAACTTGCAGCATTTCTTGACGTTTACGCAGCGTAGGCTCCACGGACTTGACCAACTCGTGACATGCATGGAAGTGACCGAGATGAGCATACATAATGGAATTGAAGCACTCCGTTAACACAAGCTTCTTCATGCAATCAATTCGATTCAGGTACCGAACCAGGTCAAAACGAGCCAGTTCAAACCGTCGACGTGCTATCATCACTTCTCGCTCCAGTGCTCGCTGATGTTTATCATTACTTCCATGAATCGTTGGCCCTGGCTCCAAACTTAGAAAACTGTTGCTAGTACCACTCGAAGCAGAAGCTGGTGGTGTTTCCAAAGTTGTGTGTTCACCAACTGCATTGTTTTTCCCTCCTAGCAAGGCAGGACTGCCTAGCCCCAGTGTTCCAATCAAATCGCCCGATCCAGTAGGAGTTGCTGTTCCATTGGTACATTGCCCCGGCTGTCTAGGTTTGCTCAACAATTTTGCAAGTAGTGTTTCATACTCATCTCCTAATTTCATCACATCCTTTCGCAACTCTCCCGTCTCTTTCATCACTTCTTTCTCTGAAAATTGTTGTATCAATCTGCTCAGCAACGACTCGACACCAAGCAACATACTCACACGCGAGCTCTGTATCTGTGCCAATGTGTCGTGCATTTCTCCAACCAACTCGGATAAACTTCCTAATTCCGGAAAACTCGTTGAAAAAATAGCACGTGTGTGTTTCCGCTGGACCAACTCTTGTGCCAGTGCCGTCTCCTTTTCACCATAATATTTCCCTGCAGTTGCATACTCCTTTGAATGTATCATCACTTCTTTTAATAGCAATCTCAAGCCATTAATCGACTCTTCATATTCTTCCAATTGACTGCGAAATACGGGCGAATCTTGTACAAAATCGACTACCACATTATTACCAACACATAGCTCGAGTCTCTCTTCATTCACGTCCAAAGGTGCTTGATATCGCATAGAAGACGTTGGTGATGAATTCGATGCAGGATTCTGCAATGTATCCACATCCGGTCGTAAATCTTCACTCGTAGCAGCTAATTCCTTCCTGTCTGTATCGAATTCTTTGGTACAACTTTCAGTTATGACATCGAATTGTTTTAATTGGCTTAAAGTATCTACCGGCAGTGCACCAAAGTGCGCCATGTACGCATCCAATTGCGTCTGTAGACTCAATATCATGAGATCTTTCTTTAGAATAACTTGTTGGAGTTCTGTGACGGCATCATTCGAGCCTTTATTGCCACTATCATGACTTCGCCAAGCGTTAAACGCCTTCATCGTCTAGGATAGAAATAGAATGGATGGAGACTTTTAGCCAATAAGAAAACGACAAAGAAATACGGTTAAAATAAACCTAATGATAACCCGTGGCTGTAAAATTAGGACAATGGTCGTAAAGATGATTATGACCGACTAACTGACTGTCTGTCTGTCTCCTAGTATCTATTGCTTTGTACCAGCAAAGACATCGGCAAATTGATCTTCCGGCAATTTACGATCAGGTAGTCGATCCATGCGTTCATTTTCTGCCGTCTTACGAGACACATAGCGATCACGCTTGTCAGCCTTCACATCACGACGAGTTTCGTTCGGAGACACGTAGTGCTCATTCTGGTACAGTGTCTGACCACCAAAACTGCCATCAAAGATGCGAACTGGAGTAATGACAAAACGTGGACCGATCTCAATGAGCTGGACGAGGTCCTCACCACGATGCAAAGCCGCTAGCTCTGCCTTCTTTGTGTCGGCATCGTCTGCTAATTGATAGTTACGACACCAGACTTTGCCGTCAGCGTAGTAAAAGCTCATGACCCGGTCAATAAACGGTTTACTCTTTGGATGTGCTTTCGGTGTACCCCATACTTGTGTGAATAGTTTCTTAATCACCTGAAGATGTGGCATCTCGTTAAAAGCCTTATCAAACGTCAGTAGTGGTCGCGAGCCAGCAAGCGCATTGCCCGTCATCTTGAGCTCATCCATGGTATGCACTGTATAACAGAACGATTGCAATAAGGATGAGACGGTCGAACAACAACAAGTTTTTTGCAATTGCACGTACCGTTCTGCACGAGAAACTTGACGCTTGGACCCGTCCCGATGCGACTGACCCACATGTAAAGATCCTGACGCTTACGAGCCTCAAGGAAGATGGTCGTATTGCAACCTTTAATCTCTGCAATCTCATTGACCACATGCAATGTGTCCTTAGTATCAAGCTTTACTTCACGCTTATGATGCGGTAGTAGCTTGCGAAAGTCGTCCAGGAGATGACGATAGCGGGTCGTAATCCCGCGCGATGAGAAAACGAGCACGCGCTGTTTGTTAACATACTTATTGCCACCAGCTGTTGCTAGTTTTTGTTTCTTGAATTCATCCGCTGCATCCACTTGTGCACTAGTTTCCTTCTCACGTCGTCGCTTCATCATGGCCATAGGAATTGAACTGCTTGCTACTATAGAAGACTGACTTGCTTGATATGTAAACACAAATGGCTGGCGCAGATTGAGTACACAAAAATAGGTATCGATAACAAAACAAAAGCACCCGGTTTTTGTGCCCAAAAATGTCTCTCTATTGTAGCAAAATATTTTCAGTCAAAAAATGGTAGCAAAATGTAGAGAAAGATTCGAGTACAGGTCAAATGGCTGGAACAACTGTTACGCCTGGCGCCTTTTGTCGAAAAAAAGTCCTGGAGCCTCTTGTGCTGGTCCAATTCGCCCCCAAACTCCCGCACCTTAACCTTGTTATTGCTTTCGTTCTTGTCCACAAAACCCAAATACGGTACACCATCAAACTCCACAACCTTTTCACTGAATTCAGGACCAACAAAGTCGTTATCTTCGTCAAACCATTGACGAGGTTCGCGTGCAACGACAATGCGTAGCATTACTGCATTCTCTGGTGCCGTGTTATTATAATAGTGCATGACAGGCACATCTCCTTTGTCGCAGAATGGACACCACAGTCGGTTGTTGAAAGCGTGCACGCCTGATACGAAAAACAAAAAAAGAGGATAGCTATAGTCGTAAGACGCAAGGAAGTTCATCACTTGCGTCGTACTGCTCATGTGCATGACGCGGTTTTTATGAGTAGCTCCTGCCATCAGTTTGCTCACTCTAAAGACCGTATCAAGTAAATCTTGATTGAGACAATTGGGTCCTGCAAGCAATGCCGACGAATTACCACCGCCGTCATATCGTAAAAGTGTTGGCATGTAGTCAATGTAGAATAACTGGTTCTGTCGGAATGGATTCATCAAATCGTTCCAATATTTCTCCGATCCCACCTGGATCTCCATTAGTCTCGAACCACGAGGTGCACGCTGAAAACCTGTATACACGGCTCTCTTAACCTGCTCGCATGGTGGAAACCAGTAGACGCCATTGGCGTCCGTGTCGCTCATGAACAGCAGAAAGAGTGGTCCTTGCGTCTTCACATCGTACCCGCTCACAAACTTATGCGCCTCCTCAAAGCCTCGCACTACATACTGCGTATGACCACGTGGTCGGTCTCGATGAACTACCAAAGTAGAGGTCTCTGCCGCTTGAGCGAGTTTAGCGGCAGCATCCTTGGACGGAGATACAGCGGTGTCTGCTATGAACTGCCACATATACAACATAGAGAGGAACATTGTAACTCCTAGAGTAATCTGCATAAAGCGCATGAGGTTAAACGACCATAGACTGGATGCTTCATGTGTCTTCTGACCCTCGGTCTTTGTCATTTTGAAAATGTTTACGTTTGACGTACGTGGCACCCTAATTCCCAAAATGTGTCCATTTGAATTTGATTCGTCAAAAAAAACAAGTGAGCTAATTCTGTGATCACATACGATTGAGTCCAGACCTAATCTGATTCTACGTCTCCAAAGTGCAAAATATGTGTCTTTTTATGCCTGTATACCTTTTTATTTGCATCCATCTTACAAAATCCTTTTTCGTCGTTGTGATTGGCTGAAAGTATGCTTTTTCATTATAGCTGTCAATATAGTCAGCAAGTGGCTCCGACATGGTGCGGAAGAACGCATTCGCGGAGCTGCTCGCCGATCACCAGCGACAAAAGGAAGCTGTTGAGTCGTCTACGACCATCTATGATCATGCATCATCTTCTTCTGCATCTACAGGTTCCTTTGCACCTTTTCCGATCTCCAGAGACGCAGTAGAAGGTGCACAATCTTCAGCTCCCGGATTGTTGCCACCCCGATCGGCCTCGTCACGTTCTCAAGGCCGCCACAAGCGGGATGCTGCGTATCGTATGGAACGAGTATATGAGGAGGTATCGTGGCGGAAGTCTCAAGTATTTGCAGGCCCTCGTATGTCCTCTGATACGGATAGTAGTGTCACGTCACCAGCTTCCGATGCGCCACTTTCTGCGGCTGTGACAGAAAACAAGCGTGATTGCTGTGCACAGCCACGCTTTTTACAGTCAATGGATACAATGCATGAGGAGGACGGTAAAGTATCTGCGAGATTGGATATGGTTAACAGGTTTCCATCGAGACCAAAAGATAGGAAGAGACCGCGAAAAGGCGTAAAGAGTGTAGAGTTTACTCCACATTCGTTTCCTGATGTATTACGATCATCGTCGAGTCAAGCATTAGTTCAAGGTCATGTAAAGGTGCTCAATACTGACGATTATTGTCACCATGATGGCAAGAATGAAACGAGAGCAAGAAGAAGAGAGCGACAAAAACACAGACGAAGACGTCGACGTGAAAAAGAGAGTCGAAGGTTATCGGGTAGTGGAAAGAACAAAGGAGCAATGCTGTTGGACGTGGATGATGCTACCGTACAGTACATTGATGCGGTACTGGTGAAACCGGATCCGCAGGTTTTTAACAAGTACACGCGGTGTTTTTTAGACTCGAAACTTGAAACTCTGTACCAAGATTTCACAGCAATTTACTGGTTTACACGTGCTCGCTGGCATGTGGTAGCATGGATAGTCGTGCACTTGTTTTCAAATCTTGTCTTTTACACACTGCCGAGTTCCAGTTTCATAGGGATGGAGCAGTTCATTCTCTCGTACGACTCCCTCCCGACATTCTTCCAATGGATCTACATTCCGATTGCGCTGCCGTTTGCCGGTCTGCCTAGCAAGCATAATCCGTTTCAGACGCGATGGCGGAGCTGGATATGCCTTATCATTATTTTCTATAACTTGACGTTTCAGTTATGGCTGGCAGATGCCAGCCGTTTGGCCAGCAACGTGCACGCAGCGATCGTTCACGATCATTTGTCATGTGATGTCTTAAAACCAGAACTAACGTCTACATTTGGCGTACATCATGGAAGTTCAATTGGTAAGAATTACAATCTAAGCAATGACACGATTACGAACGCTTTGGCTCATCTTGACGACGAGCAAAGGAACCTAGCGATCAGCGTGACCCAAACTTTTTCAGATGCACTGGTTCAAACACTTGTTGGGTTTGCGTCACTGTTCAGCTTTCTGTTTGTGATATCCATTCGTCTGGAGTTTGTTCAAGTTGTGGTTGTGGCAGTCACCAATGTCGCCACGTATGCCATCGTGGTGAGTGCTTTCGGTCTCCAGTTGCAGTGGGTCATTACTTTTGCCTATGGAACGGCGGTCATACTCCTGCTTATTTTGTCATACTCGTCGGACCGCACGAATCGCCGTTCATTTCTCTCGAATTTTCTGGTTGAGAAGAAGAACGAAAATCTCAAATCGTCCCTTAAACAGGCTGAGGCAGCATTACAGAATGATGCTGCCCATGCAGATGAGGAACGTGCAGTGGCCCGAATACTTGCAGCGCCTGAGATGCGCCATCTTGAAATGGTACACATCCCGTTTGCTGACTTTACTTTTCTTGAAGCGATCGGTCGCGGCTCGATGGGCGATGTTATCAAGGCTCGATATTTCGGCACCATTGTTGTCTGTAAGCGTATGCGTCGTGAACACATCGTTGAGCCCGGTGGTGGTCGGAATCGAAACGAAACCCGCGATACATTTAACGGAGACAGCGCATTGGCAAGTTTTCGCGATGAGATTGAGCTAATGTCGTGCCTGCGACATCCGAACATTGTTCAGTTCATTGGTGCAAGCTGGGATAACGCTTCTAATTTGTGCATTGTGATGGAGTATCTGGAAAATGGTGACATGCATCGTGTGCTGCACTCGGGCTTGGGAAAAAATTTTACGTGGGCAGATCCTTTGCTTAAGATGGCGGTCGATGCTGTGCAGGGCATGCTCTATCTTCACTCCCAAGAACGTCCAGTGGTGCATCGTGATTTAAAAAGCGTCAACATTCTTTGCTCTGCGACCTTTGGCTGTAAAGTGGGTGATTTTGGTCTCAGTCGCAGATACAAGGAGGGCGTTGATGCACTCACCACTCTTGTTGGCACTCCATTTTGGCTCGCGCCTGAGATCATTCGTAGCGAGCGATATGGTCCAGAGGCTGACGTTTATTCATTCGGTATTGTGCTCACGGAGCTTGAGACACGATGCACTCCGTACCACGACCAGGAGGAGACAGGATTAAAAGTACTCATGCGTGTGGCACACAAAGGACTAAGGCCATCGGTGCCTTCCACTTGTCTACCTGAGCGTCGTAAACTCATTGAAGATTGCCTTCAAGATACTCCTGGCCGTCGCCCAACATTTGCACAGGTCCTTTCACGCTTACAAGGTCCTGTCCTGCTTGAGATAGAGGGTCATGTTGCAACTCAGCCTGAGGTCGAACGACGCGTATTACTACGTCGCCATCAGGAACGTCGAAGTCTCTAAACCAATCACCAACTATTGAAAGCGAATGTGATGAGGAAATATACTGCACGAGCTGTGCGATCGATTTGACAAAGTTCTTGGCTTTATCGCACGACGAAACCAAAAGCTTCTCCATAGCGTGTGATGAAAGTTGTCATTCATGACAAACGCTCTTGTTGTCTCTAGGACCTCGTAAGTTTTTATACAGATCAATGCATAAACCCATATGAGCAACGCAATATCTCTTCCTTTAAAGATGCTCACGTGGTCTATGACAAATGTTTGAGAGTACGTCACATTCCTTGTCAAACGTGACGGTTACGAAATGGTTACAAGGTTGTCAATATGTGCACCAAATGACGGAAATCATGCTTTCTTATTGGTTAAAATCACTTGATAAAAACCATTGGCCTTCGATAATTGATGTCCATCTGAGTCTCCATCACTTGGGCATTTGTTTCCTAACATTCAAGTTCTTGTTGTGAGGCCTTAGAAGGTGGTTTATCTATTTACCATCAATGGCTTCTACTAATGACACCATTGATTCCGAGCTCTTCGATGGTCGCTCAGCTGTTGATATCTTTGTCAATAAGAATCACGGTCAAGGTTATACCTACGATGATTTGATTTTAATGCCTGGACATATCAACTTTGGTGTTGATGCTGTTAAACTAGAGACAAAGATCTCGCGCAATATTTCACTGCACTTGCCGCTTGTATCATCACCTATGGATACAGTAACAGAGCATGCGATGGCTATTGGCATGGCTTTGCATGGTGGTATTGGTATTATTCATTACAATATGACCGTAGAAGAACAGGTGAAAGAAGTGCATTTGGTCAAGAAGTTTAAGAATGGATTCATCACGGACCCCAAGTGTTTATCACCAGAGGATACACTCGCTGATGTAGATCGCATTAAGGCTGAGTTTGGCTTTGCTGGTATTCCTATTACCAAGACGGGAAAAGTTGGCAGTGTCTTGGTCGGTATCGTGAGCAATCGTGACATTGATTTTATTGAAGACCGTCAGACGAAGTTGAAAGATGTCATGTCTGAAAACCTTGTGACTGCTCTTGAGGGTGTATCGTTGAAGGAAGCAAACCGGATTTTACGTGAGAGCAAGAAGGGTAAACTACCTATTGTCAATGCCAAGGGTGAGTTTGTATCTCTCATCTCGCGTCGTGATCTGGTCAAAAATCGTGACTTCCCACACGCTTCCAAGGATGAGAATAAGCAACTACTAGTTGGTGCTGCCATTGGTACTCGTCCTAATGACCGCGAACGTTGCGCAGAGTTGGTCAAAGCCGGAGTGAATCTTATTGTGATTGACTCGTCACAGGGAGACTCGACGTTCCAGGTTGACTTGATCAAGTGGATCAAGGTGACATACCCCCAGATTGACGTGATCGGTGGAAACGTTGTCACACGTATGCAGTGTAAGCGTCTTATCGATGCTGGTGCGGATGGCCTCAAGGTTGGCATGGGTGTTGGCTCTATTTGTACGACGCAGGAAGTGTGCGCTGTCGGCCGTGCTCAGGCTAGTGCCGTCTACAACACTGCTCGCTACGCTCATCAGTTCGGTGTACCTGTCATTGCTGACGGTGGTATTGCGAGCTCTGGTCACATTGTGAAGGCTCTTACGGTCGGAGCGTCGGCCGTCATGTGCGGCTCGCTCTTCGCTGGTACCGAAGAAGCCCCTGGCCAATACTTCTTCCAGGACGGTGTCCGTTTGAAGAAGTACCGTGGCATGGGCTCCATTGAGGCTATGACACAGGGATCGTCGAAGCGTTATTTTGCCACGCACGCTACTGTCAAGGTCGCCCAGGGTGTGAGCGGCTCCGTGGTGGACAAGGGATCACTGATGAAGTACGTTCCATATTTGCAACAAGGCATTAAGCACGGCCTGCAGGACCTGGGTCAGGTTTCCCTGGCTTCCGTGCATGAGGCGCTTTACAACGGAGATCTCCGCTTTGAACTCCGGACGCCTGCTGCCCAGCGTGAAGGCAACGTTCACTCGCTGCATGCGTACGAGAAGCGTTTGTACTAAGCAGCGAACTAAGTTGTTATCTGATTCGTCTGCAACCACGTCGGAGTCCGCTATTCCTATCTACAGTTATGTAGTGCAGTCACTGAGCATGACCATGACTTCTTTGAGCAATTGCTTGATCGATGTCGAGTCGAAAGCTGCATCATAATGAACGCCAATACATAGACATTTATCATATGATCCATTCGCTCTTCATTGGCTTTGACGCAGACACGCAGTTCACTGTCACTCCTGTATAGATATCACGACAAATTACACATGTATCTCAAATCTATGATCAACTGGTCCTTCTCTATATAACGATCCGACCGGAATTGACGCAAGCTCTTGCATGAAATTCAACAACGTCACGCCGCAGCAGTCAATCTGATTGTACACACAACACAGTGAATGCACTCGCATGCCTAACTCCAATGCTTACACCGCGCAGCATGCAGCCTCGAAATAACAAAATAGCTTATTAGCTCAAGACGTGCCGTACTTCCTCAAATACTCGTCCATTGGTAGAAAGCATAACTCGGCCTCGCCATCGACACCACGCCAGAGCTTTGCAACTTCGGCCAGCTCCATCTCATACACAGGCAAGCCGTTTATAGCAACAAGCACATCACCAACATTGATCGTGCCGCTCTGTTGAGCCTGCTCACCTGGGACCAGTCTATGAACAATTACCACGTCGGCATCGTTGTGCTTAGAGAACTCAATGCCAAGCTTGCGGCTCGAAGAAAGAATCACGGTACATGCTGTCAAAAGCGATCGGATGTACTCAAGCGCAATCTCCAGACATATCACAAAGTATGCAATTTCTCCATGCTGGCTGCCCAAATCGAAAAACGTGATCAACTCTTTCAGCGCCACGGGATCGCGTAAATGCGAGTGAATTAACACATAGATGAAGGCTGGGATGAAGGCGTCAGCGCTCATTGGCGGCTGGGTCGGGTGTTCAGAGTGATAGACGGCATAGATTTCCTTGCAGGCAGCTAGTAACTGCGCACGCTTCATATACGGGAGACTCACCTTGTCCACCTTCTGTAACTTTACGCAGGCTGATTTCCATTTTGAACGCGACACGCTGTCGGGGCCGATGCCGAAAAATGCTTGTGACTTGCTGCGCAGTATCTCGATTTTTCCCTTCAGCAATTTCGCATCCTCCCGTGTTTGTGCATGCACATTTGTCAAGATCGTTCGGTAAAGAGGGAAAAATACACGCTCCTCAATCTGTTCGTAGACAATCGTCTGAATGTTGTTTGTGATCTCGCTGACCTCAGTAGCATCTTTAGTGAAAGCGATATTAACCATTGCGTTCTTAATCTCCTCAGAGTCGCTGCTATTCAAGCTGCTTTCAGGCTGTGCAATACCTGCAATCATCTGAAGCTCTTTCAAACGAGTATGTATCAAGTAATCTGAGAGCCCAACCATAAATTCACGCACTGTTGCGTTAAGGACTGGACGACCAGTGTGCTCTTTCAAGAAAGCAGCTGACGTGCAGCCTTCCGGGGAATAGGGAGATGCTAACAGTAGCTGCACTTCGCGTGCCACATCCAGCATCACGTCTTCAGTGTTTGAAATGAAAGATGACATACAGCGGCGACAAACGCCGTCAATAGCCGCACCACCTTTCTCCAAAGCACCACATTTACACATCCGACCAATCTCTGTCGCACTCGTAGGCATCGCAAAATCGGTGGCATCGGGCTTTGGAGGACTCCCACCACCTTGTGACGCACTTGAACCGCCTTCGCTTACTGAGGCAAGGGCTGCTAGCCAAACCGATCGTTCTTCTTGACTGTCTGCATGCAAGAATAGACTTCGAGCAGGGGTGCAAATCTGAAAGCTGTAATTCTGTCCCGTCTTAAGGGTATCTACAGGTGATATCCGCGCTTGAGAGACGTTGATAGAGCCCTTACGAGAGCCGCCCTGTGGGTGAGCATAATACGAAAGCGTACCGTTCGACAACTCAAACCAGCGGCGCTTTGTTGATTTTACCATACGACCACGCTTTCGTAGCCAACCGGAAAAAAGAATTGGACCATCTTTGTCTGCATTGTCGCTATTCTGCTTCAAAAGCTTAGCAGTCTTGGCACCCTCCGGAAGCAATTGCACATTGTGCTCCTGTAGCTTTCGAATCCACACATCGCGGTCGTGATTGTCCAAAGCATACAAAATCATACTGTAACCTCCTTGTGCAAGCTTGAAACCGCTATGCAGCATACACTGCACGGTGCTCTTGCGCGATAGATCCAGTCGTCCACGCACCTCTTTTGCATCATGTGTATCGTGGTAAATGAGCTCATTGTCCACGATACAAAACAGTCGACGCTTGAAATTACGCAGACCATGACCACGTTTAATAAGCCATCCAGAGTGGCGGACTACAGGCTTATACTCGAGCACCCACCGTCGACATTGTGCGCTGGTCGGCGTTGGCCGAGCACTGCTGCCAGTGGACTTGATCATCGTCGCACGCTCCGTCCACATTTCAATATCCCTGTACACATCAACATCAATTATTTCGACAAATCAATACCTCAAACGCCAGTGTCAAGTAACAGATACTAACTTTACCTCTGGCTCGGACGTGTCACAAGCACTACACGCCTCGACTCGCGAAAACTATCCTTCAATTGACTTGTACGCGATGACATCGAACGCGATGCTGTCGACACTGCACTTGTTTCTGCATTTGTAGCTTTTTCCGTCATCACAAGCTCACTAGTCTCCAAGTCTTTGACATTCTCGTCTAATTTCTCAATAGCTTCAATCGCTCGAACATCTTCAGTGTCTACCGCAGTAGATGGAGAGTCAGCAGCATCAAGACTGCAGCGCAACGTCCGTGTGCTGCTCTCATCGCCTGAAGACGACAACGTAGCTAAGAAAGGTTTAGTCCGTCTACCAGCAAGTCCGTGTCCATCATTGTCCTTCTTCTCTGCTCTATCTGCGTCAATTCTACTCTCCTTTCTAGCACTAAATTCCTCCTCATTGTTCTCCTCATCAAGGTGAATCTCCACACAAATAGGTCGTTTTATAGTCGCTCCATTCACAATCTGTTCCTGTATGTGCTGCTGCTGCTGCTTTTCCTGTTCATTCTTCTCCATTCTCTCCATTGTTTCACGTTCAGTATAGTCTTCACAAAGACTTGGAAGCGGTACCGTCCGTTCCTTATGCTCTAAAAGACTTAATAGACCGCGTGTACCGACGTTCTCACTTTCATCGCCTTCATTTACTGTCTCACGTAGCCGTAGACGGAATACTTCGATACTTTGACGACGTTTTTCTGTCTTCATGGTCGTATAAAAAAAGTAAAGCAAGTGGTTTTCCTATAGGCTCAGATACTCGTCACGAACGACCGTGACTTACTTTTCCTCAGTCAATATATTGTTGTTATTATTGGTAGGAGGAATCTGTACATATGACGAAATAGGGTATTTTTTATTTGAGTATATAAAGTTTAACAGTACACGTCAGATTTGCACAAATCATGATGGTTTGAAGATATCAAAATTACCCAATTACATGTCTACTTTACGAAAAAGGTTCAGTCACGTAAGACAGACGATTTCCATGGGAAAAGACAGTATTGTTTTTTGACTGTCCAAATTGGGCACTTTATATGTTATTGTTATTATTGTCCACCTCTTCACGTACTCTATACAGACCGTCTGTTTTTTGCTGAACCTGCATCAGTCCATAACAAGTTTTGATTGCGCATTTGCGGCACGAATTCGTATCATATAATGTATGAGCGTCTGATCAAACTTAACTCAATCAACAGAGTGTAGTGGACGCATGTAGAAACGAACCTATTTCCTGTTAGTAAATGCAGGCGTAGTAGTCCTATCCGGTGGCTACAATAACAAGTTGCAGTGCTTGTACAAACAGCCCCGAGACAGTTTTGGTAGCGGACAATTAGGTCATTTCTTCGCTTCCATAGCTTCCAATGTACATCTCGAAGCAGTCGTTAGATGACATTCTACAGTCACAACCTGAAGATAATGGATGTGCTAATTGGATAAACTCACCATGAAGTCCATTGAATCAAAAGACAACGTTGATGTTGATAGAAGTGCCGAATTTTAACAAAAGTGACAAAACCAAACTATTTGTAGACGAAATTCTGAGCCGTTACTTTAGCATCTCGTCAAATACGCGACACGCAATCTAAAGTTCATCTCGGTGAACCCGACGTGACTTGTACTGAAGCAAGACAGCGCTGGTGACGCCATCGCGTAAGTGCTACACAATCTCACTTTTTAGCCAATGTCGATCGTACAAATGCATCTTTTTCAACCAATCAAAAGTTGGATCTTTTCAACGCCTCCTGAGAAAGGTTAGTTTCCAATTTGTCAAGTGACCCTAAAGCACTCGTCACTCGCAATGAGTGCCCCGCGTACCCGCATTAGCCAGATTGCTAGTCATTTAAGCTCCCACGACCCGCACGCTGAGGAAAGTGACTACGTGCAGCGCGTGAAGCAGACCGAAGCATTTATACGTAGCGAACGTTTCAAGTATGTGAAACGTCCGTATGGCGCTGAAGATGTTGTAAAGCTTCAGGGAACGGTTCCCGCCGCGAATGTCGGTACTGCTATGTCCCGCAAGCTTTACAAGATGCTGCGTGAATTGCAGGCAGCCCAGAAGACAAGCCACACGTTTGGCGCACTGGACACGATCCAGGTAACGCAGATGGCGAAATACTTGTCCACTGTTTACGTTAGTGGCTGGCAATCGTCGTCCACAGCCTCTACTTCTAATGAACCTGGACCAGATGTGGCTGATTATCCCATGGATACGGTTCCCAATAAAGTGGACCAACTATTCCGTGCCCAGCTGTTTCACGACCGCAAGCAGTATGAGGCTCGGCGCCGCATGACTGCTGAGGAGCGTGCGCGCACGCCACCCACGGATTTTTTGCGCCCTATTGTAGCTGACGCTGACACTGGTCATGGCGGGTTGACTGCTGTCATGAAGCTGACTAAGATGTTTGTTGAGCGTGGCGCCGCTGGCATTCACCTCGAGGACCAGAAGCCTGGTACCAAGAAGTGTGGCCACATGGGTGGCAAGGTGCTCGTCTCGGTGCAGGAACACATTCAGCGCCTGATTGCTGCTCGCCTACAGGCTGACATTCTTGGCAGCCCGTTGGTCATTGTGGCTCGCACGGACGCTGAGGCCGCCACTTTGCTAGATAATAATATTGATCCTCGCGACCATCCTTTCATCGTTGGTGCTACTTATCTGAATGTGGAGTCGTACATTGAAGCCACACACGCTGGTCGTGAGGGTGATTGGGATAAGCGGGCTCAGGCGATGACTTACCCAGAGGCAGTCCGCAAGGTCTTGAAGAAGTCGGGCTGTCCAGACGCCTTGGCCAAGTGGAATGCCCAGTGCTTGGAGCTAAGCCTGGCCAAGCTACAAGCTCTAGCTAAATCGCTTGGTGTGAAGATCGACTTTGATTGGGACCGCGCACGCACAGTAGAGGGATACTACCGCGTGCGCGGCGGTGTTGACTACTGTATTGCCCGTGGTCGTGCCTACGGCGAATACGCTGACCTGATCTGGATGGAGACGGCCAAGCCTGGTGTTCAGCTTGCGCGTACATTCGCTGAGGGCGTTAAGGCAAAGGTTTCTCATCAAATGCTGGCGTACAACTTGTCGCCGTCGTTCAACTGGGACGCTGCTGGCATGTCGGACACTGAGATGGAGACGTTCGTAACGGACTTGGCTCGTCTGGGCTTTTGTTGGATGTTTATCACTCTCGCAGGCTTCCACAGCGATTCGTTAGGCATTACTCGTTTTGCGCGCGATTATGCCAAGCGTGGTATGCTTGCGTACGTCGAGGGCGTGCAGCGGGCTGAGCGCAACGAGGGTGTGGAGACATTGAAGCACCAGGGCTGGTCGGGCACTGAGCTTGTGGATGCTATGCAAAACACCATCACGGGCGGACTGTCGTCGACGAATACGATGGGGTACGGTGTCACTGAATCGCAGTTTTAGAATGCTTTCGATTGAATTCTTCGTCAAGGAGGTGCAGAAGGAATACTGAACGTTGCGGCCACGGCATGATGCGTGGCACATTTCATCTATTTTATGCGTGTAAGTATCTTACAGAGAAGTTTAAAAGAAACACAACGAGTTCTTAAAACAGCATGGTGTCGCGTATTGTTCATGGTGATCCAAATTGAGTGCAATATGCTTGAGACGCCGCGATTTTAAGCACACTTAGCCGAACAGATCACAAATCTGAGAGGTAAGTGCTACCACCTATCGTGTCATTCTATTGATCCGACTGCTATACCGGTTTCTCGATACTGAATGAATAAAGCCCTATTTTGTCCTTGTTTACAGCACGCCACAGTTGACGATCTCAATGTCCGTCAGCGGCTTGTGCTGCACACAATAGACGCCCTGAATACTCGTTAATACACTCTTGCCCTCAACAATCTTGCCAAACGCAACGTTGCGCCCATTTAGATGCGGCAGCGGCTTAAGCGAGATAAAAAACTGCGACGCGTTCTTATTAATGCCAGCGTTTGCCATACCTAGCACGCCTTGCTCTGAGAACTGCAACGCATAGTTCTCATCATCAAAGTATCGCTGATCTTCTTCCAATGCTGCGTGACCACCCGTACCATTTCCACTGAGGACGTCGCCACCCACGACGTACACGCCCTTTGTCACATTGTGGAACTTGGTATTCTTATACGAGCCAGAGCCCAACGCCTTGGACTTGAATCCTTCCGTACACATCTTAAGAAAATTTGTAGCTGTCTTTGGCACGATATCTTTGGCCAGCTCCACCACAATGCGTTCGCTTTTAGCACCACCAATGCTCACGTCCAGGAAAGCACGAGGCCGTGGCTGTGCCGGCGTAGGCACCACGGCGTCGTAGGATACAGCAGCAGCCTCTGGCGCATTCATCTTGGCCAGTGAACGGTGATACCATCCCCTTCCATGAGCGCCAGCACGTAACATAGCATCGCCAGCACCACGCACCACTATGGATCGACCATACACTGACATTGTTGGTAGCTCAATTACTACCGATGTCAGACGAATTTTCAGCCAGACGCACAATCGTACTTAATCGAGAGTAGCGTGTTGTTAGCACCTCGTGTTAGTGGCATATTGACGCTTAAAGTTCAAGGATCCAAAAAAACCGAGATGGCGAGAAGCAATAGATTGCTGCTTATAGTGACAGTGGCCACGACTGTATTGGTTGTAACTCAGTTGGTGCTTATTAAAAAAGAGTCGACGATTTATTTTGACAAAGGACAGCCGTTGAAGCTACAGAATAATGAGACAGCAACGTTGACGAACGTGCTAGTGTTTGAGGAGACCAAAGCCCTTCCAGTTGTTTTAATGCATGGAATGGGCGATGCTGCGAAGAACGGAGGAATGACGCGTATTCAAAAGGTAATGGATATTGTATTGGTGCTGTGTTTTTGTTTGCTACTTGATAGGAGAAATGACAATTACTTGTGCATTACTAGACAATAGCAGAGCATCTTGGAGTTTATGTGGCTAATATTCAGCTAGGCAACACAGTGAATGAAGATGTAGAGAACAGCTATTTTGTCACAATGGACAACCAGACGGAGATGTTTGCCAAAATCGTGCGACAGGTACGGGGCCATTGGTTTACGTTGCCAGTGGGATGATCTTTTCAATTGCCAATCACGTCATGTGCCAATGCAATAGGATGCGCAATTGGCACATGGATTCAATGCGGCAGGATTTTCTCAGGTCCTCTGGTTATGCTATATATTGACCTTTGACGTCATGAACTAATGCAAACACCGTGTTTTTTGCACCGAGATCAGGGCAATTTGTTGATTCGCGCGTATATTGAGCGTTTCAATGACCCACCGGTTCACAATTTTGTTTCTTTTCATGGACCGCTTGCTGGTGTAGGCGGTTTACCGCGGTGCTCTCCTTTGAATTTTGTCTGCAAGGAAATTGACAAGGTAGGCAATATGTCGTGAGTTATGTGATGAGCTTTAAGACACATGAGTGTTTTTCCATCTGGTTATTATAGCTTATTGGGGAAGCCGTATACACTAAAAGGGTTCAAGGTAAGTGCGGTGCTCTACCACCTTAATTACCATACATATGCTGATCGTTGCGAATTATTCAGAGCACATTGCGCAGGCAAACTACTTTCGAGACCCTCTTCGCATCGAAGCCTACCTCAAGCACGGTACGTTTTTACATTTACTGTTGCGACACGTTAATTTTAACATCGTGCTTGTTATCAATCGGTGATCAATTTGCACAGCTAAATTTCTTCCTGATGTCAATAACGAGAAGACATTTCCTAATCAGACGTACAAGAAAAACTTCATAAAACTGCAAAGTCTCGTGCTCGTTCGCGCCAACCAGGACACCCAGGTTTTTCCAAAAGAGTCGGAATGGTTTGGTATGTACCAAGATGGCGATTCATATAAGACTGTGCTAGGCTTCAACGAGACGAGATGGTATCGAGAAGACTTGTTTGGGCTGAAAACTCTTGATGAAGCTGGCAAAGTGCACTTTTTGTCGACGGATGGAGATCATTTGAGATTTTCCATTGAATTCGTATTGGGCGTGGTGGACAAGTATTTCTGTTCCCAGTTTATGTGCAGATAAGGTAAGGCGCTTTTTTCACCTAGCCGCGCATTGCATACATAACAACAGCAAGTCTTTCATTGCACGTTGAAGCGCCTCTTTTCAGCAAATCATATTTGATCTACTTTGATTATTTTAGCGAATGAGATTGCATTACTGAACCAAATGTAACCACTCTAAGCCGCAGTCTTTAAAGAGAAAGAAGCGAAGCAGATCACGAAGAGCTACAGCCGACACAACACGAAATTTCCTCAAATCGTTGCCTCCTAGAGCATTGAATCAAATTGGAGCGCATCATAAGACGCAAACGATTGAAACGTATTGGAACTAAGCTCTGATTATCGTTTTACCATCTAGATACGTGTAAAGTCGAACGTCACCGTATTCAAGCTTATATCAATTGTCGATTGTCCCCTTGTAGATTGTACAATCTATCTCTATATCAAAAACGACATACAGTGGAGAAAATAATATGGAATTGCAAGATCTAGTTGGGCGCCCATTGGTGCCATTCTTTGACAGTGAAGAAAAAGTGAATGATTTGCTCCAATTTCCAGAGGGAGGAGATAAGCGGGAGGAGATAAAGGTTGATGCACGCGTTTGGGATAAGAATCTCGGCTACTTTGTATACCCGTCAGACCAGCAGATGACAACGTCCACACTTGTGAATATTGCAGTAAAAAGTCGAGAATCGAGGACGGACAGTGGCAGTAAACTGTTGCTCACGCCATCCATGATGCTATCAAGCGGTGTACCAGTCAACTCGTCAGCTTTCGATGAGAGTGACAGAAGATCTATCACAGGTACAAGTCTTATCGATTGCTGTGTTTGATCTTTGTCAGCTGAAGATCTTTGTGTGGTTTCAATGCCTGTTTTCACTGCAATATATGTACAGATAGCGCCAGACCGCACAGCAGCTCAGTAAAGCGGGGTTTGAAGCCAAAAACAACTCGATCCAGTACGCTTGGACGGCGACGGAAGGAAAGTGAAGGAGGAGCGGAGGACGTGTCGACAGCAAATGCTTGGTCAAAGAAGGGGAAAAATAAGGGAAGTAACACGAACAGCAATGGCGCGCAATGCAGCAATAATCAGCAGTCGCGTAATGGTAAGCAAAAAGAGCAGCTGTCAGCCTCAGGCAAGTGGGCTTGGTCAGCTTTTCAGTCATCACCTGACCCGACTGAGCTCCCACTGCCACCGTTCCTCATTAAAACGATCGGATGCTTGAGCAACGGGAATGAATCGTTTCCTACCGTGACGTCACCAGCACTCTCACCACCGCGTACGCCGCCGTCTGCACAGTTCGCAAATGTGCCAACCATGTCACCGCTTCCCCCCAGGACCGCCTCCTACAAAGGCACCTCAGCTTGTATTGCCAGCGGTACCACCGATGCCGACGGCGCCTCCGGAATTGGCAGCGCCTCCGGAAGCGACAGCGCCAGATACGATATCGGTAGAGTTATCGATGACTCAAGATCTTCGAAAAATGTTGAATATCGGGGATCAAGGAGAGAGTGGACACTGTTTGCCACCTTTACAATGAATAAGAGTGATTGGGAAGGTGGTAGATGTCAAGGTGGAAATGGGAGACGATAATGCCACCCGCTACGCTTCCAAACGGTGACAGAAAAGAAGTTGGTACACGAGAGATTAAAATAGAGGAGCAAGGAAAGTCTCTTGTTGGGCTAACGTGTGCCTGTCTTTTGCTGCAGGTCGTGTGTTGCCTGTAATTGGTAACAAGTTTGGCATTATGAACAATGGCGAAGCAGGCATTGATTGTCAGCGATCATTGTGGATCAAGGTTGTTTCTTACCAATTCGTTTTTAGCAGTATCACGACGTGTCCATCCTAATATTAAGGTACCACACCCGTGGCATTGGTCTTTGTGCTAATAAAAGAAGTCACACAAAAACGGACAAGCTATTTCTGGCTGCGCATTAGCACAATAGGGGCAAGTTTTGGGCTGAATTGAACGAAGCGTCGCGTGTTAAACTGCATGAGAACAAGTTTCGTTCTTTGGAACACTTGAAGGCGAAACAGCGTTTCGGTATGCCTTGAGTTTCAATACCTCATGACTTGAGTGACTTGTATCTCTTTGTTTTCCTATGTGTCACTAAAGTAAAGTACCAGAAGCATTGAATGCGGCGTTTCGGCTTCAAAACTCCTTTCACCTCACTTTCTTGTCTCTGGTAAACGTAGACGTTGAATTTCTTACTTCAGTGCTTGAGACGTTGTGTAATCTGACTAAGAAGCGCATCGAGACATTATTGGGTCTCTTCTTTTCTCGATACGACGAGATCAACGGAGGAAGAGAAGGAGTTTTTATTAGTAGTCTATCTCCAATTTATGGACCTTATTTCAATGACCACCACGGTCAACGGCAAAGCAAATGCCAGTGGCGATAGCTTCAACGCTAAACGGAAACTTGAGACTGCACACTCGTTCTTTTCTTTCTCAGTATCACCGTCGCTATCGGGCTCAGTTGCTCGTAAACCGTCAAACAGCTGCAGACCTTTTGAAACTACCTCAAACGCACTGCTACCGGTGGATTCATACCAAAAAGTACGACGTTGTTCTGCTACGGAGCCTCCACCATTGACTCGCTGTTACTCGGACGGAAAAATGTAATTGTTGTTGTGTTTGATTACCACATTTTGTGTGTGTATTACTACTTTACTGTTCATGTGTCTGACCTTTGGCCGATTTACTCGGTCACTCTAGATAGCTAACAAAGCCATAATGCTGCTGCTGTTGTTGTTGATGCTTGCACGGCTAGTTTAAAGGCCATTGGAGAGCTGCTGACTGCAGAAGAAAAGACAGACGATCAGTACGTGCCGAACGCTTTGACGCCTAAAGATTGCCAAACGTCGTCGGTACATATAGTGCCACCGCAGAGCTCGACGTTGCAGAAGAAAAGCAATTCGTCTCGAGCTGGCAGCTCTACGCGCTGCAATCCATTTTTGGATGACGGAACGTGGCCATTGAGCTCTCTAGGAGGTACAGAAGAGAGTTTATGACTAGCTGACGACCGGAAAAAATCCAGTCGCGAGCGTATTTTGAGAGACGAAGTCAGCGACAATCATGCATTCTCTGACGTTATATGCGCTTGTGTTGCCGTTTATATGCCATTATCTTAGGTCCAACGTCGACATTCGTCACTAAAACCGACAACAACAACATGACATCACCACAACGGTCAGCGGACAGCCGCGTAATGTTTACTCCACCGACGCCAAACAAGCGAGTTTGCTGCCAGCAAGGCTTTACGCAGAACAAGACAGACTCGACTGCTGCCTCACCTTGTAACTTAGCACCTTCTCTCACACAAACGAAGAAACGCTCTCCCATAGTGTCAGATGAAATCCACTTTGCTAGTGCGTCTCCGCTAGACAAGCGGGTATTTACATCCATCAATATGAATTTGGAAGGTCGAAGCAGTGCGGCTGCAGAGGCATTGTCCTTGTCCTCGACACCATCGATCGCCGTGCCACCTCGAGGGAGAGTGAGCGCATCAAAGAGAGCGTATCCTCGAAACCCTGGCAATTTGTCGCTAGACTTATCACAGATGGACCATGTGAATTTTGATCTATGCACTACTGCGACCGAGGCATTGAAACGTCGTAACGACCAAATTGCTTTGTGCTCAAAATTAACGGACTTCCTGTACATTGGTGGTGCAGTTGCTGCAAAGAACAAGTCGCTACTAATTTCGAACGGAATCACTCATGTTATTAATTGCGCAGCTAGTGTGGCTCCAGCTTCGTTTCCAGATGACTTTTGCTATTTCAACATGAGGCTCCGTGATCACTCGTCGCAGGATATTGCGCGACACTTTTACAGCATCTTTGACTTTATCGAGCGTGCTCGTGAGTGCGGTGGACGAATCTTTCTGCACTGTGTGAAGGGCATATCTCGCTCACCTACGATGGCAATTGCGTACTTGATGTGGTACAAGAACATTAGTATGTATGGAGCGCTTGACTTTGTCCGACAAGCGCGTCCGATCGTAGACCCCAATGCTGGTTTCATCTTCCAGCTAACAGAATGGGAACAACAGCATCCGAATGGGAGACTGAAATTCCAACACAAAATTGTCTTTCGACTGGATGTAGCGTACGCCAACCCTGACAAAATTGGCCTCTGCAACAGCTCTATGTCGGCGAAGAATCCCTTGTTTGTGCCGCTCCCAGGTATCGGTGAAAGTTACTTTCGTGACCCGACTAAAGACATTGGTGAACAGTGCTTGATTGTAGCGTGCGTCGACTACATGTTTGTTTGGTGTGGCACCGACGTAAATGAAGATCAAGTGGAGGTTGCTGAGAGCGGCGCAACAATCCTGCAGCGATACGAAGCATTTCCTGTGAAGTGTGATACATTGCGACAAGGGCAGGAGCCCGTGGCTTTCTGGAATCTTGTAAGCGACATCTTGTAGTTCAGCAGCAAACACGAAGCCAGCCCTGCACGAGTTTGCTTTGTCTATCGCTACTTGGTCAACAAATGCTAGGTAAGAATTAATGCACATAGTCTCTTGTTTCATTCATTGCTGGCTTTTTTTCTCTAGTTGACATTTCAAGCAGACGCAACTACCAGCATTGCAACACCTTTCGATCTAGGTACGTAAATAGTCCTCCGTCGATTGGCCGCGAATGGTTCACAAGTCCAGCAGCAGATCAGATAGGAGACGAGTTCAACTGACCGAGAGCAGACGTTGCCCACTTTTTCATTTCCTCACTTACTAGGACAACGCAAATACATAGACAAGAATGGCGAGCTCTGGGCACTCGGGCCCCACGCTGCTGCTTGTGACAGGACTGCTTAGTGTAGGCATGGCCGCTATTGGCTACTACTACCTCCAGAAGAACAGCAAGAAGCCTTGTGCGCTTACTATTGATAGCAGCCACGTGGGCGTACACAACGACCAGAAGACACCGACTGCGACCACTATGACGGAGGACAAGAAGAGCGCTAGTATCACATTGTCAGTGGTAGAGACTCAAGTGAGTGGTGCGGGGGCCTCGGCCGCAAGTGCCAGCAGTACAACAAACAAGACGATCGCGGCTTCTGTGCATGAGAAGATTGAGAAGCCTGTGGCTTTTGAAATGCCCGTGAGTCGAAAGAAAGCACCGGAGAGTGTACCGACGACGATGGAAAAGGTTGTTGAACCTTTGTTGGAGAGGGTAGTTTCTCCCATTGTTCCACAAGTCATTAAGGAGGTTGCGTCTAGTAGTCCAGTAAAGACTCCGAAGAGCAGCCCAAAGATGACCGCTAGGAATTCAAAGGAAGAGGTAAAGGTTCCGGATCATGTGCTTTCCAAGCCGTTCAACGTTTGTCCAAAAGATACCCTCGAGACTCCTGAAAAGGTCGTTGAAAGTCCTAAGAAGACTACTGAGAGCGCTGCAATAGTTGATAAGGAGATCAAGGCAAGGACCATCGAACAGGTAACAGAGCCTGCACCGGCCACGCAAAAACTGATGCCTCTTACAAAAAAAAGCGAGCGAGGACTTTATTGTTGCTCAAGCCATCACCGAAACAGTGACTAATGATCATTTTCAGAAATCGCGTCAGAGTATTGCGCTGGAACAGGAGGAGTACGTTCAAGTAGAGTTAACGCGGTCGATGACGCTTTTGAAGAGTACCTCAGAGGTCATTAAGAATGAAGATGCCTTGGTGAAAACGAATGAAGTTTTTCAGACTTCTGCTGCCACGGAGCTCACAACTAGTACTGTCGAGGAGGAGCAGGCGGAGGAACAGGAGCAGGCGGAGGAACAGGAGCAGGCGGGGGAACAGGAGCAGGCGGGGGGAACAGGAGCAGGCGGAGGAGCAGACGGAGGTGCAGGAGCAAGATCAGAGGAAGGGGGCAGGATCGAGAGCGGACGGAGGGGCAGGAGCAGACGGAGGTGCAGGAGCAAGATCAGAGGAAGGGGCAGGATCGAGAGCGGACGGAGGGGCAGGAGCAGACGGAGGAGCAGGAGCAGACGGAGGAGCAGGAGCAGACGGGGGGAGCAGAAGCAGACAGTGGAGCAGGAGCAGACAGTGGAGCAGAAGCAGACAGTGGAGCAGAAGCAGACGGAGGAGCAGGAGCAGAAACAGACGGGTCATACTCAATTATCTTACGAACCCATCAAAGCAGCAAGTGCTGAGCCCGATATTCACGTAACTGTAGCAACCGAGACGTTGGCTTTACACAATACCTCTGATACAACCCCAGAGTCATGGGAAGAGATCACATCGAGTCCAGAACAAAAGGCTGTACGTGCTGACGAATCGACAACTTTGTTGTCTCTAGACGCTGTAGCAGAAAGCAGAACCGAGTCCATGGAGTCTCTATCGATCAATGTTCCGGCTGAAAACACCGAGGTTACTCACGAAGACACGAGTGCAAGTTCCCCTTTAGTAAGCGGTAATTCGACACCCGGCAAGCGCAGCCGCCATCGGTCAAAAAAGTCCAAGAGCAAAAAGAAGAAAGGCAAGAAGCATTAGAAGCTCCAAGCTTGAGAGGATGAATATATGTGCCGCCTGATCTGAATCTATAGGGTTACCATCTTGTCCTTGCAATATACGCATAAACTTTGTTGATGAAAGTATGGTGGTGGTGTGTGTGTGTGTGGGGGGGGGGGGTAAGTTAGTACAACTACTACTGTCTACAAGAGTGTGAATGAATGTGTCAAATACCTCTTCACACGTAGAGCTCTGTGGACAACTTGAGACCCAAGAACTCACGAACATGATCATCATCAGCAACACCAGGAATTTGGAGCATATCATGGAGGAAAATCTGCAACAAGTCTTTGCGTCTAGCTAGAAAATCAGGATTAAGATCCCGACAGCAATAAGTTTTAGGTGGTAACTTTGGCAATCGATTACCCGCTATAAAGCGCACACTACCAGACACAAAAACAGAGGTAAAACAGTCATAAGCTTGATCAATAATATTAGACCCCTTTCTAGTATTTCTTACCTTGCTTGTAACCTGTCAAACTCACTAAAACGACGTAAAACAATCCAATTACGTCTTCCATTATAAACCTGAAGCTCATAGAATGCACATTCATGCTGATCCTTGATAAGATACTTGATAATACGTACTGTAAAGTACTCGGACCCTATTTTCAACCATCATATTCCATCATAGACAAATACAGTCACAAAAAAATTCATCTAGCAATATATAGACGGACAATTGAAAAGGTATCAAAATGTATCTACCATAACGCATGGACCATGTCTTCTCAGGTAGATAGATAAGCGACATGAATCTGGCGTCGTCTATTCAGACAAGTCCTCCCTCTCTCTCTGACTTGATCGAGTAAACACGACATTTTGATTACAATTCGTTGAAAAAGTGCTTAACATTTGATACTTAATTTTAGCCTATCACCAGTCGTTCTGCGACAGTGCGTAGTAAAATCGAGCAAAAAAAGCAGAAGCAAAAGAAGAAGTGTCTCTATCTATCTGTCTGTAGCTTTGCTATGCAAGTTTACGTGCGTTATCGAGATACGGAAGCAACGTATGAATGGGTACATGGTCGCATACTACATCATCTTGAAAATTCGACTTCTCGCGTCCTTGTACAGCTTCATAACAGCGAGAAAACCATTGAAGTCGATGAAGTTCAAGATGTGCGTATGGTCAATGAATTAGCGGCTGGACAGAAGCTACAAGACGTGGATAATATTGATGTACTTACACATTTGCATGAACCTGCGTTCGTAGACTATTTAGCACAGCGATATAGTGTCGATAAAGTGTATTGTAGATCTGGTGCAGTACTGATTGCTGTGAATCCATTCAAAGAGATTCCAGGACTCTACGACTTGCAAAAGTTCCATGACGAGATGTCTAGTTGGACATCACTACCGCCTCATGTTTTTTCGATTGCTGAAGGCGCGTATCGATCGCTTCGACGGCGATTACAGCAGCCTGGAGAGAGGAAGAAGAATCAGACAATTTTAGTGAGTGGAGAGAGTGGCGCTGGCAAGACCGAAACGACCAAGTTTATTATGAATTACTTGGCTGAAAAGAGTCGAGAGATGGAAATGACAAGTAGCAGCAGCGAGAGGAAGCGATCGATCAGCGGTAGTGAATTGATGAGTGCGAATCCGATTTTGGAGTGTTTTGGCAATGCTAGAACACTGCGCAACGACAATAGCAGTCGATTTGGCAAATTTGTACGTATGTTCTTTGAGGGACACGAACTCGATGCGTCATTGAAGATGGTGGGCACGTCGGTGGAGACGTATCTTTTGGAGAAAGTTCGTGTGGTGCATCAGAACGATGGAGAACGCAATTTCCACGTGTTTTATGAGCTGCTTGCTGGTGCAAGTGATGATATGAAGAAAAAGCTACATCTTGAGAATATGTCAGTCGTCGATTTTCATTACATTAATGGAGGACAATGCTTCCACAGAAACGATGGCGTACGTGACGATAAGCAGTTCCAATTGGTGTTGTTGTCAATGAATGTGCTGGGGTTTACTGACATTGAACAAGAAGCGATTTGGAAAATTTTGAGTGCACTGTTACATCTTGGAAACGTTTTGTTTGTTTCTGCAAGCGAAGATGAAAGTGCAGAAGATAATGAAACGGCATCAGCACCGTGCCGGCTCGCATCTGCTTCACCGTCTTTGCTTACGGTAGAGGAACACCTCGATATTGTGTCAAAAATCTTTGCTGTGGATCAGAAGGAATTGGTCCTAGCACTAACGACGCGGAAAATTAGCGTTGGAGGTGAAACTTTCTATGCAAACTTGAGTCTCGCGCAATGTGGAGATGCCCGAGACGCAATGGCCCGCTCATTGTATGCTTTTTTGTTTCAATTTCTAGTCTCGAAAGTGAACTTTACCTCACCACAAGTGCAGCAGCTTACGAACACTGCAATGAAAGATGTTACTGCAAACACACCGTGCATTGCGGTCCTGGATATCTTTGGCTTTGAAGAGTTTGATGTTAATCAGTTTGAGCAGTTTTGCATCAATTACGCTAATGAGAAGCTGCAGTACCAATTTATCCAGGACATTCTTCTGACTGAACAGAAAGCTCATATAGACGAGGGGATAAAATGGAACGCTGTGGGCTACGAAGATAACGCAATGTGCTTGGACATGCTCGAGCAACGACCAAATGGCATTTTCTCACTATTAGACGAGGAATGTGTTGTTCCAAAGGGGAGTGATTCAGGCTTTGCACGAAAGTTGTACCAGCGACTACAAGATCACAGTAACTTTAGCGCTTCTCGGTCGGATCAAGCTGAGTTTACGTTTCAAGTTCATCACTATGCGGGCAATGTTCGGTACCAATCCGAAGGATTTTGCGAGAAAAACAAGGATCAGTCCAATGCAGAGTTGTTCAGCATTCTGGACAAAACATGTGATGTACATTTGCTCGAGCTCTTTAACTTTTTCAAAGCCAGCGAATCAGCACAGCTTCAGCAGAGTCAGCCTAAACTGAGACGGCGGTCATCAGTCCTCAGTTCCGTGGGTATTGGTTCTCAATTTAAGCAACAGCTAGCAAGTTTGCTGGATGTCGTTCAGCAGACGCAAACACACTACATTCGTTGCATTAAGCCTAACGACGAGAGTGTAAGCAGTGATTTCGATATGACAAAGGTGTCAGCACAATTGCGTTACGGCGGCGTGCTCAAAGCGGTGGAGATTATGCGTCAATCGTTTCCTGTGCGTATGAGTCATGTTGACTTCGTGAAGCAGTATCACCTTTTGATGGCAAAACCAGGTACCAAATACAAGTCTGCGTCGGAATGGACCGCTTCAGATTTATTAGCAAAGTTGAAGATCGATCAAGCTGAGCTTGGTAAAACTCGTGTGTTTTTGCGACAGCAGGCATTTGATCAGTTGGAAAAAAGTCGCGAACATGCTCTTGCGGTGTCAGCAACAAGATTGCAATGCTCGTGGCGCAGCAGACAGCAGCGTCGCTTGTACATTCGGCAACTGCGTGTGCTGTGGAGTATTCAAGTGCGGTGGAAGGCTATTTTGGAGAAGAAGCGTCGCATTGCTCGACGCAATCAAGCGGCAAGAATACTTCAACACACCATGCGCGTCTGGGTGCAAGGGGTCAAAAGCCAACGTCATGAAAGTGCATTGATCATTCAGCGAAATTGTTTGAGATGGCACCGTGTATGCGCTACGTCGTCAAGGGCTATTTCACTTCCTGAGACTTCATTTAAAGCGTTGAGGTCAGAAGAAAACCCTGCTGATACGTTGGACTACAGCGGCCGTGAAAGTGAGCTTACAGTTGAAACGCAAGTAGAAGACGACGCATTATCAACGGCAACAGCTTCGGTCGGGACAAGTGCATACTCAGAGGACACCGACTTTTCACCTATGGACTTGGTGCGAAAAGCTGCTCTTCGTGGTCGTATGACTGCATTCAGCGACGGATCGGACAGTGATAATGCTATGCTTAAGCAGGCATTGAGAGAGGTTGAAAGACTTCGTCATAGAGCAGAAGCTGCTGAAGCTGCACTGTCGCATTTTGCTGACCTGGCCATACATGCAGATTCTCTCTCCAATGATGTTATGCCCATTGTGACATCTAGAGCAGCATCGCATGCAGGCGGACCGTTCAATCTCTCGCATCACGACCGTGGCGCACTCAACCGCTCCAGCCTTAGAATTGATCGATACGGTAACACGGTTTTGCACCAGGCCATAGAAGAGGGCAATCTGGAGCTTGCATGTGCTCTTCTGGTCAATGAGGCAAGTGGAGCGCTTGACATGTTGCAGCAGACCGAAACACAGCGTGGTTTCTCACCGCTACATTTGGCTGTTCGCAGTGGTAACTTTGAACTCGTGAGTTTATTTTTTCGTCCCGAGGTGTTGCCACATGTCGACTTAAATGTTAGCGACCGTGAGGGCAATTCGGCACTGCACTTGGCCACGCAGCTTGAAGTGAAGTTTGCGTCTCGTGTGCTTGAACTCTTGCTCTGCTTTAGTGCGGATGCAAATGCAACAAATTTGCTGAGACAAACGCCGTTGCATCTTTGTGCCATGATCAAGCGCAGTGGTTCTACGACGTGTGAGTTAATGGAGATACTCTTGAGACACAAAGCGGATTCACAGAAGGTGGATTTTCTAAAGCGTTCACCTTTGCATTATTGCATGGAGAAAGGTGAGCTGATACAAACACGTACTACGACTAATACTTGAGCTGTTTACAATTGATACTAAACCATTTATCCTCTTGTCTTGTTGTTGATATTGTCTAGACATGTTAGATGAGGCCGTACTATTGATGAAACATGGAGCAGATATGAATGTACCTGATGGTGAAGGAGTGCGTGTCATATCTGATCCAAAAGCCACAAATGTACGTACTTGCTACAATGTACTCGCTAGTGTTTATCGATCAATCTATCAATCTATGTGTCAAAAGGTCATTTCTGACGTCATTGTATCGGATTGATGTTTGTCTTTCTTTGACCTTGTAGCTCTTGCGATATCTACGTGTGACCCCTTCTTGGATCCCAGATACTGATATCAGTGAGTGTATGGTATGTCTCGAGCCATTTCCTTTCTTTTTTTCTCGAAAATGTCATTGCGATCGTTGTGGACGCGTTTGTTGCTCTGATTGCGCTCCTTGTAGCTCTTCGTGGAATGGTCGCTATTGCTTTGATTGCAAACATTATGCCCATTATAACGGGCGTATTTAACTTACGTGGACGTATTTTATCGTAAAATGTTACTTTTGAGCACGTTCGACTCAGATCTGTAGCTCTTGTTAAACTAAATCGGATCAAAGGTTTTGAAATGCAGTCGCCTGATTTCCAGATTTTGTCTTCAAATTTTGAAAAAAAGGAAAAAAAGGTCGTACCCATTTTTCCTTTTGAGTACGAAAAGGAAAGACTAACGAAGCTGAAGCGATTCGAGCCCCCCAAAGGACACGGCCTGGGCCACCAAGGAGCCCCATATAATCATAAGAAACGTAAGGAAAACAATACCATGGAAGTAACACAACAACTGGAAAAAGATGCAGGTTTTATGGATAAATACAGTCGTCAGATTGGTGCTTTTGGGCTCGAGACCATGGCTAAGGTTTGCTTGAATCAGATTAAGAACATACAAGAGTGATGGTCATTAATTTAGTGTGTCATTTGTGTGTCATCCTGTTAGCTTGTTAAACTTAAAGTCCTTATTGTAGGATTACAGGGTATAGGTATAGAATGTGCCAAGAATCTGATTCTTGCAGGTCCCAACGCGATTACTCTACACGACGATGGGATTACAGAGATGAAAGATCTAGGCACGAATTTCTTCTTAACAGAGCAAGATGTGGGTTCTCCACGTGCTTCTGCAGTCTTCCACAAGCTAGCAGAACTTAACAAGATGGTGGCAGTGGCGTTACACAAGGGTGTACTTACTGAGAAGATGGTAGCTAAGCACAATGTCGTGGTTTTCTCACACACGAGCCGCCAGGAGCTTGTTCGATGGAATCATTTTTGTCGCCAACAGTCACCGCCGATTGGATTTATTGCGTGCGACATTCGTGGTGCCTTTGGTTACGCATTCACCGATTTTGGTGATGAGTTTAAAAGCTTTGATGCCACGGGTGAAGCACCGATTACTCGTATTATTACGGACATTACAAACGATAAGGATGGAGTTGTGTCGATTTTAGGACCCGATGAAGACGGCAAGATGCATGAGATGCCGGACTCGGACCATGACGGATGGATTGAAATTAGTGGCGTTCAGGGCATGAAGTTGAAGAGTAACCCGAATCAGTCCATTAACACGATGGGTTCGCGTCGTATCAAGTTTGCAAACAAGAAGGTGTTCCGTAATGGTAAGCAAACCGAAGTGTTTGATGCATACCGACTAAGCATTGGTGACACGACGGAGTTTACTCCCTATGAAGGTGGAGGCGTGTTTACGCAACACAAAAAGCCGTTCACGGTAAACTTTAAGTCACTGGAGGAATCACTGGTGTCTCCTGTACCTGCAGAAGAGTTTGGACTAATGTTCACGGATGGAGCCAAGTTTGGTCGTGCAGAGCAGCTACACGTCATCATGTGGAGTCTCATGGAGTTTGAAGAGCGTCACGGTCAGTACCCGAGGCCACATAATGACGTGGATGCTGATGAAGTTGTGGCAATTGCTAAGCTGGGTATTCAGCACCTTTCGGACTTTACTCGCGAAGGCGCTCATCAACAGGAAGTGATGCAGCTGGAGGAACTGGACGAAAAGTTAGTGCGACAGGCAGCTCTATACTCTGCTGTTGAGCTGCATCCTCTTGCTGCTTTCTTTGGCGGTGTCATTGCTCAGGAAGTTGTCAAGTTTACTGGCAAGTTTACGCCACTGAAGCAATGGCTGCACTTGGATGCGTTCGAAGTGTTGCCTGATGAGCGTCCACTAGACGCGGAGCCAATTGGATCACGGTATGATCACATCATAACGGCATATGGTCTGTCGTTCCAGAAGGAGCTAGGAAATGTTCGCACGTTTCTAGTCGGATGCGGTGCACTCGGATGTGAGTATTTGAAGAACTTTGCCATGATTGGTATTGCATGTGGTGAAAAGGGTCTTGTGACAGTTACGGACAATGACCGTATTGAAGTGAGCAACTTGAACCGTCAATTCCTCTTCCGAGAGCACAACGTGGGCCAACCCAAGTCCGTAGCTGCTACCGCTGCAGTGCGCCAGATGAACGGAGATTTGGAAGTGAAGGCTCTTGAGCATTTGGTGGCACCACATACGGAAAACGTTTTCAATGACGAGTTTTGGACTGACCTGGACGTAGTTACCAATGCTCTGGATAATGTAAAGGCTCGCTTGTACGTGGACAGCAAGTGTGTTTTCTACAAGTTGCCTTTGCTGGAGAGTGGTACACTAGGTACGAAGTGCAACGTACAGGTGGTGATCCCTTTCAAGACTCAGAGCTACGCAGATGGCCCGAAGGATGCTGAAGGTGACGGGATCCCGATGTGCACGCTCCGAAACTTCCCATCTCTTATTGAGCACTGCATAGAGTGGTCGCGCGCGCAGTTTGAAGATCTCTTTGTGGTGCCTTTCGTCGAGGCTAAGAAGTTTGTGGACAACCGCGCAGCTTATTTGAATCAAGTCAGGAAGGCTACTTTGGAAAACCCGAACCCGAAGCTCGTTTCAGCGGCAATTGTGCAGGAGCTCGAGCGTCTTCGCAATCTGCGTGCCACCTTGCAGACTGCGAAGGGTATCACGTTCGAAAGGTGTGTCGAGTTGGCGTTTGAGCTCATGACGTCGCGCTTTCGTGACCGTATTCTGCAGCTTATTCACAATTTTCCTGAGGACCATCTGACTAACTCTGGAGAGAGGTTTTGGTCAGGCGCCAAGCGTTTTCCTCAAGCAGTGGAAGAATTTGACCCAGAAAACCCGTTGCATCTGAACTTTATACGCGCCACTGCCAATGTTTTGGCTGTTTGCTACGGACTTCAGCCACCTCCTGAGCAGAAGCTGGTTTCTGCTGATTTTAAGTGGCGTGATGCGTCCCTGTATGCAGAGCTTGGTAGCAAATACGTTCCGCCGGTTTGGAAGCCGTCGAATGAAAAGATTGCTGTTACGTCGGATCAAATTAAGCGTTTGGAGCAGGAGAGAATCAAGAGCTCGAACGACTCGGACAAGAATGAACTTATGGAACTGATGCGTGAGCTTAAAGCGTTTAATGTTTCGGGTGTGTCGTTCGAGCCGGCGGATTTCGAAAAGGATCAGGACATGAATTTTCACATTGATTTCGTTTACGCAGCGTCAAACTTGCGGGCCTTTAACTACCGCATTGGCGGTGCGCCGCGCCACAAATGCAAGATGATTGCAGGCAAGATCATTCCGGCTATTGCTACTACAACTGCATCGGTGACCGGCCTGGCAATGCTGGAAATGCTGAAACTCATGCAGCGCAAGGAGCTGGCGGCTTTTAAAGACTCATCCAATTCGTTGGGACTGAACATGTACTTAATGCAGGAACCAGCGACGCCAGCTCGTGCTAAAGACGAGTATGATGTGGTGGAGATGTCGGAGGTTAAGTGCAAGCCCCCTGGGTTCACCAAGTGGGACTCCACTGTCATTGAGCTGTCGTCTGATTCAACTCTAGAGGATTTCCTAGCTCAATTCAAGGAAAAGACGGAGCTTAATTGCGACTTGCTGTTTCACAGTGTTGCAGAAATGGGCAACACCAGCGCAGTGGATAAGGATTTGCGTTATCGATCTGTCAGCGGTTTAATGCTTTACGACCGCAACGCCTATGGCAAGGCACTAAAGGATCTTTATGCAAGCCAGATGACGAAGCCTTTGCGAGCCTTTGTGGAGTCGCGTTACGAAGGACTCGTGGATTGTAGCCGCAAGTACATTGAGCTGCAGATCTCGTGCTCCGATGACGCTGAGAATGTGTACAAGGTGCCGACGGTCATTTGCAAGTTCAGCTGAACGTGACTGATGATTATCAATAAAGGCTGGCATTGTTTTGAAGAACCGTTGCTTGTAGATTCTGTCATTCGGTGTGTCGCAGACAATAAATAAAACCGCATCAGCTCAGTACTAGATACAAGAATCGCGTCAAACGTGGTGCATAAGGCAGAAAAAAAAATGTTGGTCGTTTGTCATATGATGATACAAAAACGCTATTATTGACTGCACCGAAGCGTTTTAATGGGTTTTGGGGATAGATAGAATAAAGAAAGAGCCCATTTTGTCACAAAATACGTTCAAACCGGATTCGAACCGAACTCATCGCTGGCCATTGACTGACCATTTTCTTTGTATTTCAAACAGGTAGAGATTAACATTATGGATGACATTGAAGACATGATTAGTGAGGAAGAGATGGACCGCACAGCCGTGAGTTCCGTACGTACGCAGATGGTGATGTCGAGGTCTTTATTTCAACCGACATCAATGAACAGCACAACCAGCAGCAGCAGCAGCAGTAGCTCCAATGTGGATGCAAAGGAGGAGGAGACTGGTGTTCCAGGTACTCAGCTCATTTGGATCAAAACGTATGGCTGCTCGCACAATGTGAGTGATTCAGAATACATGCAGGGTGTACTAGCTAGCTACGGTTACCGTTTCACGCAAGACCCGGACGCAGCACAGCTTTGGCTACTCAACAGCTGCACAGTAAAAGACCCGTCTCAAGCCGCTTTCATGCACTTGGTCATCAAGGGTCGCAAGCAAAATAAGGCCGTAGTTGTGGCTGGATGTGTACCACAAGGCGATAGACACCTTAAGGGCTTAGAGGACGTTAGCATTGTGGGCATCCAGCAAGTGGATCGAGTTGTGGAGGTTGTAGAGGAGACGCTTAAGGGTCACACAGTGAGACTTTTGTCCAAGAATCGACTACCGGAACTAGACTTGCCCAAGATTCGTAAAAACCCTATGGTGGAGATAATTCCGTTGAGTACAGGCTGTCTGGGCGCGTGTACGTACTGCAAGACACGTCATGCTCGTGGCAAACTTGGAAGTTATACGGTCGAAGCGATTGTTTCGAGAGCGCAGGCAGTGATTAATGAAGGTGTAACGGAGATTTGGCTGTCAAGTGAAGATACAGGAGCTTATGGTATCGATATCGGCACTGATTTACCCACACTCATGCGCAAGTTGCTGGAAGTTGTGCCTGAAGGTATCATGCTCCGTGTAGGTATGACCAACCCCCCGTACATTCTGGATCATCTAGATGCAATTGCAGAAGTGCTGAACCATGATCGAGTTTACTCGTTCCTGCATGTGCCTGTGCAATCTGGTAGTGATGACGTACTGCTGGCTATGAACCGCGAGTACACTGCGGGCGAATTCCGTCGTGTTGCTGACGAAATGCTTGCTAAAGTCCCGAATCTTACGCTGGCGACTGACATTATCTGCGGTTTTCCTACAGAGACCGAGGAACATTTTGACGAGACAATGGAGCTTGTTGAGAAATACCGCTTTCACATTATGAATATTTCACAGTTTTACCCTCGACCAGGAACACCGGCAGCTAAAATGAAACGTGTCCCGACTCAGATAGTCAAGAACCGCAGTCGTAAGCTTACTAAGCTCTTTGAAACGTTTGATCCGTACAAACATCTTGTGAACACGGCACAAAAGGTATGGGTAAATACCGAAGTTTCGGATGACAAGAAGTCTACTGTAGCACACACGAAGAACTACACCAAAGTTTTGCTTCCCCGTGATGATTCTCTCATCGGGTGTTCGGCGGTAGTACGTGTCCTTGCTGCGGCGCGCTTCCACATTACTGGTGAAGTGATTTCACGTTCTCAGCCTGCTACGATAGCGGCAGCTGTCATGTGCGAGCAGATCCGGACTGAGGGTGTTTTGTCGGCGGCGGACCGATCTAACGCTTTGTCCAAGGCGAAGATTGCAACTGCCTCCTCTGACAATAGTGACGGCAACTGTGATGGTAATGGTCAAGACCACTCGCACAACGACGATGATCGCGATGGTGGTCACCTGTATGGCGAAGAAGGATGTTGTGGCAGTAGTGGACCGTGCTGCTCTTCTGGCGGTAATGACACAGGAGGCAAGTCTAGCATAAAGTCAAAGAAGAAGAGAACGATAGCCAAGGAGCTTATATGGCAGAAGAAACTTGTAGATTCAAGTGTAGCTGGTGAAAACGGAATATCATCTTCACTCATGACAGTCCTAGCGACCAAGTGGAATGAAGTGCGTGACGACAAGGTGGCGTTAGCGGCGATTACTACACTGATAGTGTCAGCGTCCATTATTGCAGCTCGTGTGTTTACACGCAAATAGTTCAAAATATGCCTCTAATGTATCTACTGATGTAGATAACACGTAGTGTTATGGAAACAATAGACGGTAGATTGAATTCCTAATTTACTGACTGGCATCCAAAGTTCGCTGCATGAACAAGTTGAAGTAAGAATGATGTAAACTTATGTAACATCGTGTTCAGTACTTGTCTTCTTTTTTTGCCGAGAAAAGACGTCTATTTTTTGAGTCATTTGGACCAAATTGCAGTTTGGGTCATCAATATCGGGGGGCTAAAATAGGCAAGAAAGCGGTAAATGATGACGAGCGTAAACGACGTCACGCTCGAGGAAGTCAAGCCTTTAAGCAGTGGTAGCGGTCCGGAACAGTGGATTGAGAACCTACGAAATGGTAAATTACTGAGTGAACTAGAGCTTAAACAAGTGTGCGAGATTGTCAAGATGCTGCTGATTGAAGAGTCCAATGTTCAGCCTGTGAGCAGTCCCGTGACAGTATGCGGTGACATTCATGGCCAGTTCTTTGATTTGTTAGAGCTATTTCGCTGTGGTGGTGATATCCATGATACTAATTACATCTTTATGGTTTGTTCATTGTCTTTTGATGTCGTTTGAATGAGCACTTGGATGAGAAAGACACTGTTGTTTTTAACAATGACTGACTAATACATTTTGAGTGATTGTATTCGATTAAACTCTCTTTCCTAGGGTGATTTTGTGGACCGTGGACATAATAGTGTCGAGACGTTTGAGCTTTTATTATGTCTCAAGGCATGCTACTCGGACCGTATCACGCTCCTGCGTGGCAACCACGAGTGTCGACAGATTACGCAGGTCTATGGCTTTTACGAGGAATGTGTGCGCAAGTATGGCAATGCCAACCCTTGGAAATACTGCACAGATGTGTTTGACTATCTCAACTTGGCGGCCATTATTGATGGACGCATCCTGTGCGTGCACGGTGGTTTATCGCCGGAGCTCCGTACGCTGGACCAGATCCGGACAATAGAGCGTCAGCAGGAGATTCCACACGAAGGATCATTCTGCGACCTTATGTGGTCTGACCCGGAGGATATAGAGACATGGGCGATGAGTCCGCGTGGTGCCGGCTATTTGTTTGGTGCTAAGGTCACGCAAGAGTTCAACCAGATTAACGGACTGGACCTCATCTGTCGTGCCCATCAGCTTGTGCAAGAAGGTTACAAGTACATGTTCGACAATAGTCTTGTGACGGTCTGGTCGGCGCCAAACTATTGCTACCGGTGCGGTAATGTGGCAGCCATCTTGTCATTTGATGAGAATCTCGAGCGTGATTTTAAGTTGTTTCGTGAGGTACGATGCGTGGTGCACTCTTTTTGTACTGTGGGGTCGTTTTTGGTATTGTTACAAACGAGGCGATGGCTATTTGTTGACTGGTGTAGGTTGCTGAATCGTCGGATGGCTTTAATCAGCGTGCGCTGGTACCTTACTTCTTGTAAACGGGTATGATTATCAGCGACGTCTTGCGTGTTCGAGCTCTAACGCACTGGGATTGTTGACGGCGTGTCGCCTTTTCATTCGTTTGCCACCGCGCAGGTCACTTATGCTCTCTTTACATTGAAAAGGGACAAGGACGTTGGTAGATAGATATCCCTAGGAGTTTGGTCGGACAGATCGTTTAAAATATGCTTTTTCTGTTACCAAACACGTATTCACGTTGCATGCAATGCGCTTTATGATATAGGGGGCAGCGGCGACACATGTATCACCTCAGGCTCAGACATCCAGCTTGCTTGTACAGAATACGCAAATTCCCATCCATAGCCAGCACCTCCATATTCCCCAAACCGATTCATGCAAACCATACCTCCCAGGAAATGGGGGTATACCGCAGCAATTCGGTGCAGGGCGTGTTCACATGCTTTTCGTGGCTATCAAACAAGGATTCAGTCAGTATGACACACATTATGCACTAGTACACGTACAGATGGCTCGCACATGAGTGCCTCTCTTCATTTCCTGAACAGCAAAGAATGAGGGCAAAAAACGCATCATTACATCGCCGTCTCCAGTAGCAGCAGCTCCGCCGATGGATGAGTCCACATAAGCACCAGCACCTGGCACCGCGGCATCACCCACACGCCTGAAAGACAGCATACTGTCAGCATAGAATAAGACATCAGAAACAAGCCAGTGATATTAAGACTTACCCAGCAATTTTGTGCATTGCTCCATTGGAGCTGGTTCCAGCAGCCATGTGTCCATTCTCCGCCAGAACCACCATTCCAATGGTATCGTGGTTTCCTCTCGAGATCAACCTTTCCACGGCAGCATTCCTGGACGACCGCAAGAATGACTCGCCTTGTAGCTCCGTATACACTTCACGTTGCGACATCAATGGCTTATACGGTGGACATGAAGTGTTCTGCCGCACAACGTTGCGAAAATAGTTGGGCTGGCAATTGCTATCCAGCCAGCTTTGGTAAATCTCCCGCGAGTGCGGCGTGTCTAGCGGCGTTTCCTCAAACCCCATCATCTTGGCAAACGCCAGCGCTCCATCTCCAGCCAAAATGCTGTGAGACGAATGCTCCATGACTGCGCGTGCCACTTCAATGGCAGGTTTCACACGTCGCAGCTGCGCCACCGCGCCCATTTCCATCGTAGAGCCGTCTAAGATCATGGCATCCAGAGTCGTCTCCCCGCTAGAGTCTGGACTACCTCCGTAACCCACTGTAAAGTCGCATTGGTCCACTTCACAACGATTACAGCCGCGTGTAATCGCATCCAGTGCGTGCGAGCGACTGCTCGATCTTCGCAGAGCCTCAAAACCTGCGCGAGTTGCGTTCACAAATGGCCACGTGTTGATCACCACAACGCCACGCTGAGGAATCTCGTGCGCAGATCCCCAGAGCATCACGAAGCACACAAGCACCGCAAAGCCTCCGCAGATCCAGCGCTGGTGCGTCTCATGTCGAGGCTGTTCCATTTTCTTGCTACGCAAACGTTTCGAATGATGCCATCATTGTGCACCACATTTCGACTGCAATTCAAGGTGCTAACTTATGTACCGTTCATACTGCCAAGTGTATTTGTCCTTGCACCAGCTTCACTTGATGTTATGCACGTGTAATACCCTCGTAAAAGAGACACTATCGGCAGTGAGCTGCACAAGCTTGAATATTTATAGTTTGACGTGGACTTGGCAACAACTTTGGTACTTTGAGCCGTAGCAATGCATATTACACCTCTGAGACTTCCATGAAGTTGCTAGATACTAAACAAAATGCCATCCATAAGGTTGGTGCTCCCGATGAGCACCATTGTTGCCGTTCATATCGAACTGTAGAAGTATACGCTTAATGTTAGAAAACATTGTGTCTTACAGGCCATGAAGGCTCGGAGTGAAGACTGCAAGACCCATGACAGGTAAAGGGTAACCTCACCTGAGTGGCTAACATGTTGACAGGTGGGATTAACGCATACGGGCGTCGTCTGGGACCAGGGACACATGGTGATAGACACGCTGAACAAGTGCCAGGTGTCAAGTTGCAGTGTTGGTCATTAAACTGCATATGGTAGGGTTGACATCGAAGGGTATTTAACACTCAATATATTTTGCTTATACTTCCTAGATCTACTGCACAAAAGCAACTACGTCTAGCACTTGGTGCAAAAGAGGTAGAAGAAATAGTACTTTATAATTAATGTTAACTTTGTCTGTCAGCACTGCGACATGCAACCACTTCCACTGCAACTTAAACAGGTCAACATGCACATACGCATGTCTCATCTGCCCGTCATCACGAGCTTGTCCCACGTTACGTCCGTCTCTTTCGTCCCATCTGTCGAAGTCTCACCAAATTAGCTAATCAGGCAAAGTAGTACTTCACCTGTAACAGGTCTTGCCTTTTAACTTCAACACCCTCATGACCTGTCGGAGCTCATATCTGCTAATACTCCTCCTCGACTTTATCCTGCATGACCTTCAACTTAACATTGTACGCAACTCTGTGCCGGTAGTGCCTTCGTCAATTGTCGGCCATGATATTGTACGACTTCACAATCTTGTCACCACATTAAGTTTTTGTGATAAACGTGAAACGTAACTCCACGTGTTAAGCGCTCGAAGTACTCTTCTTAGATTTGAGCTTGTTTATGGCAGCCTGATTGTCCGTCCACGTTTTCATAGACTTGCACAGGCGCAGCTCCAGCTCATTCAGCAACTTACAACTCACGTCCAGCCTGCAAAGAGGACATGAATTCAGCCTCCGTCGTACACCCTACTGCTTTTTGTACAAATAAAGCACAACAGCACTGTCCATTGTTGGCACACACCCAAACACAGACTTACGGTCAACCTTGTCGGCAGTAAAAATCTGCAACGCTCCAGCATTCGATTTGAATTCCGTCGTCGTCGGTACACCCCTTAGGTGCAGCTGCAAATCTTCGACATCTATAAAAATCTAACGATACGCTTTGCAGTCTTCCAATCTATGCTATCGGCTTTTACGTCTGTCTCGTGGCCTTGTGAAAAGCAAAACAAATATCTGGACGCGTACACATTGCTATCTATAGTACGCTTCCCACCAGTTTGAAATAACTTCACACTTGGCTCACCACTCGCACCGCTTGCAGGTAGGTAAACCAACATTACTTTATGGTCCATATTGCGCTCATCTCCGATTAAAGCCCGGTATCAGTTTGCTGATTCCAAACCAAGATCTCAGCAATTTATCGATCATGACGTCTTGATCCAGAACATAGCCATTTGATTCGTCTAACGCAAAGTCCCCGAAACTTATACTTATTTGACAACTTCCAAGTCTTTGAAAGATTTAGTTTCACAAAAATTCGTCTACGGCGCTTTGTGTAAGGGGGTTACACAAAGGTGTGTATTTTACATACATACCTGCCACATGTGGTGTGGCTGTACCTTGGGTACATTGGTAGGTTCGATGTGACCGTACCTGAAGTACGAAAGGTCGCATTGTGGCAGAGAGCCACGTGGTCACTATACTTATTTAAAGTATAGTGACTATGCATGTTGATAATAATGACAGGCTATAGAGCCAGTAAATAGTGACTACCACTGAGTATAGAGTGGGTGGTTCTATATTTAGTGTTAGAAGATAAACATAAATCAGTTTCAAACCTGCTCTATAAGCATCACTGCTTGAGCGTTCTATTCCTCCTGAGGAATTTGTATCTTTAATACTAGTCTCTTTGAGAGGCGGTTGTAAATAATGATAGGCAAAAGCTTACGAGCTAGCCTAGGAAGGTTAAGCACCCTAAGACGTCGAAGCTCTCTGAGCTTGTCTTTCTCTGCACATAGTGCATAAGCAGCTTTGCTACAGTAGCTCGGCTACATCCTCTGCGCATAGTGCATAAGTAGCGTGGCTACAGTAGCTCGGCAACACCTGGTAGCGCTTGAAGTCAATCCCGCACCTAGATTTGCGACTACTTCTCTGTGTAAGAATGGACATCGATGAGATGTCAGTGGTTGGTCTGGCACAGGTACAACAGGAAGGGTTGCAGAAGCTGCTCCCTATCCTTGGCCCTAAGGGCGTGGAGTACCTCATCGCCCAGGGCGAAGAAGGGTAAACCCGTCCTCATTCGAGGAAGCTGTTGGAGTGGCATGGAATGCCGAGACCAACTTCAAGACCGCTAGGCCTGCCACTTATAACTATCGTCTGATGGGTCTGTACCCATAGATTGTAGTCAAGTGGAGGATGAAGAAGCTGAGCTTCATGCTGCGGAGCATCAAACTGTGCGCAGATGTTATATCTGCAAGAGAACAGGCCATTTGATGGCAAAATGTCCTGCAAGAAAGGCATATTTGGCCTCAAAGGGCCGACGCCCCATGGGTAAACCTTCTGGTTTGACGGGGGGAAACGGCGGAACCCAGTAGGCGCGGGGCGCCCTACTGGGGAAGAACTGATTTCTGTTGAACCTCTAGGAGGTAGAAGAAAACAGGGCCCAGCTCCAAAGTGATCTGAACTCTCAAAAACGGAACGAGAATGCAAGGCAGGCTTGCTAGTCGTCGAAGGGACGACTAAGGGCCATGATAAGCCATGGATCACTTTAATCGATTCGGGGGCATCGGGCAATTATGTGCGCCGTGCCACCGTGGAAGGTAGTCAGTAGTATGCTGAAGCGCTTGTAGCGCGTGAAAGTGACACAGTCACAGTTCACTTAGAGATGTGTACGCGTGTTACGGTACCCAAACTCCCGATGGACTTAAATGTAAAGTACTTGGACTTTAACATCATGGAACGCTGTTCGATCTTAGACTTGGATGCGAGGTATGAGCTCATCTAAGGCATGGCATGGCTAGAACGCCATAAGCCATGGATTGATCGGAGGTCAAAGACCTTAGGTGCGCGCAATGCTCCTGGTGAGGCTCTGCAGAGTCATGAACCCACCTCTGATAGGAAGCAAAAGCGCTTTTGGCGCGGAGTCGGTCAATATGTTGGATGCCGGAATATTCGACTTTGTAGACACTGTAAGTGTCAAGGACAATAGTCCTGGGCGAGGCCCAATGACTGTCGATAGTGTGGTTGAGAACCCAATAGTTGGCACATATGACATGTGTCATGAGAATGATGTTGCATCATTAAACACCGTGAGTAGTGTATGGTGGCTGCAAGCCAAGATGTCAGGACATGAGTCCAAATGACATGAGTAACGAGGAACTGACCCTGGAGGGCCGTGTGAAGTCACAAATGAATGTTACCTTTGAGTTTAACGAGGTGCATGCACCTAACGACGAGGTACCGGCCCTGGAGGGCCAGGTGAAGTCAAGGGGGGTGGGTAAACGAAGTGGTCATTGTTCTTGAGGTGTGTACACTTGTGGACGCTGATGCGTCGGATACTGAAAGCATCATGAGTAGCGATGATGATATCGTGAGTGGCGGTGATAACGAACAGCTATATACACTCGTCAATGGTTTGACTGGGGATGTTGAAGAGCCGGTGGATCTTTCAGCTATACCCGCAGTAAGTGCTCTGTTAGATCTGGACGAGTTGTCCTTTGCCGAGTTTGGCAGTGCCTTACAGGCAGGCGACATCGCCGAAGTGGTCGTTATACGACCTGAGGAGGAGTTGAACTCCTCATCGCTTTTGGATAAAGCAGTTTTTGTAAATACCAAGAAGGCTCGGAATGCGCGTAGTGGATTGCAGATCCTGATGGATCCTTCGGATCCTTATTTTCCTTTGTTAAAGGAATATGGAGATGTTGTCTCCAGAGAACCTCCTACAGTGTAACCTCCGGATAGAGGTGTACGTCACGAGATTAACTTGGTTCCAGGAACCAAATATTGTGTGACGCGACAGTGGCCGCTGCCACGAGAACTATGTGACGTCATTGACGAGTTCTTTTGTGAGAAGCACGCGGCTTGCATGGTGAGTGAGAGTAAGTCTTCTCACTCTACGCCCACGTTTTGCGTAAGGAAGCCTAATGGGAAGTGGCGAATAGTGCATGCTTACAATAGGCTGAATGCAGCCACTATCCCGGCTCAAGCACCGATTCCTCGCAAGAATGTTCTTCAGAACAATATGGTGGGTTTTACGATGTACAGTGCCCTCGACTTAGTCGATGGATATTACCAACTGCTCATGCGAGCTAGTGATATCCCGCTGACAGCGGTCAGTACTCCGAGAGGTATGCTCTGGGAGTGGTTAGTGATGCCCCAAGGGCTATCTAACGCACCTGCAACGTTCAATCGTCTGGTGACGCAGTTGCTTAGGTCCCATAGGGCGTATGCACCGACATACTTACTTTAACGATATATGTGTTCATAGTCGAGCCTAAAATGGCAAGACTGATGTGGAGAATCACATCGAGCACCTGCGAGCTGTGCTCGGTTGCATGAGGATGCATAAGCTGTATGCCAATATTGACAAATGCATCTTCGGTGCGGAAAAGATTCTTTTTTTTGAGATGCTTCATTGGGAAGCGAGGAATCCGGGCAGACCCTGTTAAGGTCA